CTCCGCCTCTTTTGCCTCCCCATCCACCACCGCAGTCGTGCATGCAAGACGTGAAGATCCATTGCTTGTAGTGCTTTGCGAAGTGTTTCTACCGACAGGTGGGAGTTTCCTCTTCGCCCTGGATATTTAGATCTTTTGAGCGAGATTTGACTGAGTTACGATCTGTTGAGGTTTTGCATTCGAATGCGTCGTTTACGACTCACTCAAGTATGGGGGGGGGGGGCGGCTTTAAAAATGAAACTACTGTGATGATGACTTAGTGTTTAACCGGACGGGAGGAACATTTGAAACGTGCCGCAAGTTATTGGCGTTTATTGTGCTATGAGGCATTACGCTGCTTATCGTGTGTTTCCTTACCACAAGAAAGGTAGTTGCTACTGATTGCCCCCTATCTGTTCACTCCCCGAGGTTACAATTACATGTATCAGTGATGTCTTCCTTAGGACAAGGCTGTACATGTATGTGCATATAGCTGAGTAAGAAGGGGAATAGCGCTTGTCTAATGGACGTGCTTTGGGATCCATTAGCATTGTGCCCAGTGTTCTGAGCGGGGGTGATCGTATGCCACTATTTACACATTGCCGACATACATGTACAATTGTACATGTACATGTATGACTGTATCACGGCACCGTATTATTGTTTGATGATTGGGCTGGGGCATACAAGTAAGAATCGCAAGTAGTTTTAAATATAGCCCCTTCTGCTGATTGTTTTGATGCCAATCGACATCGCGTATACCCATAGACTACCAGGAATGTACATTGGTATGTACGAGTACGAGTACACCAGACCAAGCTCGTCCAGCACTGAGTCCGGAGTTTGCAGTACAATCAGCTGTGTTGCAATGCAGACATTGTGCAGTACATGTACATGTAGCAGGTGGGGGAGGGCCTGGACCAGCACGATTTCACTGGGGGTGAGAAGTTCATTCAGGCAGCAACACGATACAATGTAATTGCTTGCCCCCGGCAACACAGCAATATAATGTACTTGTAAACCATGGTCTTGAAACACCAGTGCATGTACATGGCATTGATATGAACTGCCAGTGAATCTTGATGTGTTTATGATATTCTTACAGTGTTTATGATGACTGATAAAGTGCGAAGCAGTACACGACAGTTCACGACCTCAATCATCCTCCACTCCACTGGCACTGTGACCTACCATTCTCTGTGAGCTGAGGGTAAACCCACCCTCGACCCTCCTCGATTTCCCAATGCCACTATGACAACAGCATGTGACAGTGCAGACCAACATTGTACAGGACTGTACAATACCGAGATAAGACCGTGATCTCTGGACAAGGTCTTCAACTCAGTGCCCAGAGTCTTCGAACTTCTACCCCGTCTTGTTGTCCTATTATTTAGTTCTAGTCCAGGGAAGTCCAGGGAAGGAGTGTACTTGAAGTTGAAGTAGTAGCGTCTGTTTGTACAATGTACAATGTACATGTAGGTGCAGGCAATTTTGGATCTCCCATCACGAATGTAGCCGTGTTGTTTTTCTCTTGCTCACATGTACCTGCTTTGTTATGCTAGTGACAAGATGGAGGTACAATGTATCTGATCGTCAGCCTACGGTCTTTATCCGAACTGATTCTCATGCTTCAACACCGGCAATGATTATGTACATGTAGATCTGCTACGCACGCACGCACACATCAGTAGAGACCGTCCGTGTGCTACACTGACAGGTCAGAGCGGATGCGCATTTGCCAATTCTCCCATCAGACCCCCGTCCGAAAGATCCATTAGCAATCTGTCGTCAACACCAGCTAACACGAACAGTCCTGCTGGTAGGTTAGCTCATCAGCCGTATTTAGCAGGTCAAAAAATGTACACCACACATGATTCATGTATGTATCCCTCGCGGCGTCATGGCGTCACGCCATGCGAAAATGCGGCTATAGCCACCGCAACATTTTCTTTGTGGTTTAGCCGCATGTGAGCCATGCGGCGCGGCTGTCTCCTGCTCCCAATGAGCCATAATCGCACACGCTCCGAGCTTCTCGTTTGAAGTATTGAGACTTCGCCATGTCTTTGTAAGATCTCCTAGCCATTCCGAGTTCGACCGGAGAAGCGATGCGTGACCGGGGAAAATTCGCGACTGCACCCCTCCCCTCCCAGCAAATGCTCCGAGCCACGAGCCGTCGCGCCCTTCTCCGGTCATCCCACCACTACGTAGCCACGTGTATCCACTGTCTACATCTACATAATACTACATGCCAAGCAAATCAGGATCGCTACAGTCATATGCATGATATCGGTATTAGTATCTGCAAAGTGTAAAATAAATAAACAACAACAACAACAACAAAGTCAAACACATGGCTGGCTGATCACAACTCCACCCACATGGACTTCAGTGTTCAGTAGGATCAAGAGTAGGATGCATAGTTGTAGGAAGTGTTCTTCCACACACTCAGTGATCATACTTCATAGGAAATTGTGTCAGGAATGCTATCAGTATACCGGTATTAGTAGTGCAGGGTGTGTACAATCATGCACACACTCACAGACCGGGTCAGTACAAGTCATGTAGATCTACATGAACATGAACCACGGAGCAGATTGCGGCGCGCCGCATTCGTCTTCTACAATGTGTCCGCAAGCAGCCACTGGCAGGCCGAAACGCAGCGCATCTGCCGAGTTCGGACTATATTATGTAGATCTACCATGCGTGGTGTTGCGCGCGCGCATACAAACACACACACACACACACACACACACACACAGAGTCAAATACACACACACCACACACGCACGCACACTTTTAAAAATCCGTTTGCAGCGTCTCTATTACAACCTATAGCATTCTCAAGGTATCCCGAAACAGCCCTTCGGATCAGACTTCGTCGAATCACCGAGATTACCCGGCCGAGCGGACTTTACAGCTGCTGTTACATAATCATTGTATCTATTTCCAGCGATACGAAAAGCTCGCTCATTAGCATGAGTAGCGAATTCCATGGGTTGGGTGAGCGCTGTGGCCACATGTCGCTCAAATCACACCCAACAATGCAAGCTTCAGCCAGCACAGGAACCAGCTGGGCTAACAATGGAGAGAGGTGAGCATGTTGCAAGCAGCAGAGCAGAAGAAGAGCTCGAAATACGATCATTTTCTCCACACCTGACTGGGTTCCGGAGACACTGGGGTTTCGGCGAAAATTATGTCACACACACACTGCATTTGAGACAGGATGCTACCAAACACGAACACGCCGTTTACGTGCAGTTTGGCATTGATCACCATGGCATAGGCATACGTATCTAATCGCATTTGGTCACATGAAAATGGACACCCCGGTCTTCTAGACTGATAAAGATACACGTACATGTACATGATTGTACATGTAGATAAACTGATCTTTAGTTACAGCCATGTCTACTTCAGACTGAACTCTAGCCTACATAGAGGGGAGAAGCTCTTGCCAGTCCTGGCGATTAGGCATATGCGGATAATGCCGGCAGAAAAATTGGCAGAATTCGGTACTTTTTCTGGTAAGTTTCATGCATGTTTGGTATGTGGATAAAGAAATGGAGCAGAATTCGAGGAATTGCCCGCCATAAGGTTTGTATGGTTCTGCCAATTTCACTGCTTTTCGAGCAGAATCTGCCACCTTTTCGAGCATTATCCGCCAATGCCTACTGGCGATACAACAATACAATCACGTGTGTATATGACTGAATCTCCGACTGAATCTGAATACATTTGCAAGCATCCTGGTGTGCTTGTTTGCAGCCATACTTTCCCAGCCAGGCTCCGACCCAGCTTCAACACAACAGCAGCAGCTTTTTAAAAGTTAATTTTTGAAACAATGTATGAAACGAATGCATATGTATGCACATGACCAAACCAGTTGGCAGTCTGCAACCTGCACTCAGTGCACTGGTATGTTATAAACAAACCATTAGCGTCCCGACTACTTTTAAACAGACACCCACTGTGACCCAGTGCTGCCAGCAATACTGCCAATAGCCTTCAAAAAGAGGGGGCACGAGAAGTGACGTAATTTTGATTTGCTGTTGGATACTGATATCAAACACACAGCTGATCTGAAGACTACTACATTATACAGGACACGGGTGACCGGACTAGACCTGCCCCTGGTTTAGCTGGTTGCCTTGGATCCTGTGTCTGTTACTGCACGTCGTGGATGTTGTATCGACTGTGTGACAGAAGTCCACAGGTACAGGTCCGGGACTCAAAGACGTGCATCTCACATGAGTCATCATCGATCAGTAATTTACATGATTGTACAGTAGTACTGCGGCTACTGTTACCATGGTTACCAAGACGGCAAGAGTACATACGCAGGCGGGTAACTGATTACAAAGTCATACTCTTGCTTGGTAGGCTATGTTGCAGTAGACTGGACTAGAGACTGGAGTGGAGATGCATGCAGAAATCTGTAGCCTAGGCTCCAGGTCGACAGCCTGGTCCAGCAATTCCCTCACACTACACTACACGAAGCCATGATGTCCTCACAGGATGTTTATTCATGCTTGACTATAAGCTATCCGCAGCTTTGACTTTGTGTTTCAGTGTTTGTGATGCGATTTCAAAGATAACGCTACATCACCGTCAGTGTCAGTCTTGTTCCGCTGTTCGTAAAGGACAACGAAACAATTGTCACATTGTGTACTAGTGTAGTTACTGTTATGGGATCCCGGGATGGGACCCAGCTTAGCCGATGTGGTCCTGGACCTGGGTCTCCTAGCGGCTTGAAATGTTGAAAAGGCAAACAAACTACAGTATGTGTACAATGTAGATTGGCCATACACTACATGTAGTGCCTGTCTACTAGTACTACGGTCAACTGCATGCAGCACTGGAATGGAAACAGGCTGGATACTAAGACAGTGGATGCACTACCAACCAGTTACCTGACCACCCCCACTGCCCCAGTTCAAACCACTCGCCCGGCCGACCTTTGCCAGCAGACTAGCACAGTCACCAAGGCCGGACAACACGGCTGTACTCACTCGAGTCGTAACTGTAGAGTACTGGCATAAAGAAATCTCTAGGTTGAGTGTACGTAGACCTATGTCAAGAGGCTTGCATCAAGCGAAAAAGAAGAAAAAGGATGGGATGGGAAGGGAGGGGAGGATGCAACACATCAATAGCAGCAAACTGAGGCAGTCTGACATAGAAAGGTTGAAAACAGGCAGTACAATCATGATTACACTAATACTTTAAAAAACTGTACATGTACTCAACTTACTTAACTTAGTATGTGCCCCCAGGTGTAAATCACCATTCTCAATCTCACAATTCAAAGTACATGTAGTATCTAAAAATAATAGTGTGTGTGTGTGGGGGGGGGGGACAGCCACGTCACAGGTAACATATACATGACTGTATGCTCATGCGCTGCTCGCAATGGCAGTCAATGGCAGTCTATTGAGGTGTGTAGTCTGCAGATGCTGGCACACAATGGCAGTCTATTGAGATGTGTAGTCTGCAGATGCTGTAATACCGGTACATAAATAATATGCATCACAGGAACATAACACACAGCTCTAACCTTGCTCCATGACCATGTCAACGCGGTCCTTCCATAGAGAGAGATGGTCTCACTCCCAGGAGCAAGTGACTGGCTGCGCCGAGACGAGCAACATGGCGCATGACGACGGCAGCGATGCCAGGAAACACGTCGTGTTGACAGCTGGCTGCGTAAGTCACCTGTACTGTGCAATAGATAGCACTTTAAAGCAGGAGAACATGACCTGCCGGCTGACTACCGTGTGTAGTGTGGTGCTGGGACTGCATAATACCACTACCACTACAGTACCAGTGTAGACTGTATAACCATTAATAATCACAGCCTGCCACTCGCTCCCAGTGGGGCAGCAGACCTGGTAGAGATGCATACACTGTACAATGAATTCCACTGTCGCTGTTACTACACGTGTACTACATGTACAATACACACCCGGATACAACACAATACATCGGTTTACAATGCAAACAGGACCGGGAAGTGTTGATGTATGATGCCAGCGATAGAGAGAGAAACAGCAAATCAATGATTTGACATATTAGAAAACATGTCACAAAGGAAGTAGTTTGTCTTTGCTTTGGTGCGCCGTGGCAGACAAAAGGTGTATTGTGGTCCAAGGCCATTGATCCATGAATACGTGTACTAGGAGCAACAGACTACACTGCGGAGTGTAGCTGTACATATAACTCTGCACAACACACAACCTAGCACACATGTTCGATGTACACCGACCACACCATCAGCACCACTGGTACCACCACCAGCAGCACCAACACCAGCACCACCAGCAGCAGAAGCACATACTCTCACACATGCTCAAAGTACGAACACGTGCAAGCAGCCAACTGCACAACAGTCACCAGTGATACAGTCATGCAGACACTACACAAACACAGAACGTGTGTATGTGTGTGTGTGTGTGTGTCGCACTTACTGTGAATATGTTGGGCAGCCGCCACCGTTGCTACTGCCAACGGCTCAATGAATGACATTGTGCAGTGTGGTGCCGTGATTCACACTAAGCTGACTGTATGTCACCATGTGTATTGCAATGACATGTGATGTGTCAGCAGGCAGCTCCATCGCGCGCCATTTCCAATGTGTGCTATACTACTATGCGCTCATCATGATGGGTCAACAACTTGACAGTGCAGCATGCTATCCACCACCACAACCAGCACCACCACCAGCACAAGGCATTGCTTTGTTGCCTGTCACAACTCACAAGCTAGATGACAACAATAACACGGCAACATGACACACAATTAACACAACGGTGCAATGGTATACATGTAATTCCACTCGTCCTTGTGTCGTGTTCACACTGCCTAATGGCGATAACCCTTGCTCTGCTCACGCTGCTTCTGGGCCTTGCGACGGCGCTTGTTGATCGGGTGCCGAGGGTCAGATATGTCGTAGGTGTCCTCCGTGATTGAGCTGGCATCCTTGGCTAGGCGAGGTCCTGTGCTTTCACTGACCAAAGAGTGACTGCGCCTAGAGACCCACACAAACACACCGGCAGATAAGCTAGTCAGGTAGCGATAAAGATGAGGCTGGTGGAAATATACCGCACCCAAACCCAAACATTCCAGCCCCGCTCCAACCCGGAAGCTTGAAATGACCATATATCGAGAAGAAGTCTGGTGATAACAATGCATGTATCGAGTAAGATACGGAACTGAATGAACATGGGTTTCCCAAGAACAGAGCCTGCTGTAGTTGTAATGTAGTTCACAAATCAGCAAACATGCCCCCAGTGGCCAGTGTGCCTGCTTCTTGCACTTACCACCCGCAGTCATCTTCACTGGAGTTGGCCTTCTCATCGACGGCCACGTCCTTCGTCTTCTCCGTCTCCTCTTCGGAATAGTCGGCGACTTGTGCTAGAGATGCAGCCCCATCATCCTGGCCTGAGCTTGCCTTTTTCAGGCGATTGGAGAACTTCTCCAGCAGTGCAATTGCCTGGTGACGGGAGAGGAGCACAGGGAGAAGAAAAAAGTAAACACAATATGCATGTATAGTGACTCAGTCTGATGATGTCATCAAATACTGCCATGACCATGATGACTCATGAACACTCAGAGGAATGCATACTCTATCATGATTGGTGGCAGCCACATGCCCCTATAGGGTTGGTGGCAGCCACATGCCCATATAGGGTTGGTGGCAGCCACATGCCCATATAGGGTAAGCAGAGCAGCATCACCAGCACAATGCATTTGTGCTTTCTCTGACTGAAGCGGACCTTGTCCAACACACACACACACCATATTTAAATTACGCTGAGTGGCATTGGCACAACCAATAGAAACCAGTTAGCTACTTGGCACAGGAATGGGGGTAGGATAGCATTGGGACTCAGACTGCAATAGAGAGCACAGCAAACCAACGTTTCCACAGCTACCTATCCGGGGCTTGAGCACCAAGTTTCCAAACACAGCGAGGCCTCGTTTAAAAGAACACTGATAAGATAAACTTTCGCTTTAGAAAAAACTAGCATATGCAACGCAACTCCTATATCCCTGATGATGCCCTCCTGGGTGAACAATTGGACAATTTGCTGTACGTGGTGTAGCCAAGGACTGTTTGTGTGTTGCAAGTTGGGTATACTGAAAATACATGCAACTCTATAGGATAAATCACTGTGTAGTCACTGGGTACAGACTATGGATATGAAGAACTTCCGTTATTGTGAACAAACACCGTCGGTCCCTTGCAATTCATCCTTAAGAGGTTTGACTGTGCTTGATGTAACGCAAGAATGGCACTATGTGCCCAATAGAGTGGGGATCTAACATGGACCAGTTGGTGTGCATCCAATGTAGCAAATTACGACAAGGTTTTAGCAGACTTCCACTCCCGAGCAAGCAGCAAACAGACAAGAGGTGTGTGTGTGTGTGTGTGTGTGTGTGTGTGTGTGTGTGTGTGTGTGTGTGTGTGTGCGTGTGTGTGTGTGTGTGTGTGATAAGCAGGGGCGTCGGACACGCTACGGTCACTATGGTATTGACCGTACCACTCTTTGCCCCAGCTACCCCGTGAATCATTGAAAAGCACTGATTTGGGCTCTAAATTTAGAATTTTTTCAGAGAAGCCACCCCAACCCCACGAGTAATTTGTAGTTGAGGTGGATGACCGTACCACCCTAACATACCTTCCGACGCTGCCCCTGCCCCTGCTGGATTAAGCATAGGTCAATCTTTAGACACAGTTACAAGTACAGAGCTGCATTGATACAGTCACAAGCTAAAGCAATACCAGCCCTTAGGGGTAGGCGCTTAGAACGAAGAAGACATTCTGCAACAAGATCAAAATCCCCTGGGGTGACAATCATAGAGAATCAACAGCTAATTACTCTCCGCTGACATACAATGCACTGTCATCATTCCCCAAAACAATGCCCGGATTTAAAAGCCGGAAGTCTATTTTAGCTGCACAGCTCCTCACCTGACTCTCGCGAGAGGAGCCCTTCTTCTTGATCTGGCTCTTCTTGCGTTGGCCATACTGCTCGAGGTGCCGTCGGTAGTCCTGCACTGCTTCACTGACGGGCGCTGCAAAAACATACACACACATATACACAAACATACACACACACACGGGCCAGGTGAATAGCAACACAAATTAGTTGAACACGGGGCAACGGGGCAGATCCAATCGAGCTACATGTACAATCAGTATGGAAACAGCAGTACATATTGGCCAACACTGCACAGCAGCGCTGCACAAACAGTGAGAAGCCAAGGAAGACAAGCAGCAAATTGCAGATATCTTGACACGGGTGTAAAAGTACGCGTGACAGGAAATGCCAAAGCACAATCCAGTCCGAAGAGGACATGCAGAGTGACAACACTTGGCATACACGGTACAGGAAGCAGGCGACACGAGCACGAGAGACTGGCCAGCGCCGCGCGAAATAGTGCACCTTGCCGCGCGGAGAAACACGCGGCAACGCGCACGTCACCTTACCCGACAGCACTGTGCACCAGCAGTAGGCTGTAATCCGTCACTGCAGAACTGGCATCATTGTCACACTTCCCAGGCATCCGATCAATCGAAACAGGAATAGCTCTTTCGAAACGTTTCCATTGCATGCACACACCACCGTTTCATCCGCTAAAGCCTACTAGATACTGTATTACTGGCAGTGGCAATGCATTCAGTCGGTCACAGAGCAATTCAAGGTGGTGTCATGTAGCTGACATTGAGCAAGTGCAATGCCTACTACGGGGATGTGTCAATGGCTGGGCCAGTGTGGTCACAAAGTGACAAGCGTCGTGTCACTCGCAATGACAAGCAGCGTGCACACCGCTGAACACAGGCGTGCAAGAAGCGCGCAAGCGGTGCACATCCACCGGGGGTTTCCCCATCGGGGGACGAATGACGAGCAGCATGAGTAGCATGAGCAGCTGTGTGCACTAAAAGCTCTCTTCACACGCATGCACTGTAGCACAGCAAGTGCCGCGGGCAAGCACTGTAAATACGCAGCACGTACAGCCACGTCACTCTTCAGAAATCACGTGCCGTCAATAGACGTGTGAGCACACACCCTCGCTACGGGCAACAGCAGTGACTGTTGAAGCTGGCAGGCAGGCAGTGATTAGAGCAGGAAAACGACGACATCACCCTGCCACCACGGTACCACGCCGCTCAGAGCTGTAGACCCGGGGTTTCCCGCAGATCACGACATGCAAGCTGGCAGCGAGCCCGGCAAAAACGGACGTTTTGCTGCAAGCAGCTGTGAACTGGAGCTCGAGTGTACGTACATGCCGCAGTGGCAAGTGAAATACTAGAATGGCAGAGATCATACCTAGATGCATACACATATCATAGTGATTCACTCACTACAATGCACATTAACAATCTACAGGAATGCCATCATGCAACATGTACTGGAAATAGACTGACATACATTCATTAGACAGTGGTTCTCTGACGCCGGAGACAAACCCCGCTCTGTCAAAATGGCAGTAGCAACAGTAGTAGCAGCAGTAGGTCTACACATTAATTTGATTCGAGAAGAGCACTGCCTACCCGTGAGCTGTGGTCGGACGTACGATGGCGCTTTCCAACCACAACACTGTGGACATTGATTGGCCAGGAAGTTACTGGCAAGCCAGTGACAAAGTGGTAGGGCAGGGGACAATGTCCAAACATGAACTGGCCTGCTTCCATACAATACAGTGCGAAATTACTGCTAAGCATTTGGCTTCTTCGGAAACCTTTTTCGGGGCAACCCGCAGAGAAGGATCAAGAATAGTTTTCATGTGAAATTATATGATGGCGCATCTACATAGCATTGAGGAACCATAGTGTTTCGGCAACACATCCTGAGCACTGCGGGGAGCGTTTTGCACTGCTCAATGTATTCACTCACTACAGTCATGCGTCAGCCCCACTATTCATTCACTAGTCATGAACTACGTCAGTCCCATTATTCGTTCACTAGTCATGAACTACGTCAGTACCACTGCCACCGTGATCACAGTGAACAGACCAGAACACATCATGACGTTGAATTAGATATACGCAGGACCTGGCCCCCTTAGAAAGGTTCATGGCCTGACCTATAAACAGGCCATGAGCAAACCTGGGTATAAACTGATGACAGAAGAACCATCACGTCGTGCGTTGTACAAGTCAGAAACTCCGCTGCATATCTCCAATGCCAACTTCCATACAATTACTAGTACCCTGTTGTTTGAACACACGGCACCACCGGCATAACGATAGATGAAGCTCATAAGCAGATCCACGAAGGCTCCTCTTTCACATGGCATGAATGCACATGGGCTAGCAGGTGGTGAGAATAAGCCATGGTTTCTTTCAGCTATTCCATTTCATTGGAAACGTTACTGTTGCACGCAGTGTGTTGCACCTCTGCATGCATGTGCACTACAGTACATGGGTACCAGGGTAGTGAGGAATGCCTACACAGAAAGGCCAGCCATTGTCCTTACTAGTTACTACGTTAAACTCAAACACACACACGCTAGCAAGTTGGGTTAAACTCACACGGCGACGCATCAGCGTTCAACGCGGAAGTGGGCAGATTAGACATTTGGGTGCCAACGTGTGTCAGGTCAATGCTTTCCCGAAGAGAGAGAGTCCAGAGAACTGGGCTGCCCGAGGCAGAAGGTCACCCACTGTGCACGACCCCAATTGGCCAAAATATAGGCAGTACAATAAGTAGGTGCAGAATACTGTAAAAGCAGAAATTTTCGGTGGTGTCATTTTTTCGGTGTTCTCCAAAATCAGCAGTTCGGTGGAGGGAAATTTTCGGTAAACCCGTTTTCCAGGTAAGTGTACTAGTACCGAAATTTTCGGTGCGTTTTATTACAGGTAAAAATTGTCGGCACAGAGGTTACCGAAAATAAAACACCGCCGAAAATTGCTGCTTTTACAGTAGGTGATGACTTATGTTATGAGCATACACATTGTACTTACCGGCTGCCTCTTCAGTGCTCTCCTCGGATGCATCGTCCGTCTTCCGCATCGACTTCTTCAGCAACAATGCCTCTCTCCGCAGTTCGGCCCTAGGAAAAACCCCAGTGGATTAGCAATGCACACACGTACATACACACATACACACACACACACACACACACACACACACACACACACACACACACACACACACACACACACACATACACAACCCAGGTGAATAGCAACAGAAATTAGTGGAACACGGAGCAGCAACACCGACTTGAGTGATTTGCCACCATCCGACGACGACTAACCGGGTCCTGAGAGGGACTGGGTTAAAGTTTGACATGCTACGCACGATGCTGTACAGGTGATGGTCTAGGGTAGCAGGTGCTAGCAAGATTGTTAGTTAGTTTGTTGTTGTTGTTGTTGCTGCTGCTGTTGCTGCTGCTCCTGTTATTAACACTGTCCAACCACTCATCGACTGGACAAAAGCTGCTCAGGCAGTCTTCACACAAACACCAATGGAACAACACAGGAAGGAGTGCCGGGTTCGTAAGTTTTAAAAGTGTTTGTCATGCAGTTCAACTGGCCAATGAGATAATGGTCTGCGACAGGGCAACGGAGGCCGAAGAAGCTGAGCAACATGGTCGAGTTCGATGGGGGTGCGTAAGAAGTCTCGCATCAACTTTTGCGGGTCGTCAAGCGACAACCATAATACCAATCTTTGATGAGGAAGGACATGCACTTTCTTCACAGGAGCTAAGTGCAGCTTGCCAGCAGCAGTATTTCGACACTGTGTTCAGTGTTGCATGTTGCAACCAACTTTGATACTGGAGTGATGGTATCTGAGGTCGACGTTGCCTTTGTTTGTCTTGTCTTCTTTCGTCTCTGTCCTTTTCCCCCCTTGTCCTTGCAGTGTGTGCATGTGTGCTCTCTGGGAATTATAACAATATGCTCCATGCAATTGCGCAAGCATTCAGTATTCTTTATTCAGATACCAGAGCTGTGCAAGTTGACACGCACAGTCCTCGCACAGTCCTCGTTTACATCATGTCAACAGCTATAAGCTAAGAAAGCATACTTTTTCCGATTCAGTTCGCGTTGGCGTGGTGAAATGAAGTCACCCTCATCGTGGTCGTCATTGACGGCCAGTCCCTCTTTGGCATTCTTCTTGCGATGCAGTTTCTCAGAGATACGCTGCTTCATCTCTCGGTTGTATCGATCATCGCCTGAACTCTCCGAACCACTTCCGGCCTACACGTTCAAAGCAGAGGACAAGATAGAGGGGCATACACCGTGATTTCATACACACAGAGTATCAGCAATCTATTCCATGAAACACTTTGCTGGCCTTCAAACAAGATGCTACATGCATTGCACACCAGTGGGGGCAGTCCGTATCGTACAAAGGGCCAAGGTTACCAATGGACCACTTGCCATTTGTACAGATCCACGAAATCCCGTAGACCCGGAAGGGTGTTGAATGTGTGCTCTGCATGCGCATTTGACCAATTTCCGCGTCATAATTCAATGACCAGCAATCGCGCGGCTTTTCCAGCTTCTTCACTTTGGTTAGAACTAATGACTGGCTAGATCTTTGTCAGAAAAAGGTTTTCGTATGAAATGCCTTCAGGCCCCATTTCTTATGGGAAATAGCAGAAAAAACAATAGGGTCCTGCACATTCAACACCCTTCCAGGTCTATGGGATTCTACGGGATTTCGTGGATCTGTACAAATGGCAAGTGGTCCATTGTTTGGTTTTTGTTTCAAAACGAAAGGGTTTCGTTTGGGGGTGGGTGGGTTTTAGGAGTCTCGTTTTGAAAATAACTACTAGTATTGAATGCAAATGGAGAATTCACCAGGTACTACTGGGTGCAAAAGATTCAAGTCAATATCTTGTTGAAATTCGCTTTACCAGCAGAAATGGAGGGTGGGTGTGCGCGGGCGGAAAATACTAAAGCGTTTCGTTTTGGAAAACAAAAACAAAACACAATTGGTAACCTTGGACGGCCCCTAAGGAAACACAAGCAACTGATAACCAAACCCAGGTGGTCATTACTTACTGCTAACCAGGGAGTCGTACTCAAACTAGGGAGGTGACACGGCACAGAAATCCGTGTCACAGGGGTTGACTCGCACCCGTGACCCCTCGTTGTTATTTTTGGAATAGTTCAGTCCAGTCCAGTCCGAAAGGTCATACTCGGATCGACTCGCCTTCTGTACTTCACCTCCAAGCGTGCAACGCAAGACCCGCAAAGTATGATTTTTCTGTGGGGAACGATTTTGCCATTGATCAAGTTTTTATTGGAGTGCTCAGGCATACTACGATTGCTGAGACGTCCCGAGCACGCTTGTTCAGGTTCTCTATTTTTGACGAGCCGGTCCTACAGCCCCCTACATTGTATCTAACGACGTAGGAGCTGACAATGTAAGAGGATTTCCCTGGAAATAATAATGATGGTGGTGTAACTGCTGCAGGAAAAATGCTGGCTGTTTATGACAGTATGACTAGATGTACAATGTAGCTCTCTTGTATGGTACTTAACCCCTGCTATAAATGTGTTATTTAGGAAGACTGGTGTATTGTGCAAGTCATAAAGAAGAAATGGGGCAGATACACGACTTACAATTTTCAAAAACCAGCTTCGTGTTATGTCTAATTTGTGTCAAAATTGTAGTATTTAGACATGACAATATCATTGGCTGTACTTCTCTAATATGGTACATAACCCCTGCTATAAATGTGTTATTTAGGCAGACTGGACCATTGTGCAAGTCATAAAGAAGAAATGGGGCAGATACACGACTTAAATTTTTCAAAACCTGGCTTCGTGTTATGTGCAATTTGTGTCAAAATTGTAGTATTTCAACATGACAATATCACTGGCTGTACTTCTCTTATATGGCACTTAACCCCTGCTATAAATGTGTTGTTTAGGAAGACTGGTGTATTGTGCAAGTCATAAAGAAGAAATGGGGCAGATACACGACTTACAATTTTCAAAAACCAGCTTCGTGCTATGTGCAATTTGGGTCAATTTTTAGCATTCGGATTAACCTAGGATACGACTCTGAACAGTTCTGAACAGTTACCGTAACACTACACGCCGTCTCATAACTGCTGCTGTTGCCATCACTGCTATCAAGTAGTTCGGACATGGCAGGAGGTAAACAAATTGCTGGTAGTCTTTCAAAGAATACTGGCGAGTGATGGGCTGTAAACGAAATGTGCTGCCTCAATAATTTCAAAAACTAGACACCCATGCGGCACGCTTGGAGGTGAAGTACAGAAGGCGAGTCGATCCGAGTATGACCTTTCGGACTGGACTGGACTGAACTATTCCAAAAATAACAACGAGGGGTCACGGGTGCGAGTCAACCCCTGTGACACAGATTTCTGTGCCGTGTCACCTCCCTAGTTTGAGTACGACTCCCTGCTGCTAACCCAACACGTTAGTGCCATCACTTCACCCACCTTAGTCCTTACCAAGGCTTCTATTGATAAAGACATGATACGGTATGAGATGCTGCGACTTCGGCGTTCAAGGTTAAAGGCAGTGGCTGCTCCTAAAGTTGGAGCCCGTGCTTCCTGCTGAGTGGCTGACTCATGACTGTGACTGCCGTCTGAAGCGCACGAGAAGAATGTCTAACCATCCACTCGGCAAACCTGCAAGAAAGCACCGCTCCCTAGGCTAATGGAATCTTTGCTGCCGCAGTACTACAATTTATAGCACTCCATCAGCTCAAACATCGCTTACAGTAAAGATTCGTTTCGAAGAGGACACCAGGCGGCAGAGTGAGTCAGAAGAGGACACCAGGCGGCAGAGTGAGTCAGGGAAGAGGACACCAGGCGGCAGAGTGAGTCAGGGTCGCACATGGAGTTGTGATCACATGTATAACCCAAGTGATGAACTCAGTTGATGAGGGGTGATTTTCCCGAAACACCACTAGCTGGGAGTGGCGCTTTTTTGCAGGCTTTGCCGAGTGGACTGTTTGACATTCTTCAGTCTCGTGCTCCAGACACCAGTCGCGGGTCAGTCAGGTGTCAGTCAGTGGGCAGAAAGTGTGAGCTCCAACGTTCAGAGAAGCCACTGCCTTCTTCAATGATAAGGAGTGCCGCTCAAAAACCCAGAGTTTGTCAGCAATGTCAGGCCTTTGTGTACAGTATACACATGGGTAGCTAGGTGTATGTGTCCTGAACTAGAATAAACTTACACCGTCTGAGCCGCTGTGTCGTTTCCGCTGCATGAAGCACAACAGTCACCAGCAAACACAACAATGAATAAGATATGATATTCCCTCCATTCCCTCAACTAATGAATATAAGCCATTAGTAGAAGTAGTGGGAGAGGCAGTGTGTGTGTGCATGTGTGTGTGTGGGGGGGGGGGGGGGGGGGGTCTGTGTGTGTGCGTGTGGGTCTGTGTGTGTGTGTGTGTGTGTGCGTGTGTGTGTGTGTGTGTGTGTGTGTGTGTGTGTGTGTGTGTGTGTGTGTGTGTGTGTGTGTGTGCATTTTCAACCACTTAACCAGGACATCGAGGCTCTAAGTACGGGGAATCGACTCATAACCGGTAATGTACGGTTCATTCGCTTTAGCAAGAGTCCACAAACAAGAGTATGCAACTGTGACCTGTGATCTCTGTTCTATGCGTCAGATGCGCGGTGCGCTGCCATCATTCAGCTGCAGTCTGTGGACTGCGGACAATCAAACATCACATATTCCCTCTGGTTTGAAATGAACTTTCGTACGCAGCTGAAGTTCATGCGCCCAAAATTTTAAGATCGCGCCGGTATTCGAACGGATCGAGCAAAAACGGATGTGCTGGTACGAGAGATTGTGGGTTTGAGTGCATGCGTCCAAAGCGTGGTGCTGGCAAGTTACGTAATAAAGGGAGCGCATCCCACACGGACCCATCACCACAGTTGCATATTCTTGTTCATGGACTCTTGGTTTTAGGCGAGGGAATCCCTCGATAAAAGGGTTCATTTCACAACAGAGTGTACACAGTTATACCAGTGTTCAAAACTTCAGGCCGGAACACTTTACTTAGGATCCCTCGCAAAACAAAACTAGCAGAAGATAATTCCTAACAAAAGTTTGTATGTGCACAGTACACATAAGTTACATAACATTTACAGACGTTGCATAATTCACAGCCTACCTTAATGTGTGCCGATGCAGCTGGAGCTGCTTCGTTAACCGATTCGTCTCTGCACAACGGAGCAAAACATGACAGGGGGTTTGTGATAAGGGCACAATTGATCCTGAGAGTCGATCAAAGCTTCTTCCATGCTATTCAGGCGAACTTTCACATGGGGCAAAGGCGTGTGCATGCATACGCATACACACACGCACACACATGCATACACCTATGTGCATACACGCATGCACACACGCATGCACACACATGCATACAAATATGTGCATACACAACGCACACACGCATATGCACACACGCATGCACACACAGCCTCAGATCATTGTTGCCAATGTACATGTATATGCTGGCACAACAAACAACAAGGACACAATTACAAGTATTGGTCACATGTGACACACAGACGCGAAAAGGATCTTTCAAACACACCTGTTGTCCTCCGTCACTGTTTGAGAGCTGAGCTTAGGATCATTTAGCACGTCGTGACTACTGACAATTTTCTTGCTCTGCATGAACAGCAGGATAGAGAAGCAAAACTTGTTACAATTGTATAACCTTGGTGATCCACCAGGAGTGGAGTGGCAGACACAGTTACATGCAGCAGCAGCAGCAGTGGCGGCGGCAGCAGCAGCAGCAGCACTCACTACAGGCATATTGGCATGTTGGCAACACAGGGAAGCACAGAATTGAATTCACAATGTAGCCCAACGTTTACTAGTACTTAAAGTACCTTTGTCGCTGTCATCACTTCCTCCTCGTCCTCTTCTGCTTCCTCGCCGAATGACAGCAAGCTGAAGTTTCTACACATTGACAACAGCACAGAACACAGAAATAGAAGCAAGCCTCACATTGAGCCAACATTTCTAACCATACACAAACTCCAACTCCAAAGAAGCCAATTACATATCAGAAAAGGCTCTTGCAAACTCCGACATTCACTCTCTCAAGCAACCCTTTGCAGCGACAACGTAGAATTTCACCAATTTTTGGGCGTGCCCGACCGCCATGTCAGAGTTTCAACGACAGCTTCGGGACATACACGCTACTACACTGATGTAACAAAGTGATGTTTACCAATGCCAGAATTCCACTGGCATCTATCTACTCTCCTGAAGAGTAAGTACTGGTGCTACAAGTAAAGTCAACGATCCCGGCATTCACTTACTTTGTAGCACGGGATTTAGACTTGATTGCTGGCTCATCAGACTGCTTCATGTCCAGTTGCTGTGGTGCTCGGCGTTCAACATCAGGAAACGGATTGGCTAGGACCTGCGCATGCACACCAGCAACAGCCAAGGCAGCGGCAACAGAAGTACCGCCAGCAGAAGCAGGGGCGGCGGCGGCAGCAGCAGCGGTGGTGGCAGCAGCAACAGCCAAGGCAGTGGCACATAAGTACAGAGAGCAGCGGCAGCAGCAGTAGCAGCAGCAGGGGCGGCGGCGGTAGTAGCAGCAGGCATAAGATGTTCAATGAACCGGTTTTAGCCTACAGAGGGCACTTGATACACGTCACAGGGTCATGTGAGCAGATGCCAGAAACCTGTGAAATGCCAGTGGTGCAATGCGGGTCCACAAAGTGCAGCTCCGATAATCACCCAGCCTTTCTCAATACAGCTTCTGACTGAAATCGTCCAGTTTCTCAACTAGAGCTGATTGAACTCTCAAGGTCATTACCAACTGGTAAAGACAAATATCTAGCTGCCACTTGTAGTCGATACATGTACAGGCCACATGCAAACATTACTAAAGCAACAGCACTGCTTAATAACATACTACCGTTCTTTTTTTGTAGGATGGAATGGTTCTGTGAGCTTAAAACAATTTTTCCCTCCACCAACGGTCTGCACCATATTCTGAGCTTGCGAGTACTCTAGTACAGGTCACCTGGAGGCGCCGTGAAAATCATGTGATCCCACACATGACAAGTGGCAAGTGTGCATACCTTCCGAGATCCCTGGTCGGCGGAGCTTCTCACACCACACCGTCACTGCTGCTGCGTGCGGCCCCACTCAGTTGTTGTCGTGCTATTGTATATCTTTTGGTGCTTCTGCGATTGCCCTATCACTGCTCCAGGGCTTGTCTTTCGCTCACTTTGTTCATTTTTATCATTTACGAGTTGAGAACGTAAACTTTAGTAAAAAATAAAAATAAAATGGTGTCAGACAAGTGTGGTGAGCCATACTCTGCAGTGATGGCGTGGATCCGCTGCAGGTTCAGCTTCGGCATCCTAGTCCTTCGTGCCAGCGTGGTGTACGGCTGCTGCATTCACAACCGGAGGCGGCGGAGTCACCTGCTCGACTTGCTGTCTCGGAAGCTCCCATACAGCACTAGACATTAAACAATGCCTTTGTCCTGTTGCCTATGTATGCATCATAGCCTCCATTCATAGGCCTAATGCATCATCATTACTTTTCCGGCATGGTTCATGTTTTATTGTGCTGTGGCGCAAGTCCAAGAGGCTGTTAAACCCTCGAAAAGAAAGAAAAAGGTGCCGCATTTTTGTGAATTAAAACAAAGATCGAAAAATGAGTAGGGGAGGGGGGGGGGGGTAGTGCCCCCCCCCCCCCCCCCTTACACACTACCCATTTGGCTAGAACCCCGAGTTATAACGTTACGTCACTTTCTGCAATGAGATTTATCACAGCAGAACCCAAACTTCTTTCCTCAGTAGTACACACAGGCGAGTACAACGCCCACTACAGGCGCGCTGCGCTGTGTGTACAAGGTAATCATGGGATACCACTGCAACAAAACTCAATCCACACTCTGATGGTTACATACTCTTGCTAGCACCCACAGTGTACATGTATGTACAAGACATGACAAATCGGTGATGCAACACTAACCTCAGTTCGCTTGATCACCGGCGGATTGTACGGACGATCATTAGCTCCTACATCCCGGTCTGCTAGCTGCAACATGTTGTAGAGTGTTGGTCCAGTAACCTGGGCACATGAGTACAATTTCCACAATTAACAATTGTGAGTGAGACGTGAGACAGAGGAGAGAGAGAGAGAGAGAGAGAGAGAGAGAGAGAGAGAGAGAGAGAGAGAGAGAGAGATTGCACTGTCGATGCCTACTATCGCCTTACCTTGCCGAATATGGTGTGCTTTCCATTGAGATGATCACATCGATCCAGGGTGAAGAAAAACTGACTGCCATTGTCATTAGGACCGCCATTTGCCATGGCAACAAGGCCTCGGCGATTGAAGCGAATACGCTGATGAAACTCATCCTAGTTCCACACATTGAACAAGAAGCAAAAACAACTTTTTCATGATGGAAGAAAGGAGAGTTAATTGTGGAAGCTGCGCTTTGTGGGCCTTGGCAGCCTGTAATGGAGGTTTCGCACTCACGGGATACCCAGCGGTAACGGGACAAGGGAAATGTTCCGATCGCCGGGCAACTATGCGTGGTCGTTTACACGCATGGTCAGTTTCCCCTGGCCGCATGTGTTGCCATGTCTTTCGTGCCGGGAAGCTCAAAAATCTAATTTCTAGTGTGCATTTTGTAGTACAGTTGCGCTCGGTGAAATCCGACCCAGAGTGCATATTCGGCGCCCTCAACTAGCGACGCCCTGGAAGTTGCACGAATGTGGCTGGACGTACACATGTACAAATACAATGATGTAATCGGAACTACATTATTCCAGCGCTTCGCACTTTGCGTCGGATTTCACCGAGCGCAACTGTACATATTGAAATTAGTGCACTTACATGTTTCTTCTGCTACTTGATCAACACACTTACTTTCGAACTCGGATGGTGAGCCAATTTAATATTGTTGGTTTGCGCCTTGGAGAAGTGTTGGAGCTAGGTGTCAGGTCGCTGAATGTAACAGTACTCCTTGTCAGTTTTGTGCCATTTTGTCGCACTTGCTGACTGTATATGATCTGGTTACGTTGGTGGACAGTTAATCATAACTTGTAACATGTCGTCCTTTTCCTTTTTTAACACCTGCTTTTCTGCACCATCCTTGATCATTTTCGTATAATTGCCTCTCTGTAACTTGATAAATAATATTAATTGGCTCCCTCAAATTTATTAATGTAATTTACAATTTCACAACAACTCCTTGGCTGTCGTTTCTTCATGTCCTGAATTTCGTAACTTTTTTTATGAAAGTGCTCTTTTTCCTTGATGAACCTTTTCCTTCTTCTTCTTCTTCTTCTTCTTCTTCTTCTTCTTCTTCTCCTCCTCCTCCTCCTCCTCCTCCTCCTCCTCCTCCTCCTCCTCCTCCTCCTCCTCCTCCTCCTCCTCCTCCTCCTCCTCCTCCTCCTCCTCCTCCTCCTCCTCCTCCTCCTCCTCCTCCTTCTTCTTCTTCTTCTTCTTCTTCTTCTTCTTCTTCTTCTTCTTCTTCTTCTTCTTCTTCTTCTTCTTCTTCTTCTTCTTCTTCTTCTTCTTCTTCTTCTTCTTCTTCTTCTTCTTCTTCTTCTTCTTCTTCTTCTTCTTCTTCTTCTTCTTCTTCTTCTTCTTCTTAACCGGGTCAAAACATCCCCCATGGCCAGTTACCTCAGCGGAAAGGTCTGAGCGATGGTTTTTTGTCAGGATCACGTGATTGGCAGCTTCTTTCAGATCTGGACGAGAGGCTGGTATTCCCACACTTTATTGCACCTACCACGTGTCGTCCAGACATAGTTCTCTTCTCGAAGAAATTGAGAAGGGTTCTTTGGCTGGAACTCACGGTGTGTAGCGAAGACCGCATCATCCAGTCCAGGGAGAAGAAGCTGTCACGGTATCGCCACCTCAAACAGGAGTGTGTGAAGAATGGCTGGGAAGTCGAGGCCCTCACAGCAGAGGTGGGAGCTAGAGGAGCCATTTCCAGCAGCCTGGACGGTTTGGCACGGGCATTGGGCTGTTGTAAGGAAAAACAGCGCCAAATAAGAAGGAACTGCAGAAACGCAGCACTAAATTCCAGCTACGTTATCTGGCTAAGGCGACGTGAGAAGGCTTGGCGCGACTGGCCACTGTTTTAAAAGTCCCCGAGAGGCCGTTTGTTGGCACTTGGTTGGCGGACAGCCACCCAGCGAGGATAGTTGGGTACCCTTCAAATCTTGGTTTTAACTCGCCACACCGGCTTCTAAAGGGCCGGGGGTGGGTGTTCGCCAACCAAGTCGAGCTTTCGTTCGTTTTTTTTTTTTTTCGTTTTTCTAGTCTACTTGCTTGTGCTGCGCCGCGCTGGAGCGAGTCTATCAGTAGATGCTTTCGCCGCTTAGAGCTACTATTGCACAAAGCCACAACACTGCGCGCTGCCATTCGCTGTATGCTTTCGCTGCACCAAGCTGCTGTTAAGCTGCACGACGCCACAACAAAAATTCACTACAACAGTCTCGTCCACAACTTCACTACAACAGTCTCGTCCATATTGCACTACGCTGAGCACTGGCCTGCTCCCGCTCTGAAGAGCTTTTTAGCCTTCACCGCTTTTGCTCAACCCCAGGCATTGGCCCACAGTGGCATCCGCTTCCTTTTTCTTTTTCTTTTCTCCTTTTACTTTCTCCGTCACTGCCTAAAAAACAGTCGAGACGGTTTTTTACCCACCAGTTTTTATTGGTGCGAATTACTTTCCTTCTTCTTCTTCTTCTTCTTCTTCTTCTTCTTCTTCTTCTTCTTCTTCTTCTTCTTCTTCTTCTTCTTCTTCTTCTTCTTCTTCTTCTTCTTCTTCTTCGACTGCCAGGAGCAGCTCCGGCACCTAAAGGGCCTACAAATGCAAGGGGCCTGGACCAAATGGGCAGACACAATGTTCGAGGACATGACATGGCGGAAACTCTTATACGAGGGCTATGGAAGGACGATATCGTTCCAAATGAACGCGATACTTAATACTCTGCCTTCGCCTGACAATCTGAGACGATGGGGCAACTCTGTTGTGGACCAGAATTGCCCTCTTTGTCAGCGGACATCAACACTGAGGCACATTCTCACCGCCTGCCCTTCCTCACTCCATCAAGGAAGGTACACGTGGCGCCATGACAACGTCCTGAAACAGATCAGTAAATTCATGACAGAAATAGTATCAGCAAAGCAAAAGTCGTCAAATACCGAGCAAACTCCCACTTATGGTACATACATTACCTTCTGTAAACCGGGTCAAAACATCCCCCATGGCCAGTTACCTCAGCGGAAAGGTCTGAGCGATGGTTTTTTGTCGGGATCGCGTGATTGGCAGCTTCTTTCAGATCTGGACGAGAGGCTGGTATTCCCACACTTTATTGCACCTACCACGTGTCGTCCAGACATAGTTCTCTTCTCGAAGAAATTGAGAAGGGTTCTTTGGCTGGAACTCACGGTGTGTAGCGAAGACCGCATCATCCAGTCCAGGGAGAAGAAGCTGTCACGGTATCGCCACCTCAAACAGGAGTGTGTGAAGAATGGCTGGGAAGTCGAGGCCCTCACAGCGGAGGTGGGAGCTAGAGGAGCCATTTCCAGCAGCCTGGACGGTTTGGCACGGGCATTGGGCTGTTGTAAGGAAAAACAGCGCCAAATAAGAAGGAACTGCAGAAACGCAGCACTAAATTCCAGCTACGTTATCTGGCTGAGGCGACGTGAGAAGGCTTGGCGCGACTGGCCACTGTTTTAAAAGTCCCCGAGAGGCCGTTTGTTGGCACTTGGTTGGCGGACAGCCACCCAGCGAGGATAGTTGGGTACCCTTCAAATCTTGGTTTTAACTCGCCACACCGGCTTCTAAAGGGCCGGGGGTGGGTGTTCGCCAACCAAGTCGAGCTTTCGTTAGTTTTTTTTTTCGTTTTTCTAGTTTACTTGCTTGTCCTGCGCCGCGCTGGAGCGAGTCTATCAGTAGATGCTTTCGCCGCATAGAGCTACTATTGCACAAAGCCACAACACTGCGCGCTGCCATTCGCTGTATGCTTTCGCTGCACCAAGCTGCTGTTTAGCTGCAAGACGCCACAACACAACTTCACTACAACAGTCTCGTCCACAACTTCACTACAAGTGTCTCGTCCATATTGCACTACGCTGAGCACTGGCCTGCTCCCGCTCTGAAGAGGTTTTTAGCCTTCACCGTTTTTGCTCAACCTCAGGCATTGGCCCACAGTGGCATCCGCTTCCTTTTTTCTTTTTCTTTTCTCCTTTTACTTTCTCCGTCACTGCCTAAAAAACAGTCGAGACGGTGTTTTACCCACCAGTTTTATTGGTGCGAATTACTTTCCTTCTTCTTCTTCTTCTTCTTCTTCTTCTTCTTCTTCTTCTTCTACGAGCTTTCGTTCGTTTTTTTTCTTTTCGTTTTCTAGTCTACTTGCTTGTGCTGCGCCGCGCTGGAGCGAGTCTATCAGTAGATGCTTTCGCCGCTTAGAGCTACTATTGCACAAAGCCACAACACTGCGCGCTGCCATTCGCTGTATGCTTTCGCTGCACCAAGCTGCTGTTAAGCTGCACGACGCCACAACACAAATTCACTACAACAGTCTCGTCCACAACTTCACTACAACAGTCTCGTCCATATTGCACTACGCTGAGCACTGGCCTGCTCCCGCTCTGAAGAGCTTTTTAGCCTTCACCGCTTTTGCTCAACCCCAGGCATTGGCCCACAGTGGCATCCGCTTCCTTTTTCTTTTTCTTTTCTCCTTTTACTTTCTCCGTCACTGCCTAAAAAACAGTCGAGACGGTTTTTTACCCACCAGTTTTTATTGGTGCGAATTACTTTTCCTTCTTCTTCTTCTTCTTCTTCTTCTTCTTCTTCTTCTTCTTCTTCTTCTTCTTCTTCTTCTTCTTCTTCTTCTTCTTCTTCTTCTTCTTCTTCTTCTTCTTCTTCTTCTTCTTCTTCTTCTTCTTCTTCTTCTTCTTCTTCTTCTTCTTCTTCTTCTTCTTCTTCTTCTTCTTCTTCTTCTTCTTCTTCTTCTTAGGAAAAACAGCGCCAAATAAGAAGGAACTGCAGAAACGCAGCACTAAATTCCAGCTACGTTATCTGGCTGAGGCGACGTGAGAAGGCTTGGCGCGACTGGCCACTGTTTTAAAAGTCCCCGAGAGGCCGTTTGTTGGCACTTGGTTGGCGGACAGCCACCCAGCGAGGATAGTTGGGTACCCTTCAAATCTTGGTTTTAACTCGCCACACCGGCTTCTAAAGGGCCGGGGATGGGTGTTCCCCAACCAAGTCGAGCTTTCTTTAGTTTTTTTTTCGTTTTTCTAGTCTACTTGCTTGTGCTGCGCCGCGCTGGAGCGAGTCTATCAGTAGATGCTTTCGCCGCTTAGAGCTACTATTGCACAAAGCCACAACACTGCGCGCTGCCATTCGCTGTATGCTTTCGCTGCACCAAGCTGCTGTTAAGCTGCACGACGCCACAACACAAATTCACTACAACAGTCTCGTCCACAACTTCACTACAACAGTCTCGTCCATATTGCACTACGCTGAGCACTGGCCTGCTCCCGCTCTGAAGAGCTTTTTAGCCTTCACCGCTTTTGCTCAACCCCAGGCATTGGCCCACAGTGGCATCCGCTTCCTTTTTCTTTTTCTTTTCTCCTTTTACTTTCTCCGTCACTGCCTAAAAAACAGTCGAGACGGTTTTTTACCCACCAGTTTTTATTGGTGCGAATTACTTTCCTTCTTCTTCTTCTTCTTCTTCTTCTTCTTCTTCTTCTTCTTCTTCTTCTTCTTCTTCTTCTTCTTCTTCTTCTTCTTCTTCTTCTTCTTCTTCTTCTTCTTCTTCTTCTTCTTCTCGTTATTCATCGGATGGTGCCTCTTCCTAGGGATGCTTTCAGTAAGCTTCCAGCCATAGGTAAGGTTTCCTTGCTTCTTCTCTTAGTTTTTTTCCCTGTAGTAGAATCTTCTATCTGTTCAACCCGACTCAGTTTTTTTCCCGTCGACGGCCCCTGGATCTTGTCGAGGGCCCCGGCCAGTAGTCCTCATGGCCAGTCACCACTCAGTACTAGAGTCTCTCTGCAGGGCTTGTGGCTCCTTTCTTCCTCCCTTTCGCAAAGATCAGAAGACTAGAACGACTGCGTGAATGATCACGCAGACGAGCTCCTGCATTATGTCAACATTGACACTACTGCAGATGCACCGGACACACATCCCACAACATTTTTTTGTGGTTCATGCAAATCATACATGAGACTGGCTTCCTCCTCCTCTTCTGGTGACTTCAGAACACCTGGCCTTTACATATGGTAGCCAGATAGTTTGTGAGGTGTGCTCCAATGCTGTAGATAGAAAGAAAGGTGGCAGGCCAAAGAAGCCATCGTGTGTTGCTGTGTCTAGGGTCACACCCAAGCCCCCGCATTGCAGTTCGGACAGGCTCCAGGAGCTGGCCTCCCCACCATTGGCTGGAAAGGAATCACTTATTTTCATGTCACCGTCTCCCTCTCTTTCTTGCCGTGTATGTTCACAGCAAGTGAACGCAGCGATTCAGCACCCATGCTGCGAGCGCCGTTCGTGTGTGGAGTGTATCCATGATGCTTTTCGGGATGCATTTGAGGTAGAGTGTATGCACTGCAAAGCAAATCTGCGGGCAGCTCAGTTTAAATACCTATCTTCATTCACTATGAACATACTTACTAAACGTAGAGTTCAGTGCAGCAAGTGCCTTGACAGCATTCAATCCAAGTAAGTGGTTCGGGACACTGCAGAATCACACTGCCCTCCGCCACGGTAGCCCAGCAATTAGTAACGAGTGGCTTTCGAGTCGAGGACGAAGACATTGTTCCGCAATTTTTCTCAGCAACAAACTCAATTCAGCTACACATCCACGACATACCAGTCTGGGTTTCGGACTGTTTCGTGCTTGATGCACTCTCACTGTATGGGGCTGTGCAGGGAAGCATACGGTACGGCAAATTAAAGTCCGTGATGACGTTTACGTTGCCTCTGGTGTCAGATTTGCCACCTTTAAACCAAAAGCAAGTACCAAAAATCCCGTCGAGAGATAGGCGTACCATTCCGGTGCGTTTGTGGGCAACCATATCCAGAAAGCGCTACAGCCAACAGTATGGAAGGAGATCACCAATGCACCACTCCAAACTATGACCGACCTCTTCAACATCGACAACTTACCCAATGTGCAGTATGCTCCAGAGCAACAAGATCTGCTGGATAGCGTCTCACCACTCCGTGACAAGTACAATACACTCCTCACACAGTACAGTGATTGCAGAGCGATCGTTTCCAGTGTGTGACAAAGCTACACCTGTCTCTCTACGTCAACTCTCAACCAATATCGACGTATTCATGACAAGTCTACGAAACATTGTGACCGAGCAGAAGAAGACGGTAAGACCAAAGATGCACATGTTGGAGTGGCATACCGTGGATTGCATAAAGGAGTTTGGAGTCTGCCTTGGACTGATGGGCGAACAGGGTGGCGAATCCATTCACAGATGCTTCAAGCACCTGAGAAGTTCAATCAGCAACGTGAACAGAGACGTGGACCGTCTTCGAGTTCATTTCTGGCAGTACTTGAACCACACACTGCCCAGATAACTGTTATAACACCATAAAGCTACCAGCCAGTGAGACGAAAGTGCTCCAGTCAGTGAACAGAAAGCGCTCTATGACCAAGCTGATTCTTTAGACCAGACAATAGCAATAAGCGAGCGTAGCTGTCATAGCAGAGTCTTCCATTTGCATGTCAGACTGCATGAAAGAGAAACAATCTGATATACGGCGCCAAAGGATGGCGGGTGGTAGTGGGCCAAAGCATGGCCTATGCGGCGGCTTCGCAGAGTCATTTTCATTGATATACTGGAATTAGTGTCTCAGTTACTTTGCATGTCGAACAAGAAGCATACGAGCTACACGACACAGAAATGTTGAAAGATTTGTTTGAGAAAAACGAGCAATCAAGCTGAGCACAGCACTCGCTATTTAGGGTACTGTGGATACTGCCGTCACGTCTGAGTGACTTTTTTCCACGAAAATGTCAGCCATGTGCAGTAGTTTCCAGCTTCGAACAGCCGTGATGTCTGAGCTGTACCTGGCTAGTTTTTTGTTTGTTCTTTTGGGCACCATATCCTCTACTCCTTTCAGGATCCTCTTGTTGCAGCTTGGATGTCTATTGCGTGATCAAGGGTGCATGAAACCAAGAGTGTGCATCTTCACGACCTTTCTGCATGGGCGTCTGTTACGCCCAAATATAGTACAGATACGTGGCAGGACGTGGCGGAGTGTTTTAAATCCTCCTTGTGTGCACATCGCTAAAAAATAGCCTAAAATCATGCAATCCAGGAATAAATTCGCCATGACGGCAACCCATTCAAGCTGCACACTTTTGGTTTCATGTACTCTTTACACCTCCACAGGAAACAAAAACAAATGGAAAGCAAGGCTGCGATGTCCTCCTCAACATGTTGTCCTCATGAACGCATTGTCCGCATAAGTGCACTGTCTGCAATGTAGGCTGTGATGCACTCGTACAACCAGGGTTCAGGGCTCCCGCCAAAGACTAGATCTATGCATGTGTACTGTATGATCGTAGCCTTTTCCCAGCGACCAATGCCCTGAGGCCCACAGCCACAGATTTGCCAGATTTTCCCGAGAGGGCTCTTTCTTTCCAAACAGTGATTTCACCCATGTGTGCGTGAACCCCCCCCCCCCTACATGGGACCGTCAGTGGTTACAGATTGTTACACATAGAAGAAAAGCTTTTGTAGTTTTTCAGCCCCCACCCACCCACCTCCCATTTCCGCAGGTGCAACAAAACCCAGCGCAGCGTTGATTTCAATCTTCAGCACCATCAGTTCGATTGGGGGTGCTCATTCAATGTTCATTTTTGAAATGAAAACCCCCAACACATTCACCCTCCAAGATGGTGGCGTGTAAGATATTAGTATTGTAAAAGGTGGCATTAACGTGCCGTTACCTTGAATGTTTCTCCATAGATAGACTCTCCACCTGTTGCAGCATACAACATGCGCAACACACATGCAAGCGCACACACACGCACACATATGCACAATGAGTTAGCTTGGAGAAAATAAAAATAGAAGAGCACAGAACCCTATGCACGAAATATAATATTGTCTTAAGATCGCCCTTTGGGTGTGAAACTCAGAGACAGGCAACGTGTTCCGCCTTGTCCACAATGTGTGAACAGCTCTGCAAACTGTGCACTGAGCATTACCGTAGCAACAGTGCCTACCCTTGTGTGTGTGTGCGGGGGGGGGGGGGGGGGGGCGAGCATGCGTGCATGTGTGTATGAGTCACTCCAGTGAACCCATGTACTTCAAATTACATGCATCATTGTCAATAGTTCAAGTGAAATGCCCGCACTTGTCACATAGACAAACAAGTTCGCACACAAATCAACAGGAAATGGTTGCCAATGGCATACTACTCAACCAAAAATGGCTAAATGGCAAACAGCAGAAAGAAATGGCACATACCTTCGCCAGTTCCAGTCGGATCACCACCTTGTGCAATAAAACCTAACAACCATACACACAGAAGAAAACCGCAGCACACGTTTGTACACACCAGCACACACACACACACACACACACACACACACACACACACACACACACACACACACACACACACACACACACACACACACTCCACACGAATGCAGCACACACAGTCACAGAACAGACACATCGTCATCGTGTTCAGCATCAAACCCTACTTCTATTATGTGGAATAATAATTTTGTACAGCATGCGTATGCATGCCTATCGTCATTGACATTACAACATACCATACCATGGGCTTTGCAAGAGCATATTAACTTGATTACCTTTAAACAGTGCACCAATGGATCAACGTTATGTGGCTGTAGCTCTGAGCGCCATACACATGATGCTACAGCCATTATATAACGTGAAGACTGTGGTGATCATGTCGGTATATAACAAAAGGGAAAGGGAGATACTAGCACCGATGATGTTGAGGTGTCAGTGATCCTGGGTGTGGTGCTATGCTGTGGGTGTTGTGTAGTGCAAAAGTTCAGAACTCATCTCCAAGTGCCAACATGAGAACAAGTGACTTCCTAAGCCACCACGGTATCATCCAACGTTACTCAACTCTACCATCACACCCACCCAGTCCCCCCCCCCCCCCCCCCCAGCAAAGCTACACACTCTGTATAAACACCACAGTGTACCCTCAAGAGAAAAGTTGTGAATAAAACACATACAGCCCCACATACACAGATTTTCCCACTGCTCAACTTCAGTGCGATATACAATGACAACCCAACACCCAAAGCATAGTTCCACACTCATGACCGCTGACGTCTCCACATCCCCACTACACTCCCAAACAGTTAGCACCCTCTTTACCTTTGTAAATATACCGTCATGATCAGCACCATCTTGTCTGATGATAATTGCGCTATGTGCACCCAACTGAGAGTAGTAATTCCCTAGCTTGGTCCATTGCTGTATTGTGCACTACGCTCTGTCCCCACAGCATTTACACATTTTCAGCACGCTCGGTGCATCCTCTGTGGAACTTGCTAGCATAGAAAAATCCCAGTCAAATAGCTGCCCAAGAGCCGCGTCGCCCGCGAACACACCTTTGATAATGCGGTGGAATATGGTGCCATCATAGTAGCCATCAAGACAGAGCTGGATGAAGTTGCGGCATGCCTTCGGAGTCTCTTTGGGCCAGAGCTCAATATCAATATCGCCGGACGTAGTGACAAGCAACACCTGATGAGACAAGCATGAAAGCAACATAGAAAGTGCAATTGTGAGAACTGGGGAGGGGAATGTGTATGGTGGTGCGGTTTTTTTGTAGGGAGGCTAATGCTAGGCTCGTCAAAGACTTTCATGTAAGAGAGTCATGCTATGCGAAATCATACTAAAACCAACAATTTCAGTCGAGCAGAAGATACTTCACTGAACAACAACTCAGCCCAAGTGCAAGAGGCAGCTAAAGACACTCCAGAGAATAGAACATTGGTGTGTCGACCAGATGATTCGAGGATGAATGCCATGAGTAAAACTCTGCCATATACTACTAGTACTGATAAGGGTGCTTCGCCCTTCAGAAGCCTGCCATATTTATAAGGGTGGGTTTCTTTCGCCATTACAGTACTGTATACGTGGTTCAAAAGTATATCATATCCACCACTTGCAACAGTACTGCGGAGATAATTTTCATTTCCACCTAATTCAGGCCACACCAAAGTAGGACGTTTGATGCGGTACTAGTAACTCCATCGACTTGTTCTCTCGATTGAAAACAATGTTTGGTCTTACAGTGATGCCACAGTATACATGTATGTACGTGTACATGCAATTGTAAGGCTGTCATCACACTATGGTACAAAGTGCTGCGTCTACGTCCACGTAAGGAGTTTTTGGTCGGTTGCCATGATGACCCATGTACGGGAACAGAGGAAACGGGAGACGTAGATGTGGTAGGGAGAGAAGGGGGGGGGGGGGGGTATACAACTATTTAGAATTAAGCGGGTGAACGTGCGTATCTCCCCCAGTCCTCTCCCGAGCGACCTTGTACGTGCGTTTGATATTTCAAATTTCTCCAACAAAGTGACCGCGTGTACGGGTCAAGAACTGTGCATGTGTGATGATACGACAACCCGTTTTGGATTTTTCACCGTCGGCGTACATGTAAACGGGAGTCTGAGAACGTAGTGTGATGACGGCCTTAAGTTCTGGTCGGAGAAATTCAACCTCATGCAGAAAAAAAATAGCGCTGGAGCTACTCGGCCCTAGCACCACACACACACACACACACACGCACGCACACGCACAAACACACAATTAATCGCACTTGAACGCGGCGCTACTTTATTCATGAGGTCGAATTTCTCTGACCAGCGCATGCAGCTGCTCTCCAAACGGCCGTCCGGTAAAAGTGCCGGGACTGTGGATCAATCTTAGGCATGCTGTGCTACATATAGAGTTACTAGTTTGAACAAAAATAATTGCCCAACCCCGCTAGATTATTCTCACCGTGCCCATCACAACGGATTTTTACGCTATCCGAATCACACACATCATTTCTTGTGTTACCCCACAAGGAATTGTTTCGAACGGATTCAATAGAAATAAGTGTCAAACTACATCGGAAAGTTTCCAGTACCTTCCCCGAGGTAGACGGCTCCTGGACGTAGATGTTGCTCATTGTCGTCTACTGACAGCCACAGTGTAAGTTGTATATCTACTGGCAAGCAGGTCAGGTCAACATATGATCGCAAATCACAACTAAAATTTCCCAAACCAAACGACAATTTTGAAAGTCGATCATTCAGTTATATTTTAGGGGTTACGTAATTACGTCACTGGTACGTAGATCTATGGTGCAAAAATAATAATATAATTATTGTGTGTTTTTGATTTTCTGGAAGTTTTTGCGCGTACTGTACTGACAGAGGCGATCCCGGAAAGGCAGGTTGGCCTTTCTTGAAACTGCACCATGGTGGACTCGCTCTCGATCTCCAGTTATGTAGACTCCAGTTATGTCTACTTTCTTTGGCCGACCTCCTGTAAACGGACTCACAACCGTACAGAATAGTACTGCTGGACACAGACGTTCAGTTCGGAGTTCAGGCTTTGTTGCAGCACGTGGTAGAGGCCAACTTCTGGCAGTACAGTGTTTGTAACAAATCGCAACTCAAGATGAGCAGCTGGCCGGATCTGATGTGTCAGAGGATGTCCGTGGAAGACGACATCAGGTGCTGTCCACACTTGGTGCGATCAAGAGTTCGCTCCATACTTTCGCAGTCCCGGTATGATGTGCTGCTTGGTACAATGATGCCAGCATATTTCTGGAGCAATTTGCTGTAGGCGTGAAGGACGCGGTCGCTGGGGCAAAAGTCTAGTCTATGTACGGCGTGTTTATTCACTTATGCTCAGATGTCGTTACTTTGGAGCAGAACAACCTGCTGAAGTGTTTGAGAGCGTGTCTGCGCGGATTCAATCCGCCACTGGCTAAAACTTGCCAATGTCTGGCTTGTATCGCAGCACTTTCTTGAGAAAACGAGTCCTGATAACTGGAAGCAATGGTGAGTATTTCGTATTCTGTTTGTGTGTACATGTATATCCTGCGTACCCGTATCCAGTCCGAAATAATTAATTTTTCAATCTGGCTTCCGACGTTATAGGTAATACCGGTACTACATTGCACTAATGTACTCAGGCAACTATGTTGTTCTAGTTCTCTGCAAGAAACTCGTTTCAGATAGTTTCTTGGTGTGATTTGAATAAGAGAGAAGACTTTTTGGCTACATGACTTGGAGAAGTAAAAAGAAAAAAAATATTGGTAAATGAAGTACTAATATGTTTGCTAATGCCCCAGCAGCATCTACAGTGCAACCAGCGACGTACTACATTGTAGTATCAGTACTGACAGTAGAAGTACATGCAGTGTGTGTTCCAGAAGGCAGTGTGTAGACTGCTATTTGTAGTGACTGACTACCACATGTGCCAGTATCCTGTCAGATGGCAAGCAGTACGCTGATGCACATGTGTACTATAACATTACGAGACGAAGTTCAATTTGAGCGTTGAATTGTGGCAGTGGAGCGTGTAGTCAGTTGCCGGTGTCGGGTGTTGGAATAATGGAGCGGTGGCGCAAGCAAGTGCTGATCACAGGGAGTAACGGTACAGTGCAGACAAAACTATGACTGTAGTACTCACACTATAGTGATAACGAAGAAACTCAGCCAGCCAATTGGCATTGCTATCCGCGTGTTCTAATTGCTGTTTTTGTCTAGAACATCTCCCATGCAGTGTGTGTGTGTATGTGTGTGTGTGTGTGATTATATTTTTGTTAGTGGCGTTGCGTTGTATTGTCGGTTAAATCGCTTTGGAGAAAGATATTTTGCAGTCTGTTGTGGAGCACCACCACATTCTTTTCACTGTATGCGTATATGTGCAATGCTCTTGTGTGTGTAAACGAATCTCTCACATGGCATCCTTGGGACAGTTGCCTGGACTGCAAGGCTAGGAGTGAAAAGTGGCAGTCGTGAATCTTGTTCACATTACTTATCAGTACCTGCCCTCAAGTTTACGTCGGACCTACCGAGCGTCCTGTGCATTTTCGTGGACTTGGGTCGGAGCTTTATGCTTGAACACTGTCCACAGGTCTTCGTTGGTGCGAAAATGACTACATGTACTTGTAGAGCACCGGTGACAGCATGCTAATTGTTCAGCTGGTCTGCAATGCAGGCGTGGCTGCGGTGAGCTTCCTCTTGTGACTCACTGCCTCGCTGTGAGCCAGGTCTGCAGTTACCATGTGTGGTAGTACTGCAGTGGTTGTGCGGGGAGTGGACTGTGTGAGAGTGGATCTCAGTCAGCCAGTGAGAAGAAGTGTTGCTCCCAGCAGTAGGGTTTCACTTTCCAGTTTCCACATCTGTATCATTGCGTTGAGATCAGTACAGTGTATTCCGCTACCCATGCTAGTTGCCTACTCTGGTAGAACGATATCTAATATTATGATATTGGACTATTACATGTAGCACCAAGTGTGTTCTGCACTACCTGTATTTGCTGTTGATGTTTACTGTGCTGTGTGCTCTGTGTCCATGCTATGAAATCTGCTTCTCCGTCATGGAACATTACAGGAAATTTAGGTGAGTTGAATTTTCCTTGCTTGTAGGCCGATATCACAATTGGACGTACCAGTACCGGTATGCATCATTTCCCCATCATTATATGTACAGTGCTGCCAAATAATTTTCGCCCAAAATCGGACACCCTTCACCGCCAAGGCTGGCCACATGGTGCGAATTTTTCTCCTCGGCAAATGTTTTACAGAGAATTCAAAATATCGCCTAAAACACCATGAAAAATCGCTCCGTTGCCATGGTAACCCCAGAGTTGTCATGAATTTTGTAATGATGAGTGTGGTCGCACACTGACTCTGTACAGACTGTCAGTGTACATGCCATCCAGCCTGATCCAGGCATGTTACTTTGCACTTCTACAGCCAAGCGCTAGCCTTTTTAGAAGCAAATGTACAGTGATGTGTGCCTTCAGTTGCGCTGAAAAGTGAAAGTACAGGACTTCTGCATAGGAAAGTATTGATCTCCGACATTTTGGCTGCTTTTCGGACGTTTCCCTTTTCGGACCGGTTTTCGGAAGAGCCTTCAAAATCGGACACTGTCCGAAAAATCGGACGGTTTGGCAGCACTGCATGTAGGTTTTGCAGGACAAGTCCACTTCAACCGCACACACCTTTATACCAGCTCTGTATAAAAGGTCATAAGCTTTGTAAGGTCATTATATGGGACAACTTGCCCCGCGAAAAGGTGACCTGGTGACAGTTGCTAGGCATCTTCGATGCATACATTAGGGTGCGTTTTTATTTTCTCTAGCTTCTCGGAGAAATTTCTCCTAGAAGTCGAAGAAACTGGCGTAATTTAGGAACGGGTCTCGAAGAATTCGGAGATCTTTTCCACATGTGAAGCGCCAAAAGAGCCGCAATCTTGAGTGAGTACGCACTGTGCATATGCAGAAAGTATTGTTGTACACTCGAGCTAGAAAAAACCGTGTTTGGCACCAGAGTGAACGTCCCCTCTAAAGTACCTGTACTCTTTTCTTCTTTGGTCTTGTGTAAACAGGAGGCAAGCTAGCCACGTATCTAATCAGCACCAAACAGTTTGACCTTTTCCTGGTGGACGTCCACGAAAAGTCCAAGATCAAGGTACTAGTACATGTATGCGGTGCTTCGCGTTTTGAGTTTGTTGTAACTGAAGCGTGCATGTGCAGGGGCGTAGCGTAGCCCTTTTCAAACTGCTTTAGAAGGTCATGTGACACCATATAGTGTACAGAAGTCACCCTATTTTCATTTTTGCAGCCAAGGATACTGGCTCATCCAGCTCCTTTTATTTGAATTTTTCTGTAAACTCATTCAGCAGACTACATGTACATTGTACTTCTGAAGTACATCATTCTCCTTTGATCTTGAACTACATGTACCATAGGCTGCTTCTTACACACGTTTTGCAGGAGGTTATGACATTTAGACTTGCAAAAACGTGCTTCTTTTCCTCGAATGGCAGGGAGCAGCAAGTTAGACCAAAAACAGCGCAGTGTAGTCACTTCACACCAGGGAGCAGTAAAACACCAGTATTTGCTACTCCTTGCTTCACATTCACACTCAGCTCCCCTCGCTCCGGTCACGCTGCTGTTTTACGGTTTGCAAAGGTACATGTACCGACAATGGCCGCATGTACAACAATTTTCAAGACTGACATACATGTAGACCCACAAAACATGTGTGAAGGATCTACCCGGCACGTGTACAAGTCCAGTCCACGCATCGACACATGGATATGATGAACGTTGACCGTAGGCACTTTGCGTTACGCATTATCCTGTTTTGCGGAAGAAGTTCTAAGGAGTCAAATATAAGAAGTCCAATAAAATTATTATGTATTTGACTAAGCAGTCAAATACGCGATATATTTGACCACTTAGGTATCAGGGAAATTAGTGGGTTCAAATACTAAGAAGGCGATAAAGTATTATAATATTATAGTGTGAGGAATGTGATACAGCATGGCAGATTGTTCGCCAAGCAACACGTATGGACTCAAACACTCGACCTGCTATAATTCAGTTGGGCTGTGACTGTTTGAATGGATACATGTACCATGCTTGTGTGGCCTTTCTGGGTGCTGTCAGCTGATCATAACAAGATCAGTGGAGCTTGTAGCTATGATCAGCAAGGTTAGTGGCACGTGGAGCTTGAATGAAGTGGACCGCGCCGGGCATGAATTTCAGCAATGCCAATCAGCCTACTGTGACCCTGCGTGTACTTCATAAGAATATGGAATTGGAATAATGGCCCCATTGCTGTAAGTGCAGACCTCTAGTCCTCTGTATTTTTGTTGGCTTTTTCTTCGTTTCTGTGTCAGCATGATATTCACATTCCCATCGTGGAGTATATCCAAGCGGATCTGCGCACACAGCAGTCAACGTGGACAAGGCGATTGCGACGCACCGACGTAGTCATTCATTTTGCCTGTGCCAACTCGCAGCCGGATGCCACCTGGACGGATGCGGCCGCTAGCATGGATATCACTTTCAATGTACTTTTGCAGGCGGCCAAGGCGCGGGTTGGTCGTGTCATTATTGCTAGTTCCTGCCATGTAGCTGGTAAGTGGTTGAAATGGGAGAAGCAAGAAAGTGTGTGGTAGTGCATGTTGTAGCAGGCAATCCACTCAACCAAAATCTGTGCTTGTTTGCCACGTGATGGGTGCTGATGCAACTGAAATTCAGTCGCTTGTAACGTGATGTCCTTTAAATATGCTGTGAATCTTATTCCTGATCGGTTCGTGGCACCTAGCAATGTCCTCTTTCGTGCACAGGAACATATCTTCACTGTTGGTATTTCATTGATCTTCAGGTGGCTGGAAGGATCAGGGAGGCATGAAACTGGCCCAGGACGGCTCCAACGCATTGCCTGGCTCATGTGAGCCATATGTCGGGATGATGTATGCAGCTGGGGACAAGTTTGTGGATTCTACAGCATACGCGTCACCCCACTTTGCAGCTGAGCGGCTTGCCTCGTCACTCGCAGCAACATTTTCAGGTAGGTCCTCCATCCATCACGTCTTTCTTATTCTAATAGTTTAAAATTACCAGCTCAGTGCTTCACTCTGCGTGAATTTATCTTACCCGGGCCACTATTCCATAAAGGTATAAACTCTGAGTAGCAACTAGATTTCTGCAGATTCTTTCTTCGTACCTGCTGTAGCAGGATGTTGTTTTCAAACGGGAGGAACTCACCTGGCAGGAAATCCATTTATCAGCAAGTACCGGTATAGTCTATAGTCCTGCATTCTAACTAGACTTTAGCAAGTACCGGTATAGTCTATAGTCCTGCATTCCAACTAGACTTTAGCCAAATGAGGACATGGTACATGTGCTTTGCACCGTGTCAATTCAGGATGCTAAACGAAGTCCGCAGCTACCCTATACGCAGGAAACTGTAGATCTACCTCAAAGATATCAGTGGTCAGGCAGTACTGTTATGTGTACTTGAGCAGCAATCGGTAATGTGTGCTGGTAGCCATGGCAGCACTTGGTGCATGCAAGGTGAACGCGTTTCGCAAAGTTTGCTCAGTTTGTAACTGTGTACTGTCCGGTTCCTGTTCAATGTTGTGTGCTGCCTTTTAGAGACCTCATTTGTAGCCATCCGGATTGGGTCCTGTGAGCGTGGTGAGAACCGCCCCGGCTCGACTTCTCCTTCTGGCCAACTATCAGATTCAGACCAGTCACGGGAATCATTATGCCGTAAGTCAGCCGCATCCTTCGCTTCGGTTAAATAAAAAAAAGGAATAATCTGTGCCAGAGCAATCTCCTGGTCTCTCTCTCTCTCTCTCTCTCTCTCTCTCTCTCTCTCTTTGTCAGCTTTATACCTGGTGGTTATGTGCTTTTCAAGTAAATAAAAAGTATGATATCAACTGTGTATGTTATACTGTACACCGTAGGTCACCATAGACTGAACACTGAGTCACTGTACTAGCAAGGAGTCCCTGGTTATCATCTTGCTCTTTTTTTCATTCTTGTTTTGCTAGATCCTGGCTCAGGCTCGGCCCTCGATGACCCAGGTGTAATCGACGACTGGTTCCGCAGTATGTGGCTATCAGATGAGTAAGTTAGTGGATCGCTTGTAACACCAAGTGCATGAAGCAGTTCGTTTCCGTCGAGACATTTTGCCCCCACTATTTCAGCTCCACAAACACACTCGCATCATCCATCTGCTGCCAGCAGAAAATGTTGTAGAGTGTTATAATTATACTGCTACATCAGAACAAAGAGGGTAGTGTGTGAAAGCCCGGTGTGCATCCCGGGCCTAGTACACGTGCACTTGTACTATGTAGTATCCTTCTTGACAAGAACAATGCCTGCTGCACCTGTGATCAGGTGATCGTGAGGTCCAGTGATTTCACTGAACTAAACCCTGTACAGTACAGCTGTGCTACGTGCTGCTGCGCTAGTGGAGTAGGGCGACCAGTGAATCTTACTGTTGTTTCTGCGTGCTCTATTCGCTGGCTTTCCTTTGCTTGCACAGGGACTTCATTGGGCTGTTTAGAAAGTGCATTGAGTGCTCGTTGGAGGATACGAAAGGCAGTTGCCTTATTATGAATGGTGTGTCCGCCAATGGTGGAAGCCGGTGGCTGCCGGATGCTAGCAAACCGCCAGTCGAGTTTCAAGCGCGCAGCGACAGTAGTACTAGTAGCAGTAGCGACGACACCTAGCCAGCAGAGCCGGCGCTGCTATTTGCTACTGGATCCAAATGATTTGCTATGACCTCTTCGGTGGTATGCCTGCGAAATGTGTGTGCATGCGTGTTCGTGTGCGTGTGCTGTACAGCACGGATCACTTGAGGTAGTTATTTTCTTGCTTGAAGAATTCGTCAGCTAAAAAGATATTTACTCCAGCATCAATTTACATTTTACTTCATCGCCAATCCGCCATTATTTTCATCAGGAGAGGTTGGGGATAAAACATAACCCTTTCGTCATCGTCAAGACTTTCATCAGGGATATTATTTTGCCAATAGTATGTTTCTAGCTGAGTGTACGCACCACTGTTGCTGTGGCATGCATGATAATGATGACTATGGCTTGTAATGTGATGTTCTTCCTGAAAGTCCCAATCCGTCTTCGAGCTACAGACTACTAACATCTCTAGTCTATAGTGTACAGTGTGCTTGCATTCCTTGGGAAACAACAGAGAACCCTGACAAAGCGTAGCGTTCCACACCTTCAAATCTCCCCACATACCCACACTCATACATCATGCCGATTTATTCCCATTTCTGATCGATCTGCCGTTTGGGTTTTTATTTATGCCAGACGCGCTACTTCTCGAACGTCTTGGCCAGCTACCAACTACCAGCTTATTATCACTGCGTCTTTGCTGTACAACTCCTTTGCTGCTGCCAATCACATCTAGTGTGTACCAGTAAGCATTTTACTTGTGGTGGTCTGTTTTATGCAGCTGTATGCCACCCCTGTAGGCTGTTGACATGACCTCATCATGATTCATCCACTGTTTCTCCTATTTCAAAATACCAAGAGTCCATAAACACTCTTGAAGATACAGTACTGTATAAAAACATTTTTGGGTTTTCATTATTTTTGTAAGAAGCCTTTTCACACCATCAGATTCACTGTGTTCCCAAACTGCGTGAAAACCACGTTCAATGCCATGGACCCTGGTGTGGCACCTGCCACTATAGTACTAAGGCTAGACTGGTATGCACAAGTCACAAGACAATAATATTATAGGGTCTATACTACTCCCTGGTAGAAAGCAACGGATGGGTACATACCGAAAACAGTAGCTGGCTCCTAGCTGCTACCTGGAAACAAGTAGATCAAAAGCATTCAAAGGCTAGAGTGCGTGGCCATTATGTCTCGGGTGAATTGAGGAAGGCATTCATTTGATTCCTCAATTTATAATTGATTATGTAACACGCCGTAGTTTTAAAGGGGAAGTGTACCCTAAAATCAAATTTCACCAGTTGTAGTCTTCGGGGTGCTGAGTCGAATGGTCTTGGTCCGAGGAAGCTGAGACGCTTTCTTCCTCCTTTATTCCCAATCGAACTCGCGCACTTCCACCGAAACTGGGTGACTGCGCCCTACTAGATAAGGATTTGTATGGAAAAAGTCACTAAAAACGCTGTTTCGCTCTTATAAAAGCGCGGATGACCGCGATTGGTCCGTATGTTGTAGTCTTTTGGCCGCTGTGTCGACTGGTTTTGGTCTGAAAAGGCTGCGGTGCAGCATTCGGCCCTTATTCCCAATCAAACACGGTTGAGTAAGCGGTCACGTGCTAATTTACAGCCTGTTTGGGCCCGTTTACGTCACTCGAGAGAACCTTTGAACCCGGGAGTCGTAAAAGCCTCTTACGACTCCCTGCTTTGAACCTTTCAGTTGAACCTTGACGCGAAAATTGTAGCCTGCAGGCACGGTGACCAGGCGACTGGTGCACGCATGAGCACGTGACCGCTTACTCAACCGTGTTCGATTGGGAATAAGGGCCGAACGCTGCATCGCAGCCTTTTCGGACCAAAACCAGTCGACTCAGCGGCTAAAAGACTACAACATATGAACCAATCGCGGTCATCCGTGCTATTATAAGAACGAAACGGCGTTTTTAGCGACTTTTTCCATACAAATCCCTATCTAGTAGGGCGCAGTCACCCAGTTTCGGTGGAAGTGCGCGAGTTCGATTGGGAATAAAGGAGGAAGGGAGCGTCTCAGCGTCCTCGGACCAAGACCATTCGACTCAGCACCCTCTCGGCCTGTTCATCGATGGATGTGGTGGAGGTGGAACAAATTCAATAATATAACAATAATTATTAGAGGAACTCGGATGGTGAGCCAAGGAAAAATTGTAACAATTGAGAAAAATGTGGGCACAGGTTATGCAGTAATCATTAGAGGCTGTGCCATTCATGTCCGGGCTCTATGGGTACTCAATGAAATCCAAGCAGAAAAGCCGCCCGTGACAAGGGACAGATCAGCAGAGATTTGTATCATTAGTTGCTGCTCAGAACATCTACACAAGTGCAGTGGTCATTTAATTAACAAGCTGCAGGCAGTTTTCTTGTGTCGAAGCAATTCATCGGAGCCGAAAACGAGTTTGTGTTACAGGCGTAGCTATCGAGCTTCTTCAGTGGTTAGTTACAATAATTATTAGTCTTTGCTCAGTGCTGCTTCTTTAGATGAACATGGTCCAGAGTACTATACAAGATGCCACTTGCAGCACCATACCAGGCACAACTGTAGCAGCCGTACTATCATCATCCTCATCACCATCACCACCATCACCACCATCACCACCATTGCCGGCTCCACGTTTGCACTGCAGTCGACCAGCGATGCATGCACTGTGTACCGACAGGCCAGGGGGCGTGCACATAGGCCGCATACACACACACACACACACACACACACACACACACACACACACACACACACACACACACCATTGGACGCCCATCGCCGGAGGCGATGATAGCGATGCTACAGCAGAAGCCATAGCAACTTGTGCTGGGATTGCACCATTCAACAGCTTGCAAGGCTGAAGAATTGACCGCCACTATTCAGCCTGGTCTACACCACACAGCTATGAAGTGGCTTTTTCTGGCCAGTGAATCCCTACTTTTTGGTCTTTTATAAATAAGACAAACACACACACACACATGCACGCACACACACACACACACACACACACACACACACACACACACACACACACACACACACACACACACACACACAATGGCATCCGCATTGCGCTGGTACAAGATATCCAAATGGAATAGGAAGTACTAGTGATGACATGCCTGTGTCCTATCTGATGTACTGTGCAACATTTCAACTACATTGTACAAAATAATATTCTATGCAGCACAATCAAACATCTTACCAGCTCAATATTGCTGCCTCCTCGGACCTCACTCCTTCAGAACATGCAGTTAGCAGCTTGACATAGGTTTGTAGTTTATGGCATTTACCACAGCCATGGTTAAACATGATTGAACTCAATTGAAGTGAGCTGCAGTGCTTACAGCCGACATGTACCACCGGTAACGGTTACATGTACATGTTCAATACTACTAATCAGTTTGCCAGCAGCAGCATGCTCAAGATCACTCACCACTGATAACTTGCAGTTGCATTCGTCAACGTTTGCGGGTTATTTTGCATGACAGTTGTCACACTGCTGTTAAGTTCTACATAGCAGACATTGGGAACTGGAGGACAAGCCAGGACAGAAACAAAGGATACGTAATTATAACACGTACATCTTCACACAGAAGTACTTCTGTACACTATGCTCATTGTACAGGATGTAGTCCAGCACAGGCATGTTTCCATTGCATGCACCACACATCACACGTCGCACATCACACATGTTCATGATGTTCCACATCACTTGTTCATGCGAATGACCACATTCACCAGGCATACGAAAGGCTTCTGTGTTTGAAATTGGACCACTGCAAAATGCCTGGAGCGATTTTTATGTTCCTGCACATATACATGATTGTACTGTACTGTACATGACCGCTGTGCTCGGGTCAATGCAGGCGATACAGTAGGTAACGCGGCGCATGGGCCTATTCCGACATTCCGTCTCTGTATTGCTTTTACGTATCAAGACCAGAGCCCACGGGTTTATTCAGATGTCAACTACCTTGCACTTGAGGGTAAATGTGTACAGTACAGGCATTCTTCTGGCACGGTAACTCACCACACACGTCTGGACAGCCACCGCTTCTGACAAACGACCCGCTGCTTCCATTGCAAATGCTACAGAAACCAATGTGTGGACGCAGAAGTCAAAACTCCAGCAGCAACAACATGGCTTATCACCTTTAACTACAGAAATCATAAGCATAATCAGTAATGAATCAAAAGACGGTGTGGAAATTTGTGCACGTGAAACTAATTTTGTGCAATCATCCCCAACAGTCATAGTGTGGAATTGAAAGTTCACAGACCATTGAGCTTGTGGAGCCAGATAAACGGACGAGAGTACAGCCCTGATGGATCCTGCATCATCAGACAGTTTCGTCTCAGAAGAAGTTGCCAATGAGTTGGGCGCAGACGGGGAATCGCAACCCCTCCGCTCTAATGTTCTGGCTGGACAGAGCGCGAGTCGCCAATCCAAAGAAGTACACATCACCATGGCCAGCGAAGACGGAACATACAGCACTGGCCGTGTGGCATGGACTCTCCCAGCAGTCTCGCCGTCACTGAGAGTCGACTCCAACTCGATGCTCCTGCAAGAATACACCCACCTACAGGACATTCCATTTCCAACATTACCGACAGAGTAAGTGGATGTGCTTATCGGACTGAATGTCCCAGGTGCTCACCGTGTTCTACAAGAAATTGTCAGCCAAGAGTCGAATGATCCAATAGCTCGCAAGCTGCCAGTTGGATGGGTATGCTTCGGGCCCATGAAGCAACAGCAGCAGCAGCAGCAGCCAATGGCAACCCATTTCAACAGTGCCAACTTAGGGGATGTGGTGCGACTGCTGTGGGAGGCAGAATCAATGACGAACGCCAACGACAAGGAGTATCTAACACCAGCTGAGAAGGAAGCTGAAACCATGACGGCAGCAACATTGCGCTGCGATAACGGGCGGTTTGAAGTCGGAATTCCGTGGAACGGCAAGACAGTGCTGGTACAGGAACTTACACCATCAGAGTTAGAGGATGCCCGACACGTGTGGATCCGTCAGGCCCAGAAGGACGCGTATGGTAGCACCTACAATAAGCTCAAGAAGGGCAGGAAAGTCACAACTGGGCCGCTCATCTCACTGCAGCCCATGATGTCAACATCTACAGGTACCACCCAAGTCATGAAAGTTGGAGGCCGACTGAAGGGAGCTCAGCACCTGTCGGAGACAGCCAGAAGTCCGAAAATCCTGCCCCGGCATCATCAAGCGACAGAGTTGATCATCGATGAGGAAGATCGGAGATGTAGCCATGCCGTGGGCACGAATCGCCTCCTCGCCGACTTGAGTACCATCTACTGGATAGTGAAAGGGAAAGCAGCTGTGAAACAACATCGTAACAAGTGTGTGAGCTGCAAGAAAGCACGCGGCAAGCCAGTAGTACCTCAGATGGCTCCCCTCCCAGATTTCCGCACATCTGGACCTCTGAGAGCTTTCTCCCGTGTCGGCATCGACTATGCCGGGCCATTCCTGACGCGACAAGGCCGCGGCCGAGTTCAGACGAAAAGGTATGTGTGTGTATTCACATGCCTTCAGTCACGAGCCTGCCACTTTGAGCTGGTCTACTCGATGGGCACTGAAGGCTTACTGATGGCACTGGAACGATTCTGGAAACGACGAGGTATGCCATCAGAGATATTGACGGATAATGGAACCAACTTCGTCGCGGGAGATCAGAGAAGCGTTAGCCGCTGTTTACACAGCCAAAGTCACCTGGGAGTTGGCCTCCCACCGCATCAAGTGGAGATTTAACCCGCCTGCTGCGCCACACTCCAACTATTCGAGACCATGGTGAAAGCCATGAAGAGAACTCTCCACAAGGTCCTCTACCGTGCCGACATTAGCGACGAGGAGCTACACACCGCTCTGGTGCAAGCTGAGAGCCTAGTGAACAGCCGTCCACTGACAACGCTGTCGACCGACCCTGAAGACCTTATGCCGTTGACGCCTCAACACTTCCTGGTTGGCCACATGGAAATCGTGCTACCCATTGAAGACCATGAAGACGACCAGGATAAAGTTCATACAAGAAAGAGATGGAAATACGTACAGCTATTGGTACGCAACATCTGGCGCCGTTGGCTTGAAGACTTCGTCCCTCGACTTAATATCCGTGCTAAGTGGCACAAGGAAGGCAGGAACGTAGCCATCGGAGATGTCGTGCAGGTGATGGAGAAGATCACAGCAAGGGCACGTTGGCCTCTCGCTCGAGTGACGAAAGTACACCCAGGCTCAGATGGTGAAGTGCGAGTGGTGGACATCCTACTGAATGGCAAGACATATCGTTGTCCTGTCAACGTCTTGGTGCCGTTAGAGGTAGAGTCAGGTGCAGCTGACACGTCGAAGAGTCTACCTGCAACCGCTGAAGTGTCGCTAGCAGATGTCCAGGATACGTGAGCAGTGGTTCCAGCGCTAGACGTTTGACACGTATCACCAAAGACCTGAGCTGAGTGCCTTATTGACACTAGTTATACTACACTAGTTACAGAATGCTGCCTTAGTTTAGAACTGTCATGATGTGTTGACATGGTTACCTTTAGTTTAGATTATGCGTAAGCCTCTTAAAAATGTTCTGCTAGTTATAGTTTATTAGGTTACTGCCCTCACTTTATGGCTGTGTTCGAGCAGAGGGGGAGGAAATGTTGTGGAATTGAAAGTTCACAGACCATTGAGCTTGTGGAGCCAGCTTTGTTTCATAATGTATGGTGTCTGGTTTTATGTATTGTTCATGGTTGGTTTAGCCTAGAAGGACTCTCTATTCACTGTTGTTCCGCTGCATCATAGTGCATGACAGCTCTCACCTCTTACTCTATTGTAGACTTAGGCTAGTGCTGGCTTCTGAGAGTGGCACAACGTCCAAATCTTGCAAGGATATTAGGATCCATCTTTCTTAGTCTGGTTCAGTGTTATTACGAGTGTTATCACGAGTGTGTTATCCTCGGTTGGATATGAGTTTGTCGCGCTGGCGTTACATGTGTATGTGGACGTTACAGTGTAGCGTCAGTCAGCAGGATACAGTCTTCACAGACTCTTTGGTGTTGATACCAACGTAACAAGTAAAGTGAATCTCGGTCCCCATGTATCGTGAGCTGGTGCAACTTGTGGTTAGGTGTCTGTAATCTAACACATAGTGACGAGTTTGTTGTAACTTCGAGTTCCTAGTCTACATGTACTCCCTTAGGAAAACTGCACTCTTCTTAGAGCCAGCATTAATTAGCCTCAAGAAGTCAATTTTACAGCTGAACACACATTTCCTGCTTTATAAGTACATGATTGTACAGCATTTTGGGGGGGGGGGGGCAGGGAATGTTTACCTCACCATCAGATTTCTTGTTTGCAGCCAGCCTAGTCATGCCGGTGGACCAGAGTGAATTCATAGCAGACAGTCACAAAAGCTATTGAGAGGCTTCTACTCTACATACTCGACTGGGAAGCACATGAACAAGCCCATGACAGCCGAAATGTGTTGTTCATTTGCATTGCTGTTCAGTGCTTCACTGTGACTTCTACCATGACTGACTACTGTCCAAGCTCACCGACTCCCGAGAATCTCCTCACAATAGGACATTATTACTGAGGTTTGCACATGCTATGCAATTGAGTCACGTACCACGGCAATGTGTAAAATACAATACAACAGAACGGAAAGTTACGCACAAATGGTAGGTAGACTAGTAGAGTCCTTACACTACCACTGCTATGTTGATGGTTCATAGCTGTCCGGCGCAGCACAGCGTAACTCTGATCAGAGCTTTTCTATGCTCCACACAGGCCACAGAAGTTTCAGATTTGTTTCAGGCAAAGGTGAGCACATAACTGCTTGTTGTCATGAAACTGCTTTCAAATTTACTGGGTGCGTAGGAAGAAGGGGGCACAGGTGTGTGATCCTGGAAGCCTCTAATTGGTAGGGCACTGTCCCGGAAAGATAGGGGTGCTGGGTTCGCATCAGTCCGCCCGCGAATCCTTCTTTTTCAATAAATAGTTTGGTACACTTTGTTGCTGCGGGTTACTGTAAATATACAAATTTTCGGCAGCTATTTAATTTCGGCTATATTCGGCACCGACCCAAAACGCCTAAATTAAAACGCCGATGAAATTTGTCACAGCATCTGTCGCACTATACCCTCTACCCCACGCCGAAAATAAATCGCCGCCGAAATGTCAAAAATCGTGAAGTGCCGAAATTTTGCAGCGCCGAAATTTTGTATATTTACAGTACCATGAGAAGTACCTCGAGCATCACACAGTGGAAGAGGCACTTGTACAAATATACTGTAAATTCACTGGTTTAAGCGACCACCCCACGGTCACGCAAGGAAAAGCGGTCGTTAAAAAGCGAGGTGGTCTTTAGAACCAGGTCCCACAGCGTCTGTGTAGAACTGTCCGTGCATGGAAAAACGGTCGTTAAGAGCAGGTGGTCGCTAAAACGAGAGGTTGCTCAAACCAGGTTTTACTGTATACCGGAAAATTCACTGGTGGGCTCTAGAAATCTATGAACCAGATTGTACTGTGAGGGCTACGTCCCACCAGCTTCTGTAGTTTCACAGGAAGCGTGAGTTTTGAACTCTGAAGAAAATGCTGATCAACCTCTGCTTGGATGACAACTAGACCATAGGTTAGTGGCTAGAGCATCGCTGGCCTACAGTGAAGGTCCTTGGTTCAAGTTCTGGCGGTGACAATCGACTCTTTTTCTTCCCAGGTTTCTCTTTTCACGCGCCTTTAAACTGACAAATGATACACGGGTGAATCTATGTAACCTTCTAGCCAAATAACAACTAAAGTATACTGTCAATTAGCAGCAGCTTACCAGTCCTGGCATGTTGCAGGCAGTCCACTATGGTCTGACCGTGATACAGCGCCACCAGCTATCATGCTCTGTTGATTGTCATTGGTTGCACATTGCAGGGCTAGATTACGGTATCGTCAAGTACAGCACACGTCCAGAGTGTGGCCGGCAAGACACGGATACAGGAAAAGAAACGTACATACCAGTTACAGTCAACAAGGACTGAGGCACATGATCATTCAGCACGGCTGCAGTACGGCATGGCTGTACATGCCTGCAGTGATACGTTGCAGCCAGAAAGCCCAAATCTGGGTTAGCAGTTAGCACACAGCTAAGGGAGCAAGGATGGCACGATGCATGTACGCATCCATCCAGGTTCTTGCTTCCGCCCTAGATTTGCCATGGCCTTCATTTTGTAAACAATCCGTGGCTGCTCCATTTCCAGTCCAATTTCACAAGCAGCGGAACAGTTTACGGTTCAGGCGGATAATCGTGTCGGGAGAGGTAGTAAAACACTGCATTGCATCTTAGTGCTCCCTCAACTTGCTCAAGTGGTAGCCCCGCCCCTACACACCCGAATACTCATACACCTATCTTCAAGTCACCCGGAATACTAGTGGTATAGTATAGATGAAGAAAGTTCTACTCATGGTTGCTTTAGTGTATGCCCGGCCTGTTGTTTGCCATTCATGATCAGTCGGGTGATGGGCCTTCAACCTACATGTGTGTTCTACATGTGGTACGCAATGCCTTCAGTACGTATGCTCAGAGCTATCGTTTTTGAACACTCGCCATGCTGGATGAATAATACAAAAGTCAATTCCGCACTGGCATACTTTCTACTTATCATGCATATCACAGGGCTGCCACTTGCTCCGATTTTTCGGAAATCGTCCGATTTTTGATCGCCTGTCAGACAAACCGACCGATTTTGTTCCCAAAGAGGGACAACCGATTTTGAGCGCTTTTTAGTCCAGTTGGCCATTCGGCGCTTCCAGGTCACGTTTGGCCAGTCATTGTACATGTACATGTACATATAGCTGTAAAATGCACGCGTGCTTGCATGTGTGTGGACAATTAAAAATGTGTTCTGGGGCCCCAACAGCAAGCCATTTTCCTAAAACAATTCTCCGGTGGACACCCCTGGACCCTCTCAGATTTTTCTCCCTCGAAGTGTGGCAGCCCTGATATCAGTACAGTGTAGATCTACCTGTGGATGTGAAACATGCCGACACGCCAATGCAGCTGTTCATGGTAGGACAGCACTTGCTGGTGGACGTGCACTGGTCATCTCTGCCCAGCGCACAGGACACACACTGACCACTGCCGGAAGGCTCTTGAAAGCCCGTGCTGCACTCGCCGGGTTTTACTGCACAAACGATGCACACAGACACATACAGAGTATGGAATAGCTTCCCGTGACGTAGAGAGGGCGGCGATGCGATGGTCACCCACATCAAGTGAATTTCAATACGCCGCATGACAGCACATGACTATCATCAGCACCGATGATCACTTGGTCAGGCGAATTGGTACTGGCCAAACCACCTTCCTAAAACTCTGGAAGTAATTCAGTGGAATGAATCTAAGAGCAATGGCGGCAAGTACTACATGTACAGCACATAATATTCTACAAGGGCACGATGCGTTTGTTCAGCCTGTGTAAGGTAGAGAACTTGACAGTCATTCAGCCTAGTTAGGCGTGCTCTATCAGTTCTTCTCATTCTCCATTTCAAATCCATTGTAAGCTCTTCGACTCACAATGAGCTACATGATGGTCTAACTTGACCGTCTCCATGTGACACAGAGTCTAGCAAACACTGCACTGTACAGCACTTACCACACCGCACTGCGCCATTATCGCAGGAACTGGAAAGGCACATGAGCACACAAACACACACACACACACATGTACCGAGTCTCGTAATCCCTTCTCGCAGGCTTTTCTTTATCTTGCTCAATTTTAGCTGATATCATGCAAAAATAGAAGGACAAACTGTTTTTATCCGAGTTCAAATTTGATATTATGCAATATGGCAAGTTTGCTCTCTTGCTCATTGACCTTCCTTAGAATCAAACCAAACCCGACTTTGCTTTGGACGGTACAGAAGGTCATTAGTACATGGTGGCCTGCATACTTACCAGGCTGCATTTCCAGTCATTGCACTGCTTTGCCATGTGTCAAGATTGGCACGCGCCACTCCCTCGTGCACACACCCACTGTTTCCTGATAGCGACGTCGGGGCGCCAAGAATCAAACAGGGAAACACACACACAAACACACATACGAATTATGAACACACATGCACACACGAGCGCACACCCGCATATGATTAGTGACGTATTACACGACAATGGTATGTCACAGGTTGCTTCCACTTCAGGCACAACGGTATGAATGAGAGAAAGTGCGTACATGTACAAAACCTGACCGGAAGCTAGCTCACCGGCGTGTTGTAGGCTGAGTACATACGCTTTAGCAAAGGAGGACGCGACGTTATGTGAACAGGAAGTCGTGCTATGTCAAGCCTAACCTGAGGGGTTGGTGATGACCGCATCCACACAAAACCTCTGTTGTGTGTTGGGTTGAAGACAGCACAGTTGATTTGTGCACTCCAGGTCACTGTTACAGTTCATTAGTGCAAGGCTGAATACCGACAGTTCAGTTGGACACTCACCAACTCGGCCTGGATGCAACACAATGACAGATAGCATGCAATTGGTGGTATGTTTCGTGAGCAAACACCACCATAACACAGCTAAGGAGTGCAAGAGTGCACGGATTATATAACAATGCCCCTGTCCCCGTAGTACAATACTCGCCGTGTCAGTGAAATCACAGCTCAGCTAGGCAGGTAGGCAGTTTTCACGGGTGAGATCCATTCCTGCAGATGGATAGGCTCCCGGGCTAGCCTAACCCCCCACTCCTCCTGTAGCTGGTTTATGTACTCTTGGTACAATGCTACACCCAGTCAGTCCAGTTTAGCCATGGTGTTCGCTTCATGATATACTTTGAGTCTGTGGCCATAATATGGTGTGTCATCCGTTGGCATACAGCGGTGTCATAACGATGTCATGCCTTTGATTGTGATGCTATGACTTTCGCACCGACGATTCACTGGCACATCTGATTGCCATTGGACTCGGAATCTCTCTGATCTCTGGATGGCATCAGAGTACAGCTGTACAGTACTACAGTGTTGGCAACTGAAATCCGACCCCTGAGCGGTGCGCTCACATTGCAAAGACCCAACACAGGATAGTAAAACTACGAAACAGAGAACGCTAGAATGTGAACGCATCGCTAAGAGGTCGGATTTCAGTTGCCAGCACTGTAGATATTCACAGTAAACCACAGTAGTCATGGCAGTCAGTCATCGGCTCTGCTTACCTGCCGTTGACATTGGACTCTCGGTTAACTGGCCAGACACAACACATAGCTGGATGATGAAAGCAATGGATGCCACAGCCAAACATCTCCCGTGGTTTCTAAAGCAATATGTGAAAAGGATAGACACAGGTCATGAATACTAGCCATTAGCAAATCATTTCTAGGCTGAATACTATTCGCTTTTTAAAAGCAGCATTCAAACGAAACACCAGCGCTTTGGCCGAGTGGTTGTGGGCTTGCCTGCGAATCACAAGGTCCCGAGTTCGAGACCCGCGCTGGGAGCAGGAAGCGTGTACTGTGCTAGCAAATGCGGTGATGCACGCGTGAACCACTTTACATGCAGTGAACTGCGCCGACACCCACGGTCAACTGGGTACTCACTACTCGGAGTGAGGGTAACATGGATGCAGCTAACGAGGTTAGCCCCCTTGTCGGGCATTGGTTGTGAGACTTACCACCTCACCCTCGCCGTTAGGCGCTGCATCTGCCACCCTGGTATCACAGGCATGGTGGTGGCCTGGCACATGCAAAACTTCCTAAGCTGGTTGTGTTTCTCAACGCAATTGTATAGCCGGTGGTAACGCGGACGTGCAAACTTTACTTTACTTTTATTCAAACGAAAACATACAGTCCACGAGTTCTCGTCCAGTGTGTTGAAGTTTGATACACGATAGTGAATTGAGAGATATTGAACTGAGCAGTCCCGGTCCCAGGTTTTGATAGCATGCTTTTGTCTGTCCATGTACATTGTACTATGTGGCGCGATTGTCCGTGAATACGATGTTTTTGTTGGTGTGTGCATGTGCGTGCATACGTGTCTGTTTCTGTGTGCCTGTATTCTCAACAAGACATTCACAACTTGAAATAGGTGTAATGGTATTCTGCAGAACAGGGTGGCCCTCTCCACGCTGTTCCATGGCTCACAGGCATGGATTGCTAAGGCGAACTACAATGTATCTTCACCGGACGAGCACTTGTCATCTTGCTCCTCGGTACAATCCTGGGTATGTATTGCACGAAGCAGTGGACCCACCAGCTAACAAGAGCAGAGCTAGCCTGTCATCGGAATAGAAGTGGAGAGCAGCTACATGTGTCATATGCATGGTTGTGATGATGGCTCAGCCATGTAGCAAGAATGGACCTGTTTTTGGTCGCTGCGGAAGGTGGTCTTCCAGGACGTCACAACTGCCGCAAACTCGCCCATGCTATAGCCGGGAGCAATACCGTATTTCCCCGTAAGTTAGTACGTACTAACTTTCGAACTTAGCAGCCACATGAGTACTAACTTTCGGGGGTGGTACTATCTTTCGGGGAGTACTTTTTTGTTGGGGGTAAATGACACGCAGTGGGAAGCCTGCGCAACTCCAGTGTCCGTGCATATGATGTATGTACTGTACGGTATCTGTACATGTAGGACGGGTACGAACTTACTATCTTTCGGGGGGGAACTGTCTTTCGGGGTGATAACCTCGGCAGTGGAAAGTGTATTTTTTATAGGGGGGTACTAAGTCATTGGGGAGAACTAACTTACGGGGAAATACGGTATTGGAGGAATGTAATGCAGTCACTGAGGAGTTTGTACTCTTGTCATTCCCAACGAGAACCAATGGATGCTTGCACAGCGCTGTGATGAGTACATGTTGCTGTGATCGTGTTTTCTCCATTGACGTTCTCCCAGTCTGGTGATACCACTATCAATCATCCTGATACTACATGCAGTAGTGATTGTCTGTTCAAGGTTCAAAGTTCAAAGTTTAAGGTTCAAAGTTCAAGGTTTGTATGTGTGAACGAGCTACAACGTTTGAATCTGTGCCTAAGATATTCCTGGGTTGAATTTTGTGCCAAATGGAAGTGTTTGTAAAAGGATCGGCTTCGTATGTCCTACGACGTAGACCAGCATGTGCACAGTCCATATATCTGCTGCTATGATTATGCTGACGACTCACATACGCCAAGTGGGTTTCTGTCAGGGGTACCCCGGGTGCTATTTTTACTGCCAACATTGGAACACAGCTGAGGCAATGAACTAAAATAATAAAAAACAAACCAACCAAGCAGCTGGAAATGTCACGACATGAGCCATGGTGAACACTACGGCATGACTGTGATGTGGTGCATACTAAGTTACACTACAGCCTCTGTTACAGGAGTTGCACACTCTTGGGAGCTTATTATTAAACTAAGTTATTTACGCCGGGAACTTATGCCGGTAAGTTATTGTAACGTTATAGTCAGTAATCATTCGCCCATATCATGTCGGATTCATGTACAGGTACAATGATGACGAGTCAAGTACCATACTAGTTTTACGTTATACTTATAGGGACACAGGCAGACCTGCAGAAATCCTTTTCTCTTTCCTGCTACACTACAGTACAGACTACACACTCGGCGTGATAGTTGCGGGTTACACTTACCGACATGTATAGTCCGAGTACGTCATGTTCGCTGAAGATAGAGTCCAGAGCTAGCCCAGAGGAGGTACATACAGCGATGAGATGATTCTACCACAGTCGAGGGCGCGACAGCTCCGGAACGGCTAGGCGCTCACAACTGCAGTTCGGAACTAACTTCAGTCGGAACTTCTATTCTGGTGATTTCAGTGGTGGTGTGAACGATCAACGCTACTACCAGCTAGCTGTTGCCAGTTACGTCTTGCGCTACCACCCGTACCCGCTTGTCACGACTTTCCAGTGCAGTTCCGGATTTTCCAGGCGCAGGACTCTTCTTATCTAGACTCTGTTCCATCCAGTTCTTTTTGTTGTGATGCACTGACAACAGTGATCGATACATAACGGGCATTCATAATTTCCCCCTCGGTGTCTCCTACCACTGGAGCAGGTACCGTAGCAACTGCAGTCTACTGGTATGAGCAGCGCGCAACTCGCAGTGACCCAGTCAATCCTCTTATCGATATTGGCCACTTTTGACTGTTTCATCAGACATCTTCAACTTCAGTTCAAGTCGAGTACGGAAAATAATGTTGGTTTGCGTTGCGCAAACCGTAGTTAACCAGCACGCCACGGGCCGCGCCCCCGCAGGGGAATATTCCCGCAAGATGACTTTAGGTGACCATACGCACTCGGCCGTGCCGCCGCAGTCGACTGGCGCAAGCACGCACTCTTGCAGAGTTCCGCATTCGGGTCGCACTCGCGTACGACATCCCGTATGAGCCACCCTTCGCCTGGCGGATGCATCCGTAGACGGCTCATCTACTGCTGGCTGGTGTAATTTTGCCAGTTGTCTGTTTTGCTGCGAGTGCTCGCCACGCAATTTTGTTTTCTATTCCTCAACATTTAGAACTTTAGTATGGCTTTCTCAGCAGCCCAGAGGGACTCCATCGCCGAGATTGTGGCTGCCAGCGTTGCAGCAGCACTTGGCAACAGCCCGCCGGCCGGACACCACGCGGCTGACTCCGAGACTGGAGCAAACGGTATGTTCCCGGATGTAATGCACCACACCCCCGCTTGTATTGCGCATGTGGCCCCAGAAGCCATTGACAAAATAAAACGGATCGAGTATGTCGATATTGCTTGTCTGCTGCCCCCAAAGCCGGGACCAGCCGCCGAACCAACCCCCAAGAGATTCCGGGTAGATGACGACGGGGCACTGGCAGTCTGCGCCGCTCCAAAACGGAAAATTGAAAACTTGGCCACGTGGATCGAGGCGTGGTCCATTTTCAGCCTGATTGCCATAGGCGAACATCACCTATGCGCCGAAGCCCTGATGATTCACCAACTCCGAATCATCCAGGCCGCCGGCAAGTACCGCTTCGCAGCAGTTGTAGAATTCGACACCAGGGCGCGGCAGGCGCTGTCGAAAGATTTGTCCCGGTCACTGGCAGACCTGGACACTGAGCTCTACACGACCTGCTTTACCGGGCAGGCACTCCCCTTTTGCAACAACTGCAAGAGGCTGGGGCACCTGACCGCCTCCTGCACAACGCAGCCCTTTCGGAGCAGGCCAAAGGAGCAAGGTGTCAGCTCCAGCGCAAAACCAAACGAGACCTGCCGCCGTTACAACTACGGCACCTGCGTCGGCTCGTGCAAGTTTCGCCACGCATGCATGTTTTGCTCGGGAGAGCACCCAGCTTCCGCCTGCCCAGCCAAGAAATAGCGATGCCGCGAAGGCAGCCCCGGCAGTATCCTCTCTTAATAGTCTTATTTATAATATTGCACCGCACACACCCATCCACATTGATGTATTGCACGATGAATTGCGCACGCACCCCGACCCCTCTTTTGTTCTTGCTTTGATTAATGACTTGCGTTTTGGCTTTCGCATTGGTTTTACCGGGCCTCGTAATGTTTCTGTTCATAGTGCTAATCTGTCCTCTGCAACAGCTCACCCCGAAGTCGTTGACCAATATCTCGCAACTGAATGCCAGCGGGGCCATACGGCCGGTCCCTTCACAGCTCCGCCATTCGCCTGCCTCCGCACATCAGGAGTCGGCGTGGTCCCGAAAAAATCAGGCGGGCACCGGTTGATCATGCACCTCTCCGCCCCGCAGGGGAACAGCGTGAACACGTTCATTGACCCTGACCAATACCGCTTCAAACTGATTACGATCGACTGCATTGCCGATCATGTTCGCAGAACAGGCCCCTGCGCACTGATAACCAAGGTGGACCTGAAGCACGCGTTTCGGCTCTGTCCAGTACACCCCGACGACTGGCCACTGCTTGGCATGCAATGGAGATCGAAGTATTACTTCGACACAGTCTTGCCGTTCGGTCTGCGGTCCGCCCCTAGCTTGTTTAACCGCCTAGCAGACGCGCTTGAGTGGATCCTACGCCACAAGTACAGCATACCCGCACTCGAGCACTACCTCGACGACTTTGTTTCGGTATCACCACCAGCCACTGTGGTGCCATCGTCGACAGCCGCAGTCCACAAGGCCACGATCCTTCAGGTGTTCGACAACCTGGGTGTCCCCACTGCAGTTGGCACCGACAAGGTGGTGGGTCCATCCACGTGCGTCACCGTGTTGGGCATCGAGATTGACTCGGCCACCGGGGAACTCCGCCTTCCCACTGACAAGCTCCGCGCGCTGCAACATCTGCTGCAGTCATGGTCCACCCGCCACACCGCCTCACGGCGGGAACTCCAATCTCTAGTGGGCCACCTGTCTTTCGCAGCAAAGGTTGTTCCAGCTGGACGCACCTTCACTAGACGGCTCATTGATGCATGCACTTCCGCTCACAGCTCATCGCCCATCGTCCACCTGAGCAGCGATGCCCTAGCCGATATCCGGTGGTGGCAGGAATTCCTTCCCGTCTGGAACGGCAAAGCCCTTATGCGCGACCCAGAGTGGTCTAGGTCACCGGACCTTGAGTTGTTCACGGACGCATCCGGCCTAGGCTTCGGTGGCTTCTTTCAAGGTCGCTGGTTCGCCGGCGCATGGTCCGCAACGCAACAGACGCCGCCATACACCTCCATCATGTGGAGGGAGATGTGGCCAATCTCCCTCGCCTGCCAGCTGTGGGGACCGCTTTGGACGCAGAAGAAGATCCTGCTCCACTGCGACAGCGCTTCCGTGTGCGCTGCCTGGGAGTCGGGCACCTGCCGGCACCCAGGAGTCGTGGCGCTCATACGCAGCACCCTCCAGACGGCCGCTCGCCACAACTTCTGTCTGCTTATCCGCCACATCGCCGGAGTGGACAACGGTATCGCAGATGCCCTATCCCGCGCTCAGTTCCCACGGTTCCGCCTCTTGGCGCCCGGGGCCGACCTCAGTCCGTCGTCACTCGCAAACATCCACGCCGCAGCGTGAGGAAGTCGCCATCCAGGGTCCGCCGTTACCGAGATTGGACGCTCTGCTCCTGAGACCACAGAACTTTGCTTCTGCCCCCGTGTTTTCTTTTGTTTCCTTTACTTTTTCCGCTGTGTATCGCTGCTCGCACAGCCTACTGCCACGCCCCACCCGTTGCACCTCTGCACTAGTTGTTAAGCCCTCGCCGGGGTGTTACTGCCTATCATTTCTGCCTCAACCCTGTGTGCTTACGGATTGTCAAGTCCTTTAGAATCGCATCCCTGTGTGCTTATGGACCGAGTCAAGTCCTCTAGATTTGCCGCCCGGTGTGCTTAGGGACTGAATCAGGTCCCCTAGACGCCTGCACTTTCTTTGGGAGCAGTTCGGTCCCGCCGCTGCCTAGGGAGACCACCGCAATAGACACATCTAGATGGGGAATCAAATAGGCAAGCCGCAAGCAAAATCCGCACGCCTCATGGCAGTAGGCCTCCGCCGGTCAGAGAGCCCCGTTACACCTAGGATCATGACTGCGCTCATGGGGGTGGGTCGTACGAAGCAGGGTCACTCGCACTGACTGAATTTCTTTGTCCTTTGTTGTGTTGATTCCAGGCTCGCTGGCCGTTGCCGCATGCAACCGCTCACATGATGGCTCGCCAGCCCAGATCGCTCATCTATCCGCAGAAAAGCAACCTCCCGCAGGAGGGCCACCGCAGTCGCTTCCTCCGCAACGTACCGCTGGCCCCAGTCAGCACGCAGGGCTAGCTATCGTGTTTCTCGCTCGCTTCCTAGCCGCTGTCTAGGGCAGGTGGTGATGGATGTGCGCATGTTTGTGTATATGCTTGTGTTTATGTGCGCGCATGTGGGCATGTGCGCTGCTATACGCGGTCACTGGTGGATGCATGTGGCACGCTATCTCTTCTCCTGTGTCCTCTCTGCCAGGCTCGCCAGCCGCCGCACTTTCCGCACGAGCCGAACAACTCATATCCAATTCAGTGGCCGCAGCCACGCAACACACATATGCCCCGGGCTGGCACGCATTCCGCAAGTTCATGCAACAGATTCACCGCGACCCGCTGTCACCGCGTCACGATGACATCCTGCTATTTGCCGCTTCCATGTCGCATTCTGTCAGTGCCGGCACTTTGAAAGTATACCTGGCCGCAGTCAGATACAACCTCCTCTGCAGGGGAGGACCTGTCGAAGTCCTTCCATCCAGCCGGCTCACCGCTCTGGTGAAAGGCCTGGAGAGAGAACGCGCATCGCTCCCACGGCACGCAACTGCCCAGCCTCGGAGACAGGCTATCACCGCCGTACAACTCAAGGCACTACATCTTTTCCTGCAGCGTTCCGCTTATAGCCCTGGCGACACGCTCATGCTATGGGCCGCATTGACGACAGCATTCCATGGTCTGCTGCGAGTTAGCGAGTACACGTCCCCGTCGCCAGCAGGGTCGGGTACCCTGAAAACTCTCAGGCGCGCTCACCTCGTGCTCTCTCAGGCCACAGCCAGCTTACGGCTTCAACGCACGAAGACATCGCAGCTGACAAGCGGTGGCGAGGTTGTGCTGCATCGCCATGCAGACCCGCAAATATGCCCCGTCCTGGCCCTCGAGGCATACGTCAGATCATGCGCATGGGGTAGTGACGAACAACCTCTCTTCAAGTTCGGCAATGGACGATGGCTCACGCCCAATGACATCAACGTAGTGTTGCGCAGGGTTCTGGGCCCCAGCTACAGTAGCCACTCCCTCCGTGCAGGTGGCGCAACGCACATGGCGAACCAAGGTGCCCCGGAGTATGCCTTGATGGCAGCCGGGCGGTGGTCCAGCGGAGCTTACCGCACGTACGTTCGCAGGCCTGCAGGCATGCCGCGGCGTTACTGAGCCACGGGTCGCAAGCACCGCACGCCCCCCTTTTCTTGGAGGCACGGGCTCGGCCGATGGGCACGAAATCCGCATGGTGCACATCCATCGGCTGCCGCAGACAATACAATTAATATACTTGTGGGTACTACCGAGTACTTAGTGGTCATGCAGTTGCCATAGCAATGTACTGGTACACCCAGCCTTTATGATTGTTACATGACCCCATGGGTCGTCTTTCAAACGCTCTTTCATAGCCGATAGATGGCGTTATTTGTTCCTATCATACTATGTTACAGATGGGCGGCCTTAGACGGCCCAGTCCGATCATTTCACGCGAACTATGTTATACGTCATCATGATCACAATAATCATGTCGTGCTCACGTTCAATATAAGCTTGCGACACCCCACTGGCTCATCTCTTCTGTGGTGTGAGGGTTAAATGTTGGTTTGCGTTGCGCAAACCGTAGTTAACCAGCACGCCACGGGCCGCGCCCCCGCAGGGGAATATTCCCGCAAGATGACTTTAGGTGACCATACGCACTCGGCCGTGCCGCCGCAGTCGACTGGCGCAAGCACGCACTCTTGCAGAGTTCCGCATTCGGGTCGCACTCGCGTACGACATCCCGTATGAGCCACCCTTCGCCTGGCGGATGCATCCGTAGACGGCTCATCTACTGCTGGCTGGTGTAATTTTGCCAGTTGTCTGTTTTGCTGCGAGTGCTCGCCACGCAATTTTGTTTCCCACCCGCCCACGCCTACCGGACGGAGGGGAGGCACGGGCTCGGCCGATGGGCACGAAATCCGCATGGTGCACATCCATCGGCTGCCGCAGACAATACAATTAATATACTTGTGGGTACTACCGAGTACTTAGTGGTCATGCAGTTGCCATAGCAATGTACTGGTACACCCAGCCTTTATGATTGTTACATGACCCCATGGGTCGTCTTTCAAACGCTCTTTCATAGCCGATAGATGGCGTTATTTGTTCCTATCATACTATGTTACAGATGGGCGGCCTTAGACGGCCCAGTCCGATCATTTCACGCGAACTATGTTATACGTCATCATGATCACAATAATCATGTCGTGCTCACGTTCAATATAAGCTTGCGACACCCCACTGGCTCATCTCTTCTGTGGTGTGAGGGTTAAACTAACTTCTGAAGCCGTCAAGGAACATCTTTCACCCGTCGACGTCCTAGATCCTGCCTTGGCTTCCCGTGCAGCTGCACGTAACCATGGTAGCGTTATCTGCATCTAGCTAGAGCTAGCACAGCGCGTCAGCAGAGCTGGGACTGTGGCCCTGTGTCACGTGTGGGAGTCGGGAAAGCCTGACCCGTTGTCCGAGTTGGTCCTTGGCGGATGATGCTCGAACTTTACTTACTTCGAAGAAGTGGCAGAGTCTGCTCGAAAAGCGGTGAAATTGGCAGAACCATACAAACCTTCTGGCAGGCACTTCCTCCTGCTCCAATTCTTCATCCACTCATCAAACATGCAAGATAAGAACATACCAGAAAAAGTACCAAATTCTGCCGTTCAACTGACCGGCATTTTCCTCAAAGGCCGGCTACAGTCTGTACGACTATTACGAGTACAGCAAGGACTACAGTAGCATACACCAACCAGAACACAGAAGTAACGGCTAATTGGTTGGCAGGGGCTCGGTCTACTCCATTTACTTGATTTAGCCGTTGAAACACCTGCCTTTCGTTCCGTGTCCATGGTGTCTGCTACCCTCTTTTCGCGAACAACTGAGGAGGGGGGGGGGGGGGGGGGGGGTTCTGCCCGTTGGTGTCTTTCTCTCAGCACATGATCATCAGTTGCCCAGCTGAGACAAAAATGTCATCCGCGGCACCTGTAGCTGTGACCACTGTGCTACGGCCCTGTAGATGATACGGCTCCCCAATCCACGCACAACAGCTCCCCAATCCACGCACAACAGCTCCCTAATCCACGCACAACGGCTCCGTAATCCACGCACAGCAGCTGCCCAATCCACGCACAACAGCTTCAATTCACCCCTCATCAGTTGAGCTTGAGTAGGCCGAGGAAGATTGTGCTCGAAGAGCACCACTTATATAGTGCTCTCCAGGCACAAACATCACCAGGGATACAAACTTACAGAGATGCTCCGTTTCCAGCGCGACACTGAACACCTCGTGAACACCAGATAGCAGCGTGAGTCAGTGTCGCTCCTGGACGGTGAGAACAGACGTTGAGGACCCTTGGTCATTCACAACGCTGTCACGCTGTGTGTGTGTGTGTGTGTGTGTGTGTGTGTGTGTGTGTGTGTGTGTGTGTGTGTGTGTGTGTGTGTGTGTGTGTGTGTTATCATAGGATCACACAATGCCGGGCCCAGCGCTTCTATAAATGAGGAGGTATGAGGTGGTAGAGCAGGTGCAAAGGCATGCCACTGTGAAATGCAAGCTCTAGCACACATGCACACATGCACACATGCAACACATGCACACATGCAACACACGCACACATGCAACACATGCACACATGCACACATGCACACATGCACACATGCACACATGCACACATGCACACATGCACACATGCACACATGCAACACACATGCACACATGCACACATGCACACATGCACACATGCACACATGCACACACGCACACATGCAACATGCACACATGCACACATGCACACATGCCACATGTGAGGCAAATAACACGAGCGAAAATTCACGCCGGGACAAGAAAAAACGCGAAGCTTAATGCTTTCCGACGTAGATTTGGGTTGCTGAAGTGGAAATACAAGTAGAAATACAACAAGCACCCCTAGTTTGCACTGTACATTGTTATCAACCTGACTATGTGGATAGGAGTAGTTTGCACTGTACATTCAGGGGCGTAGCACCCGCATACGACTGGTACGACCATGGCCGTACCACTTTTCGAAAAGTGTGGTCCGTCTGGAACGTGCAATATCGTAATAAAAAAATCAGGATTCATCGATGCATACCGGTATGCGCATCAGACTTTGTCCTTTTTCTAGACTCGTACTCGTAGATCTGCCATGCATCTGTGCATGTCCATGCACGTCTCTTCTGACCGTGAAATAATTCTATGACTTTATAAACTGTGCCAGAAGTACCCAGAACGCAGGATTTTGTGTCTTTTTTACAACATGTTCCCGGGGGAGGTCCCCCGGACCCCCCCCCCCCCCTACAAAACGGCCTTCGGTCGTACCACTTCCAAAACCGCTCCTACGCCCCTGACATTGTTGTCACCCTGACTATCTCTAGTTTGGCACTGTACATTGTTATCACCCTGACTATCTGTACATTGTTATCACCCTGACTATGTGGATAGGAGAACACCCAGATGATGCACAGATAAATTGCGGGACAATTCCACAGACAAGTCCAACAATTCCCAAGGCAAGCATGCGTATTATATGGGACATACAATACAAAGGTTTGTGGAGGATCGATGCTAAGACCAAGGGATACATGTGGTGATGATAGCAGTGACGGTGGTAGCGGTGACGGCGGTGATCATAGCAACTACAGTAACCGTGTGGGTAGAAAAAGTCATGACAGTGGACTGTGTGGAGCGACCGCGGAGGCATATATACACGTACATGTACTGCGAATGATTTTATGGGAGCGAGTCAGCGGAACCGCTTATGGGCGCTACAGTACTGTCGGGTGGCGAAGAACGGGGGGAGGGGGGGGCAGCCTCCTAGCGTTCTTATTTTCTTGTAATACGACGGCAAGAGTGGATAAACAAGTTACAAGAGTGTGCAACTCTGCATCTCTTCTGCACAATCTGCAGATCCCCGGCCCACGGTGGAAATTATTGTTGACGTCACCTTTTTCAGAAAATATGACGTGTGTTGTACATAGGGGTAAGCGGATTATGCCGGCATAATTGTTGGCATGATCAGGTCCTTTTTGAGAAGGAGCATAAAATGGCATCCGAAAAACAAGGGCAGATGCCCAATGACTCAATGAGGCTGTTATATACACACCTGCTATTGAAGGACCATACATAACGCTTCTTGTCGATTTGGAATAATATTTTAGCAGCCACTATAGGACATCTCCCAAAAGTTCAGCGTTTGCTTGTGAATATGGTATTCCTCTTGCATATCATTGTCTTTTACTTCCACAAAGCATGGCAATGGTCTTGAGTCTTTTTTTCATTACGATTATCTGTTCTTTTGGTCTTTCTGGCGAAGCATATAAAAGCATAATTGGCTGTTTTCTCGAGCATCCTGCGAGCATCCGCTAGAGCATAATATGGTCGTTTTCCGAGCATAATCCGCTTACTCCTATACTAGTCGTACAGAGCACACGCATTTTGCCGCAGAGCAGTGTGAGAGCACGTGCTGAGCACCAACCTTGTAATGTAAAGCGCGGCCAAGTGCGCGAGGCAAACTTTCCAAAAGACTCGCAGCGCATGCGTCGTAGAAGAAGATTATGTTAACAAAAAATTCCACCGTGGGCCAACCCATCCGGTAGTTGCACACTCCCTGTTTGTTCTTCGGCACCCGGCAGTACTGCATGTATGCAGCGCGAGTCGCTAGTGCATCGCTGTGCCGCCATTTTGCCAAGGCATCTCAACTAATCATGCAATCACATAACCTCATGTGCTGCAGTAACTTCTTTTCATCCATAATATCGGTTCCACACTGACCATAGGCTAGCCTTCTGTAATGTGACATCTAAAAAGTCACCTGACACTGTCTGTAGACATGAGCGCTGTATCTACCATGTGACTTGTCCGGATCTCCACAATGTGGTAAATGTCATTATTTTTAGAATATTGTATAAAATCACACTGTTATGTTATGTCACTAGCCAGACTCGTCGTTAGCAGGACACCTCCTTACCTTCACTTCAGTCATCACCTGATCACTCCCTTCACCATGTTCACGGCGGTGGCGACACGGACTGACTGTAGCCATAAGTAGACAGCAGCGCATGCAAGCTAGTCGTGGGGGATCCACATCTGCTAGCTGAGCAAGCGCAGTGCGCTGCCCTGTCATGAGTTGACATAGTCCTTACATAATCACCATGATCACTGCAAACGTCAAAAATGAAGACGTCCTAGGCTAGATAGAATTATTTCTGATAATTCCTGCGCATTTATTGTTTACATATCAGGAGTCGTACATCACCAAACATGTAGAGACGGGATAGAGATCTCCACAGCCACGAAGTGGAAAGCAGTCTGTACACGGCTACACGCGCTGCACATGCACAAACAGGTGATTGTACAGACAGTTTTGTACATCTGGTATATATACCGGTACTTCTGGTACGTACATGTACATGCATGTACATGACTTTTGCTGGTCTACCGCGCACCGCACATATGCATGTACTGTCGGTGCATTTGTCCTGGATCTGAGATGAACATTTTTTAGTTGCAGCTACAGTACAGTACTCAGTAGCACCCATGCCATGCAGCATGCAGCCTGTGCAGTCTTACTCTTACAGTCTTAGTCTTACTCTTAGTGCCAAAAGCACTACGGTAGTGTGGTTCGCTAAACCGTAAACTCCTCCGTTCAGTGTTCTAATAGTCCTTGCCGGGCCAGGGGAAGAAGGGTGCAGGAGAGATCGGTTGTTGTAATTGCTGTGGAACCCAGTGGACGTCTGTCCGCGCTGGTTCAGGCTCGATTCTTGCCCTGGCCTAAACTGATCTTTCTGAAATATCGGGCCGTGTGCGTGGAAGCGAAAACTCTAAAAATTCTGCCAGTGCCATAACTGACTAAGAACTTGTAAAATTAATAATTGCTGAGGCGGCGGATTATCTTCAATTCCAAGATGAGGTACGTATCAATGGCAGGTTGTGGAGGGTGCTCATGGAACGCTTCCTCGCTTGAGGCTTCCCGGTTGCGTGTCGATGCGCCATTTGAGTTTATGTACCATGTACAACCTGGAGTGGATGGTGTTGATTTCTTGTCGTTTTACCGTTGCAGCGAGGAGCACTCCATCGCCGTTGCGAAAGCATCGGTCATGCTGTACGATGATCAGCAGAAGAAATGGCTGCCTGCTGGTGGTGCCCAAGGCTTCTCCAAGATTCACATCTACGCGCATGATCGCAACAATTTTTTCCGTGTTGTTGGCAGAAAGATAAACGACCATGAGGTAGATCACTGTGTGCTGCACACCTTCAACTGATTCATCAAAACAATTTTTCTGCAAACCTGATCAGAGTGCCACCAAAGGCACCATGGCGTATGTCCCGTGCGCTTCCTTCCTTGTGCAGCGTGTCCAGAGGCACGCTTCTATTCTTCTTACCATTGCTGCATTCCTGTGGTAGCGCGTGTTGCGAGTCGAGTCGTTGCCTCTGCTCTTGTAGTTGCACTGTTTATCTCTCGATTTCCTCATGCGTTGCCATTTCGGGCGTTTCGCTGCGGGTGTGGTTGAGCTCTGCTTTAGTATGCCAATGTCGTTGCCTATATCTGTGTTTGTGTGTTTGTGCTAAAATAATGCCGCAGGTCGTGATCAACTGCTCTCTTACGAAGGGCATGCGGTACAATCAGGCAACACCAACATTCCACCAGTGGCGAGATTCCAAACAAGTGTATGGCCTGAATTTCCCCAACGCCGCCGAAGCAAAAGCTTTCGCTGACAGCGTTGGCGAGGTTTTTGCTCGTCTCGGTGGAGGTGAGGCTTGGTCTTGGGCTTGGACATTTTTAGACCTGGTCTGCGTCGTGACAGCGTATTATAATACTAGCGCTCGCTTGCACACTGATCACATGAAGGTTTACACAACCGGGACCGATAAGATAAGAAATTGGAACGTTGACGTTTCAAATAGACTGTCCTGTTATTCAATGAAGTCTGCTTTCGGTGATGATCACCCCACTCGCACATTAGTCTGCGTATCCCTCCTCCTCATACTAGTCCTAACTTCTCTCAAAGAATCCTGGTTGAAAAGGCAGCCTGATCTGTGCGTAATTGGAAATTTTCTGGAGGCTTTACAAGCAACAGCATTACTCTGAATGGTCTGTTTTCCTATTTGGAGTTATTCCAATTGTACTGTGTCACAGCTGCTCATGGACAGCAGTGTGGTGCGCCAAGTGGGCAATTGCTGCTAGTAGTTATAGTATATTTCATACACGACTTGAAAACTTGTTGTAGGTCGACTTCCACTGCACCGGCATTCATTGCCAAATGGCAGTTGTGATGTCTGTCTTACCAGGGAACTTTGAACTTTGTGCCAAAGACGTTTTCACGTATTCTATGAGGTGCACAAGCATACACTTTGCATTTCTGGGTATTGTGATACAATAAAAGTAGATAGTGTAAGGGTGTGCTATGTCGACTCATGATGATGATAAAGATATGTCCATCAATTTGAGGGAGTTGAAACGGGGGGAAAGTCTGAAGAAACAATTCACTGCCACCACAAAGACTCGAACCAGGATCCAGTAGATATCCACGTGTAGTATGGCCCATTCCCCCTTGCCGTCTATCAGTCTGCTGCAAATGCAATGAGCTCAGCAGAACTTAGCATGTTTTCCATCACAGCTACTGAGAAACGTGTTCTCTCAAATGCTGTACCGCTTGTCGTTCAGGTACTGTCATGGCTCCAAAGGGTCAAGAAGCGGCACCGCAACCAGGACAAGCGCAGGCTGCGCAACAGCAGGCTGCGCAACAGCAGGCTGCGCAACAGCAGGCTGCGCAACAGCAGGCCGCACAACAGCAAGCACAACAGCGCAAACAGCAAGAGCTAGCTGAAGCTCAGCGTCAGCAAGAGCTACAACAACAACAACAAGAGCTCCAACGTCAGCAGGAAATGCAGCGTCAGCAGGAGCTTCAACATCAGCAGGAGATAAAGCGGCAACAGGAGCTGCAAAGGCAGCAAGAAGAGGAACAGAGGCGATTGGAGGAACAAAGAAGACAAGAAGAGCAGCGCCGATTGGAGGAACAACGCCGGGTGGAGGAACAGCGCCGGGTAGAAGCTGAGAAACAGAGGAGAATGGAGGAACAGCAGCGCGCTGAGGAACAAAGACGGCTCGAGGAGCAGCGGAGAATCCAGGAAGAGCAGCGAAAACTGGAGGAGCAACAGCGGTTGCTTGCTATGCGACAGGTAGAGGAATCAGCTAATAATGCCAATGCTCTTGACGGGCGAAATTCACCGGCACCTGGCACACCAACGCTTGTACGAGCGGGCGAGTCACCAGATGGTGCTGCCTTATCTAAACAGAAGAAGAAAGCACCTCCGCCTATGCCTCGAAAGGAGTCCGCACAAGTGCCGGTTAGTGTGCTAGCTAGCCCTGCAGTGTACTCGTAGTCTTTAGTGGGTCGTGTAGGCAACGGAAACAAAAAAACAGTGTAGCCAGGCTGGTGGGAATGTAACGCCACAGCTAGATGTCTATTAGACAGGGCATGAGTACGCAGGGGCTGGTTTATGCACGTCTCCTGATAGCAGCCGGGAGGGGGGGGGGGGGGGGGGGGGGGCAGATCTGTGCTAGAGTGTGCTCTAGACATGTACATACGTGCCCATTGATTGTGCATGGTATTGGTAATGGTGTTGTCACTGGTGTCTTTCCTGCCGGGGTCGTGACTACACAGATAGACAAGAGATATGCGACTAAGGGCTGTGTATGGTTGCAGTAGCTGGTGTCCCCTGGGCCCCCAGAGCACGATTGCATGGCTAGTGAGTGGATGTGACCGTATGAGTTTGTGCCAAGCATGTAAGCATTATGATCTCTATGCAGTGAAATAGATCTAATCCAAGCTTGAACCACAGACCAGCCAAACTGAGGCAAATTATTATTTGGGCAACTGCGGGTTTGTAAACAGATGCCTCTGTCTACTAGTGTAACTTGCCAATCCCAAATGACTTTTGCACAACCTGCTAACCAAAGTGAAACACTACAAACTCTTCCTCGTTGTTCACTTGTTAAGGCCACCCAGAATTAATTCGTTGTTTCGGGTCACCCTACCGACCGTCTTTTTTTCATCCGACCGCAAAATGTTTTCTTTTATATTGTGCATGCAAATGTACGATTAGTACAGTCGACTACACACACGCGATCCTGGACATCGACCTCATGCTCAGAAGCAGCCAAATGACAGGATGCAGGGCTTGGTGACGAGGTTGTCTTCTATTATCTCCGATCCGCAATCGGTCCTGAAACAGCTTCAGCTCTGATACCGCATCGCTCATTGACAAAGGTTTTGGACTTTTGGTGAGAGCTGCTCGTCAGACTCGTTTGCCAGCGAGGCAAAGATCTGGTCCTGGAGGGGACCTGGATCTAATGCCAGTAGTAATGGGACAATGACTGCGCGCGCTGGATCGTCCACAACAATGTACAGTCAGATTTGATTGGCTGGCTTGATGAAAAGCCATTGGATATGCATAATCATGTATGCACACCGCAATAACCAAAATAAAAAATAAAATAAAATAAAAAATAAACCCGACCGACCGACCCTGGTGCGGATGAGTGAAGTGACCCGAAACAATGAATTAATTCTGGGTGGCCTAATATGCATGCTTTTTAAAGCAGTGCGGACGCTTTCTAAAATCACTAAAAGTTTGAAGTGTGTCGGCCATTCTAAATGTACTGTGCCATAGATGCATGGGAAGTTACTTTCAAGTACATGTACTGGGCTTTCCCTGTGTTGGACATCATACTGCTGGAGACTTGATTCACGGAGTTTGCAGCTTTTGTAATGACTAGTAGATACGCAGTATGCAAAGAGGACCGACCATGGCTAGAGAGTGGTTTCACATCCTGTTCATGTGATTGTATTTGTGTTGAAAGTGTTACTGCATGTAACCAACATGTCCAATATCATGTGAACCATTGGCGTAGAGATTCACTGCTTTCGAAGCCAACATGGCTGTCCCCAATGGGCATGTGATAGATGTGCAACCATGGCTATACTTTGAAGTAGCACTTGCATTTACCTATAAATGAATGTCTAATGACTCTAACAATGAGATGGGTGGTGGATGTGCTGTGCATTCAGGTTTTCTAGGGTCAAAAACAGAGATTGCATTCTCTCAGTAAATTAATGTCTCTCAGTGTTGGGAGTCATGATGGAAACTGGAAGTACTCCATGTATTTGCATATCACAGCATCACGGGTAGGGTGACTTAACAACTAATGTCGTAGTTCAGGAGTAGGTGCGCCACCTCGCAGCATGTCGATAACGTGTTAAAACCGTTGAACAATCACTTTGTGTTTCACTGTCCGGTCCGCACGTGCAGCGAAGGATGGTGCCGGTGAATCTTGCCTCTCAACAATGTATTCTTCTTCTAATGCCCTTGCATATCCTAATTTGTTAACATTACCTGCGTATATCTATGCTACTAGTACTACCACTGCGTATGAACTGTGAGGCCTTATAGCCAATGTATTTGAGTGTCAACCAGAAGGTACGTATGTACAGTGCAGTGCACAGACAGTGTCCATTATGCATGACTTGCATTTTAAGACTTGCTTGTTGTTGTCAAAACTAATTACTTGGTGAACTTGTGCATGTGTTTCCTGTTCACGGTGTTGCTGATAGGATCTAAAATATGTGATTGGCATTGCCACTAATGATCTAATCCTTACAATGACATGCATTATGATTGTGCGACAATTACGTGTATAAATTCTATAGTATACATGTAGGTACTAGTCAAACACTAGTACCGTATTTTCCGGAGTATAGTGCGCACTTTAGATGTGCTATTTTAGGCCCTAAATCGCAGGTGCGCACTATGCTCCGAATATGAAATGCATGTACTTCAATGAAGATTGAAGTGCGCACCCCCAATGAAGATTGGGGGTGCGCGTTATACAAAGGTGCGCACTATACTCCGACAAATACGGTATGTACATTGTCAGGCTCAGTTTATGCTGCAGTACATGACCATATCTGCACACCAGAGACACTTGTGAGCATTTATTTGCACAATACCTTCTGTAGGCCAGTGCCCACTTGTATTGGCGAATATATGCCACTACCATGTCCTAGATACCCTTATAGTACGCAACGGTCAAACTTTGTCGGTGTGCTGCGACTAATCCTGTTTTCTGTTTGTTGCTTTGCGTGTTGCTTTGTTCTGGTTTGCAGCAAGAACTCCACACTGGTAAGGAAATAAGGGACACTTAGTGTATTTTCAAATGCTCTGCTTCTTGGAATTGCATTGCAGCAATGTGACATAGTCTAGTAAAGTAGTACTCCATGGCGTTGTGTTGGATCTCTGCAAACGTGTCCTTGGAAGAAACTAAACACACATGAATTGACACACTCTGCATGTAGATGTGAATGCTTTCATGTATCCATGAGAGCGTGGCTTTGATATTGCCTAGCGTTAGCGTTATGTTGAAGCATATCTCATCCGCTGTTTGGTCATACTTGCCTGCCTGGTTAGATGAATTGCCTTTTTCAAGTTTTCATGCACACAGCTATAGCACTGCTGTTTTGTTTGCGATCGTGTTACCATCAGTTGCCAACGTACCACCACCAGCGCCCTTGCCAGGAGCCCTAGCTGGTGCCCCGCCACCACCAGGCCCACCGCCAAGCCTGGCCAGCAATGCCCCACCACCTCCACCCGGTGTTCTACCACCACAGGGGCCACCCCCACCAGGTGCACCCCCGCCACCGCCGGGACCTCCCCCGCCCGGGGGTGCACCACCTCCGCCCGGACCACCGCCACTGTCCATGCAGGGTGGAGATGGCCCGCCGGCTGGTGGTGGACTGGCCGGGGCTCTCTCCAACGTGAAGTTAAAGAAATCGGCGCCAGCAGAGGCAACGGTGAGAGGCAGTGCATTTCCTGGTGTGGCATGGACTGACTAGCACATTTGTGTCATTTATTGATAACTGGATTGGATTGGCTCCAGGGCATGTCCCACTTGCTTGTCACATGGTTGTTGAAAACATCTGATACAGTGCTTGCGGCCTCGTACATTGAATACACCTTTGCTGAACTTTTTTGACCAACAGGAACAACGTAAACCTAGTCTGCCCGTAGGTGGTGACATGATGAGTGAAATGCAAAGAAAGTTGGCAGCAAGGTTAGTCTGCTGTTGGGTGTATACGTGCGGGTGTGGGTGCCACGGTATGTGCATGTGGGGGTGTGGGTGTATGTGCGGGTGTGTGTGTGCGCGTTAGTGAGTGGGGGAGGGGAGGTGTGCGCGTGCGTATATGTGTGTGTACATGTTTGTGTGCATGAGCGCTTGTTTATATGTGGTAGAAGGCGTGGAATTTCAGGTGTAAAAAAAAATCTCTGGATTGATTTATCTCCAAACCTGGATGCATGTATGTTCAATTTGCAGTTCATTGGTTGCAACTTGTACTACTGCCAGTGGGAGCAGGTTTTTGTCGCAAAGATCTTAGCACAATTGCTCTTTGTGGTCTTTGTAACTTCGTAACAACGTTCCCAATTGTGTATTTGATTGTGGGTACAGGAGACAAAAAGAAGCAGTTGAAAAGAAGGATAGCGATGAGGTAGGTGTAACCATCTGCTACTTGCATTCACGGTTATAATCGGTGCATTTGTGATTTTTTCTTTTTTTTCTACAAAATCCACATATCTCCATGCGTGGCCATCATGTTTGGGCTAATGTTTGCAGAGCGTGACATGCATGTTATTGCTTGCGTGCTTCCTTGCTGTAGCTGTGCGCATTGCTATTTGTAAGCCTAGTCTATGCGGCTCCATCCCCATTGTCGGTATACTGTAGTCCATACTCCCTCTACATCAGTTTTCCGAGCACAAAGCTACCCCCCCCCCCATGTTGGTGCCGCTCATGCTGACACTGCTTTACTGTCTGTGGTGAGCTCCGCTAATCGTGTCGACGTGTCCTATGTTCATCTCTATGCCCTTGTGTGCTTGCAGCATTCCAACGAAGGCACCCGCGAGCCAGGTAAGCAGTTTCCCATTTTGACTTGATACCACACATTTGCAGTGGCGTATGATTGTTGGCCCGGTGCTACTGAGTTATCGTTTTTCATTTGTGGCCAATTTTCCGATACCTGTGTGGAATTGGGTGAAATTGCATTCTAGGTAGAATCAAAGTTCGGGTATGTGTCAGACACAACAGGGTACTACAGTATGCCATCAAAAGGACTGAAACTTGGAACTACATGACAGTACTGAGAAAGCTGTGATTGCAGATTTGTTACAGAACAACTCTGAGTTCCTTGTATTTGCAATCATCGAGCCAGATGATCACGAACACGTGAAGCTCAGAGTTCCTCCAAGCCTCCCTCCTCTCTCATGCTGACCAACCACCAAAATCTCAATCCGTTGATAAGACATGCAGAATCCCTGGATTTCTCTCAAAATCCCTGGATGGCACAAAAACAAGTGAAAAAGAGCTTTTTCCGCCAAAATAACGTTCGACTCTGCAGATCTGCATACAGCACAGTTCGACCTTGCGGGCTGCAGTGCAGTTCGATCAGTCGGCGCCCGCCTGTCAGTGCAGGTCTTGCAGGCTAGGCTGGTCAGGTCTTGAAAGTGCCAAGCACAGTTTGAAGTGCGAGGGGGCACCGTACATATTTTTTGAAAACACCGGGACATTTGAGGCGAATCCATGGAGTGTTCAGGAAAACCCTGTATCACACAAAACCGTGACTTTTCCGGGAGTTTACGTGAAATCCCCGGGACCACGAGAGTAGTGTTGATTTCCCGGGAAAACCGGGAGGGTTGGCCAGTATGCTCTCTCTGTTGTATGGAAGAAGAACACAAATCATAATATATATTATCAGTAGTAGGTAATTCATGGGTATCCTTCCCCGTGTCATGTATTGCTTTGTGCTTTGTATTATGGATGCAGTGAATGGGATTTTTCGATCTTTGACCACTTTGGTGGGTCTGATCTCCTCACCTCCCGCCGCTTTAGGAGCTGCATCTGCACCTTGATCCGTGAAGGGTGGTGGCGTTCCTACGGATGCGGAAAACTCGGCGTCTAGCCGAGTCTGATGCGAACCGTGAATTTTTTTGGTTTACGATGTACGAAATGCCAATATATCGTTTGATATTCCGATAAGGTTTCACTAGCTTGTTGCCGTCTCATTCTATTCCCGTGCATCTGTGTGCAATGCAGAGCCTAAACCAGTAAAGGAACCTCCAACTACATCGTAAGTACATTGTATATGTCCGTCTGTGGTAACTTAACAACTCCTTCTGCCTAAAGCCGCTCCCCGTTGTGTCCCATATGGTGCAGTGGTATGTGCAGCGATTTCCAATCGATAGATTGCGGGTTCGATTCCCGACGATTATGGTCACACACGTCTTTCTTCTCTTTCTCAGACTCTTCCTGACTTTTCTTTCATTCTCCTGGGTGGTTACCAACAGCCAGTGCATGCCGGAGTATGTGGTGTGATGTGTGTGCGGGGAAAAAAAAAAAAAAAAAAAAAAAAAATGAAAAAGACCAAAAATAGGGATTCACTGGCCAGAAAATGTCACTCCAAATAGCTGTATGGTGTAGACCAGGCTGAATAGTGACGGTCAATTCTTCAGCCTTGCAAGCTGTTGAATGGTGTAATCCCAGCACAAGTTGCTATGGCTTCTGCCGTAGCATTGCTATCATCGCCTCCGGCGATGGGGGTCAAAGGTCCCCGTTGTGATAGAAGCATTGCCAAACGATCACAACCTAATTTGAGGAGCCATCAGTTCCAAGTTGTCAAGGACCGTGCGTGTATGTATGTACAGTAACACTCCCTTAATCCGGGCAGGTTGGGACCTAGCACTGCCCGTAACTAAGAATTGCCCGTACCTCGGAACACACATACTCACTGCGTGCAAAAAAGTAAACTTTCTTTATGCCAATCAATAGTTTAGTTTTTCATTGAAAAGCCAATTTTCGTGACTGCAGATTAGTCAGAAAGGTGCCAGGTAGATGGAAGTTCCCGGACTAGGATGAGGTCTGGGGAGGTTTTTACTGTAATTTTATTTGTAGGCACCAACGGGGTACCTGAGATGGCTACGAATGTATCTGACAAAGATGTGCTTGTCGAGCTGGTGTTTCATTGCGCAGCAAGTCAGTTTTAAATGTGTTTGCACTTCTGTTCTGTTGCCTTGCAGGATGAAGCCGCCTCGTGTAAATCGTGACATGCGCCAAAATACTACACCACTTCCTGCTACCAATTCAACGTCTGCTCCGCCAAAGTCGCCCAGCTTATCTCGTCGCTCCATGCTGGCGTCCGAAAGTATAGACGGAGCGATAGCGGGATCTGGTGCATCACCTGAGCAATTGCAGAAACTAAAACAGGTACGGTACCTGTATGTGTACTTGCTTGCTCGTCCTGGAGGTCTGACATTTTGCGGCTGATCAGTGGAAGAAGACACTGTTACTTTTTTTAAATGCCTGGGTGATGCTGTGGACGGCATGGTGGAGACTGATACAACAATTCGCAAGTTCTCCTTATCTTAATACTGTGTGTCCTGTGATCTCCAATGTTGCACAGGACATTATGAATGATGTTCGGAAAGAGCTGCAGAATATCAAGAGGGAAATCCTAGATGGTAAGTAGGATATATCTGTCAGTTCAGATAGTTGGTGATGATGGTGTCGTGCACTTGTGTCTGTTATGGGTTTAAAAGATGAGATAAAAAGTGAATGAAGATTGTAGTTGCGCCATTGCACTCTGGGGTTCTGTACAAGCTGTAGAACTTGTTTCGCACTGTAATACCCGCTGAACATCACAGAGGCAAAACGAGAAGCTGTTTTACTGAAACGTGTACCATTGTGTCAAGCTGTTTGTTGATACCATATTCTCCCCAATAAATGTACAGTTCTCTTTTTTTCAAACGGGTGGCCAGCCCTGGAGACTGTAATTTTAAAACTAATTTCATTGATTCTGGCAAGATTGATCGCCTGCCTTGGTTGTCCTATGACTCATATCTAATCATATAATTACGGCTGTAGGCCTGTAATACCACTCCAGCTAGGGTGCCAAGCACTCGGTGTAGAAAGTCACAAAGATGATTGATGGGTAAGAAAAGTGAAGTAAGGTGGATCCAGGTACATGTACTCCAGTAATGCCCATCACATCATTCTGGCATGTACTACTAACGTTATTAGAGACATGTCCAGTTTTATATCATTTCGATCCACGCTCAACATGATTGTACTAGTATTGGGGACGTACTAGTATTGGAGATGTGCGTGTTTAATAGGGAAATACACTATCTGTTTTGTCACACTTGCATAGTATGAACAGCAGAAAATGATGGTCCTGGCCACACACATGTATCGTATTGGAGACGTGTGCGTTTAAGTTAATAGGGAAATACGCTATCTGTTTTGTCACACTTGCATAGTATGAACAGCAGAAAATGATGGTCCTGGTCACACACATGTATCTACATCCCTGTATGCTTCACCCACACACTCTGCGGCTCTGATGGCACCACCCCCCCCCCCCCCCCCCCCCCCTATTCTTCTGCTCGCTGCGAATAGTGAGTATTCTGTGCTTGTGCACGGTCACGGTGCTCATGCATTGGCCTTGCTTCTGTGCTTCTGTGTAACTGCTGTTTACCAATGCTCTAGGTGTTCGCCTGGAGGTGATGAAGCTGAAGAACCAATGACGGATCAGCAGCCACATCCCTGCGCCACCCAAGACGTACTAGACGGCAGTCGGCGAAAATGTCATCAAACTGTTTCCACAACCATTCCGGCCAATGATACCTGCAAAAACAGAACTGTGAGCTGATATGCTGCATTTGTCAGGACCGTGCCTGCCTTGTGGAGAAATTCAGCTATGCCATTGAATCTGCTCCAGTCTACGATCGACCCCTGGACCAGTCATTCTCTCCGCCTTCGCTCCCCTGATGGGTGATGGTGGGCGTTGACCTGCAGCTCTCCGCCACACAACCATGCACACACACACACACATGATCTACCGATTCATAGTTCTAATCCTGATGTGCCGAAATGTTGTATCCCTTGATTTGTCGTAAGTTTCTAATTGGCTGTTTTTGGCATGCTTTGCTCACGTTCGATTAGGGTTTTTCCATTACTCTATTCCGTCTTGTCTATGCTGGGGTGGATGCCACATAGCTTCCATACTGTCGACGCGCCTTATTCATTTTGTTGTTTCCTTTTTTTATATTTTTTTTCTTAAAGTCGGGATATAATTTTTAACAAAAAGTATCCCATGTGGCTCGTGAAATAGCATTTGTATGTTGACGCTTTGTGCACAGACTGCGTGTACGTGTTAGCATGCTCCAGTGAGTTGTGAAGGCCAGCAAGCTGTTTCTAGTAATGGCTACCGCCGCATCATTCATCCTTAATCCTAGGCCACTGCACATGACTTGCACTTCATTGTTCATACCGGTAGAAAGAACCTTGAACGGTTGATTCGAGTTCTGCTCACCCTTCCTGGAGTGTGGACCACCTGTGCACGGCATGCCCGCGGCAGGCAGAAGCATGTCCGTCACGTGGGAGACTGAAATAGGATATTTCCCCCCAGGGTCTGTCCAAGCACCAGACACTCGATATAAAACACCATGAAACCCCGTGGATGTATACTGCATAGCAGGGAGTCGTAAATATATATTTACGACTCCCTGCTGCATACTGTACAACTGCAACAGTACCGTACTTGAAATCTGCGACCGCACCAGCTAGCCAGCCAGTTCTCTAGGATACTGCTTGTACATGTACATACCAGCACAATAGTAACAACACGTAGGGAAATTGTCGTCAAGCATGCAGGAAAAAGCACACAGGAATTTAGGATTGATCGTCGTAAAAGCAGGTAAAAAAAAGGTTGGGAGTATATTCTAGATACTGACACTTGAAAAATATTTCTTTGCAAATATAATACAGACAGCACGGAGACAACACAAGCTAAAGTGAATCAGGGCTACAAATAGCAGGGCCAGCAAGACGGTGGCATAATACTTATGTACATGATTTTTGACAGCACCAGACACAACACAACCAACTGTAAAGGACTGAAAACACAAAACGCATAATTATTATGATACAAAGTCGAGCACAATATTTCCGCCTCGTATGTGTACACAGTCCACTGTAAAGTGACACAAACAAATGACAGCTTTCTTTATACAATAGCAGCAGCAGGTGGGTGGTATATAGAGTATTCTACTCAGTGCGACGGTGGATAAAGAGTGCTGAAGACTCCTGAACAGTCGAGTTGTCAGTTCACCTGCACAACTTCTCACAGCAATACTCATTCAAATCTAAGAGCACCAAGGCAGCGGACATGGTACGTGCCAAATATGGGTCACCAAAGGAGCTGGAAGGGGAAACACAAGGTCAGGGATGGAGCAAATGCATATCCTTGATAGTAGCAGCAGCAGCAACAAACACACACACACAGTGACAATTATCTGCCTCCCTTTGCAACACGAAGGAGAGAAGTTACAACGGTGCAAGCTAGTTTGCGATCATACTGGATTAAACGCAGCGGGCGCACTGGCCCGCCACATGCCAGTAGCATACCATGTGTGGCCAATTTACATCAAATAGACTTTCTTCATCTGCTTGCTAAAATACTTTTTGCCAGTACGTGGACAAGTAATCTCCTGGCTGTTCTCCGCCGCCATTTTCTCAAGGCCCTGAAAAACAAAGAGGATGCAGAAACGCAAAGGGTACATAAGCCATCAACCCATACTGGTGCTGCTCTACAATAGCACACACCCTTTACATACTCACACACACACACACACACACACACACACACACACACACACACACACACACACACACACACACACACACACACACACACACACACACACACTCACACACACACACACACACACACACACACACACACACACACTCACTCACACACACACACACACACACACACACACACACACACACACACACACACACACACACACACACAGGCAAATCTTGAGATTTTCCGGATAGGATCGGGCTAACTGCACAGTACAGAAACCAGAGCCCATCAAGTAGAATTGCAGAGTACATTCTTGCGCTAGCTGCAGCAGGGTAACAGTATCTGGTTGGCCAATACATGTACAAGTACTTACAACACGGTCGTAAACCTGACAGTTGGGTAGCATCATAGGTTGCGTCAAGGCCTTTCCGGTAATCTGGCAGATCAATTTGGATGTCTGAACTCGTTTGAACGGCAAATGTTTGGACAGCTCATTGTAGGGCTCTTGGCACACCGGACATTCACTGGACTTATTTTTTGCCTCGTAACATTGACTGCTCATAGAAAATACATGCACACACGCATACATGCACACACACACACACACACACACACACACACACACACACACACACGCACACACACACACACACACACACACCACATCCACACATCCATACACACACACACACACACCACACCCACACCACACACACACGCATACATACACACACAAACACAGCACAGCACACACAACCATGGCACACACGCGTGCACGTCAGGCTGTAACTATTCGAGCTGCAGTAGAGGAACCCAGCCGGCGACAAGGAGGTGCAGGCCTTCACTTTCATAGAAGTGTTGCATAAACTCTTCATTACTGTACAATTCTCCAGATAGCAACCCATGAAAATGTGCGTATGTGTATGAGTGTGTGTGTGTGTGTGTGTGTGTGTGTGTGTGTGTGTGAGAGAGAGAGAGAGAGAGAGAAAGAGAGAGAGAGAGAGAGAGAGAGAGAGAGAGAGAGAGAGAGAGAGAGAGAGAGGGAGGGGGAGAGGGGGAGGGAGAGAGAGAAGGAGAGAGAAGGAGAGAGAGAGAGATCTCGCGAACACGGGCGTGCATGTCCTCTTACGTGCACTTCATGGCCGAGATGCCAGTCTGTACTACGGTACTTAGCAAAGAATTTCCGCTCATCTGTTGTGAGGTGTACGCCTCCTGTCGAAAGAGGCCAGCCAAACGAGGCCATTCTTCATCACTCAGCAAGCTCTGCATGAACGTAGAAGAGGAAACCATTGGAAGCAAGACAAATAATATTACTAATAGTTGGAGAGAACACAACATGGCAAGTTTTTTTGCATAACAATATCCATTTACGGGTACCATACCCACTCGATGAGAAGCTCCTATCCATAAAAATCCTCCTGCTATTCGGACAAAATAAAGGCCTCTCTCAAGCAGAAGCCCTGTTCACATACCGCTAGTACATGTAGCTAGACTAGTAACTTCGTTGACCATACGGCTCATTTATATAATATTCGCCTATCCGCGTTGGCATCGGGTCTATCAAACCCTAGCCTTCGCTCAGGCCAGCCTGCCGTCACCTGCCGCTATAATTATGATATCCTACCGGCAGACGCAACGCCTAACGATGGGCTGAGGGATATGTCTCATAGCCACTGGTACAAGTGGCAAACTCCATTCGTCGCACCCACATTACTAGTACCCTCGGGCCAGATCACCAGCTTCCACTTGACTGTGAGTTGCAGCACGGTCACGAAAATCCTTCTGCTTCCAAGCAGGACTTGAACCCGATGCCCCCTCTGTTTCTCAATCATTGCTCTATGATAGCCCACTATACTTCAACGTACTTCAGCTCAAAGTACCTGCTTGCATACTTGTACATACAGCACGCATGTAGTGATTGGAATACAGATCCAACGGTATTGAGAAATAGAAAAGCCGCTCAGGGGTCTGGAGTACCGTAGACGCCTGAGTGACCTCTCCTCTCCGAATAGAAGCTCCCCCCCCCCCCCCTCTCTCCATGGACATTGAAAAGAAAAAAAGCCTCCGGCTTCTACCACACATTTCCTCTTTATGTGCAGCAGCCCAGTTCTATGCAGTGGTCCGTATCATAGCACAGCTCTATGCAGTGGTCCACACAACAGTTCTATGCAGTGGTCCGTATCATAGCACAGCTCTATGCAGTGGTCCGTATCATAGCACAGCTCTATGCAGTGGTCCGTATCATAGCACAGCTCTATGCAGTGGTCCACACAACAGTTCTATGTAGTGGCCTCATATCACACAACAGTTCTACACACTGGCCAACAGCACATCACACAACAGTTCTACACACTGGCCAACAGCACATCACACACTTACCTCATAGCGTTTGAGAGTAGTCTTCGGGCCAAACGCCAGCAACCCCATCAGCAAAGTGACACGATCTTCAAGATGCGACTCCACATTGCTGAAATGCTTGCTGGCATACCTATATCAAAGCAAAGAGCAGAAAACAAGCAGTGGATGGTAGCGTGCACTGTGGCTGCCTGTCACAGACCAACATACGGATTACCATAGTACAGCGTACAGTGGCTGAACCCCTAGCTCTGCATATGACCAGAATGCTCTCAATAAACGCCCCTGCCTCTAGACATGATGGTGCATTTTCTTCCTCTTGAGATTTTCAAACGAGCATGAACGGACATAACACCGTGATCTGTACGTGTAGTACACGTCCAGATGAACACTTGAAGCGAGCAAGGCAGCTCCTGGTGAATAGGAAGTTGCACCCATGCCCGGCTATGGCTCACAGATGCTACAGAAATGTCCACTGTGTAGTACTCGGTGAGTTATTCATATGGCCAAAACATACTAGTGACTACTGATAATACACATATTTAATAATAATATGAATACTTCTACACACAGTAACATCGTGAGTAGAACGAAGTGAATAATAATTTGAGATATGCGGATCCCTCCGGGAAAGTCAATCAGGTCACTACTACTTGTACATGTACATGTGTCACTGTACATGCTCATTATGACTTCAGCGGACTCACTTCAAAGCTGCATCATAACACTCCTTGCGTATCAGCTCGACGAAACCCTGCTGACGGCACTCAAACTCCAGATTGCTCTGCAGCAGGGACATGGCACAGGAGGCAAGTGGCGTGACAATGGTGATACAACTTGAGAGAAAAACTAATGATGATGAATGATTAATACCTACAACATGAATTATCAATTGCATATTAACGGAGTACTGCATAACGTTCTAGAGCATTATCACTTATTTTATCAGGCATTACTACATGTAGTACCCTGCACAATCATCAGGGCACTGCTAAAAGCTGAAGGCCTTCAAGAACATAAATCTTTCCAAACGGGTCAGCATAGACTTCTCCCCAGTGAGTACAATTACATGATTGTAGAGTTGACTCCTGATATGACGAACACGAACGTGCAGGAGAATTGGTTCTTTATAGCCGGTGTTTTTTGTAACAGAAATGCGCTGACAAGCAACATGTCATACCCAGCATGCTGCCCGTGACTGCACGGGTGCACTTGTTTACATGAGGGTCAATTTTGGTACGGGTTAAAGCAGGGACAAGAACAATGGTTCACTACGTCACGCAATTCGCTATATCCGAGTTGGTTATAAGTGGAGTCGTCTGAACGAGAGTCTAAACCCTACCTTAATCCTCTTGAGCTTTGTCTTGTTCTCGGCACACCAGACCAAACAGGGCATCATGTTCCTGTCGAGCAGGGATTCTTCGATTCTACGGGCTTCCATGAAGATCTCCATGTCCACCAGATCCTGCACCAGGCATAGGGTCATAAGAGAACAACCAGGCATCAGACGTAATGTAACTCTGCAGAAAAAGTGTGTTAAGAAAGTGTGCGTGCATGCATGCGAGCACACATGCATACTTTTCGTGTGGATAGCCAATCCAAACAGCCTAGCTCAAGCTGTCTGGCTACTGGACCTGACAAGCCTCCAGTTGCTGGGACAACTGCTGGGAAGACATCGTGACACTATGACATTGTATTACAGTCAACTTCAAGTCTTGCTATTGGTGCCATGGTCTGCGCAATACATGCAGCCATGCCAATGCTGCAAGCCCTTGCCGCCGGCGTCAGTAACAGTTACCGGGTGAGGCCGGGGGACACCAGAGCTTCTGCACACCATTTTGTCCCACCTTTCCCAGAATTCTTGGGCATTTAGCTTTCCCAAGTTTCATCTTGAAGCCCATACATGTAGTTCTTGCAACAACAAGAACAAAATAAGGGTGCGTTCTTATTTTCTCTAGCATCTCTGAGAAATTTCTCCTGGAAGTAGAAAAAACTGAAATAATTTAAGAACGGGTCTCGAAAAATTCAAAGATCTTTTGCACATGCGAAGCGTAAAATGGGCCAGTGATCTTGTATGACACGAATGTAGTACGCACTGTGCGTATACGAAAAGGGAATGTCGTACGCTCATGATCAACAAGTGGGGTTTAGCAGTAGTTCGCATGCGCTGACCCCCAAACACGGGAATCTCCAAGTTTCAAGCTCCTCTGTCGCTCGGAGAGCTTGGAGAGCTTTGGAGAGGCTCCTAAAATTCAGAGAGGAGCGTTAGGTCGTTGAACGTCTCAGTAGCCTGTCAGTTTTGGGCCCTGTTATCGCACGTTCTGACTGCTTATTATCTTGTTACCATCGTGGATGGTTGCTTCACAACTCGTTCCCATGTGTTTTCTTCTTCTATTTTAAAAGAACAGCTCTCCAACTTTTCAGAGAAACTCGAATTTGTCTGAGAGGATTTAAGAACGCACCCTAAGAATAGAAAAAAACCAGGAACCACAACAGACAGCAACAGCAGCAGCAGCACCTACACCAACACAACCAGCAAAACTTACCTCGACATTCCCATCATGTACCAACATGGTCGCCGTCTTGTAATAACCAGAACGGAAGCAGTAGTCAACCAACATCCTGTCCTCGCGCTTCTTCTCCCACACTTCAACCTTGCCTGCGTCTGCAGGTGTGGCCGCTCGGACATTGTCCGCGTGATCCTTCAAAAAGTGGACACGGCCCTGAAACAGAAGAAGAAAGAGGATCAAACGACAAAGTACAGTACTGGTAAGTGCTGCACATTAACTCACCGCAGGAGAAATAACATACAGTAAAACCTGGCAAGGCGACCACTCTGATGAGGCAACCAACTGTCCTATAGAGGACCACTACAACTAGGACCAAGGAATGCTAATTCCTGTCAAATCAACCTGGATAATAAGTCTCAAGTCAAGACCATCTGTACACGTAGGTCGCATTTGCAAGTTCCCTCGTATCGAGCGGTCGGCTAAGACAGGTTTCACTGTAAAAGCTACCGAGGCTCAGCAGACACCCTCCAGGAGTCATTGCCGCGCCAGCGTGTACATAGCGGCAACCGACAACCAGTGCTGCTCAATGAAGTCTGATCAAGCGAGTCAAGTGCGCGCCGGGCGCTGAGTGGACCAGCGCGGTCGGATTTCATCGAGATGCATTGTACAACGTCGCCACGACGGCAGCGCTGCAGCACTTACAGACATCCGCTGCAGAGAGGCCGACTCCTTCTCCGAACATGACTCGATCTGTACAGCAGCAGCAGCACGGCAAAGAGAGACATGCAAACCATACCTGTACCTGTGCCTGTACATACATACATACATACATACATACATACATACATACATACATACATACATACATACATACATACATACATACATACATACTACATACATACATACATACATACATACATACATACATACATACATACATACTACATACATACATACATACATACATACATACATACATACATACATACATACATACTACATACATACATACATACATACATACATACATACATACATACATACATACATACATACATACATACATACATACATACATGTCAACAAACAATGGATCACTCGTAATATTTCGCTACTCCGAGTTTCATGCACCGTGTGCAATCATCAGGCAAACAATATTCAATGCAGACTGGTCAAAGCATAATGGGAATTTAAGGTGGATGCAGGCAGAAACAAGTGTAAGGCTTAGCGGGACCCCTGATACGTAATCAATGGGCTAACTTGCCGGCTGAGAAGTGTGTGAAGCTGAGTGCTAGATGACTAAAGCATAGTGGGGCAGTGCAATTTGCCAAGGCGCTAGCTGTTGGATGCCTGTACTACAGCAGAGCCAATTTGCCAAGGCGCTATCTGTTGGATGCCTGTACTACAGCAGAGCCAATTAAGTCCGACGAGTTACAGTTAGGTGCAATAGCGGCACTTGCCTCTTTGGTGGTGTTAGGATTCAGGTGTTGGGTGCTGGATGCCTGTACTACAGCAGAGCCAGTGAAGTCTGAGGAGTTACAGCTGGGTGCGATGGTTGCACTAGTCTTTCAGGTGTGAAAATTCAGGTGCGTGCTGGATGCCTGTACTACAGCAGAGCCAGTGCCACACCAGGACATGCCTTGCTTAGCAAAGCATACTGGATGCCTGTACTACAGCAGAGCCAGTATGCGCTATTTGGCTAAGTCACACCTGAATACTTGCTCAGCTGGTATCTAGTGCTGTGCCGGCATTTGGCGATGAGGTCACACCTTGTGTTCAGGAGGGTTGCTTTGTCGGCCGTGATAATTTCTAGCTTCTCTGTTAGACAGAGGTTACAGCGCTTAGTTGTTGGGCTGTACGACTTGGCTCTGCGCTTGACGTTCCATGACACGTTGTACTCCTGACCCTGGTTTTTGAGCGACCAAACGTAGCTTGACAGCTCGGTGGAGTTGCGGTATTTTTCGTGCCGCATTGAGGTCTTGTGATTGGCGTGACGAAGTTTGAAGGGCGTCTCAGCCGACCCAATGTAGTACTTAGGGTCGTTTGCGCCGCCCACGGCTGCTTCGTACACGACACAATCGGTCTGGCATGCTCCACGCAGCGGGCAGTTGGCCTTGTCACGGCAGTTGCACGGCTTTTCTGGAGGGGTGGGGTGCAGCTTAGCTTGGTTGTGTCCCTTGATGATGGCAGAGACGTTCGGGAGGCAGCTGTAGCTAATCTTGATTGAATTCTTGTTGAAGATTTTGCCGAGGGGGGAACCTGCAGGGAAATGTCGCTTGATGAGTTTTAGGAAGACTGCCCCAACATTTGTCTTGACATTTTTGCTGTATGGTGGGTTGAACCATATGATGTTTCTCTTTCTCTTCTTTCTCTTCTTCTCCTCGGCCCGTGCCATGTCTTCACCTTCATCGGCGCGGTACTGCATGGCCGGCAGGAATCCACTCTTGGAAAGTGCGGCTGCGTATATTGGTTTGGCCTCTTCAAATATGTCCTCACTGGCCGAGATTGATGTCAGGCGCTTGTTGATCGACTTTGGTAAGTTTTTGATGATTGTTGGCGGGTGGTTGGAGGCCATGTTGAGATACAGGGGAGTGTCGCCGGGTTTCCTGTATGGCTTGTAGGCTCCGGTTGTTAGATCCAGCGTTACGTCTAGGAAGTTTGTTGTCTTGATGTTGGTGTCAATTGTTGTTCTAAGGCCAAAGGACTTGAACACGCTGACAATGTTCTTTCTTGTGCGGTCTGCGACACTGCCGGATGCACCCTTTAGTGTGGCGAGGCCATCGTCTCTGTACAGGCCAATAGACGCCGGATCCACAAAAGCAGCAAGCTTCGTGAGGAGGAAAGCACCCACAAGCTGGCAGACCTCAGCTCCGTCAAAGGATCCCATCGTCACATCAAAAGCTCCCCCGCTGCTTCTCTTCACCCACGTGTTCTGTCCGTCGAACAGTAGCGACCTTCGCGCGTGCAGTACCATATCAACTTCTTGCTGGCTGATGTTGGAATACTGCTTTGCGAATTCGATGGCACTTGCCAAGAGCTGCTCCGTGATTGATGGGTAGTACTCTACAATGTCGAAAACCACGAAGGTTCTTTGGTCCTTCGACTCCAGAGCAGAGAACCAGTCTAGAACTGAGGCAGTGTTTTTCCATAGGTTGATTCGCGTTGCAGACTGCACATCCTTGGTCACGCGCTCCAGGATTGCCTTGCTGACTCTTCCCATCTCGGGCTTGGCCGGGTTAATCAATCGGCATGGAAGGTCGTTTGTAAATCTTTCCTTATGATCCTTAAGGGTGATGAACGCTTCGGACTTCGCCATGACTTCCATTCGCTCGTCGAGCGGCGGTTCCATGCTCTGCGCAAGCTGCTTTGCGTCCGTATTGATGTCTCGATACATCCCATCATCTGCGATTCTGTAAGTCTTCGTAATGTTGTCCCGCAGGAGCTTTGAGTACTGGTCCTTCGTGAGAGCGTACATGTTCCTCGTTTTATCAGCCTTCACAACGATGTTATCTGAAGATGTCAAGGATTTAATGTCGTTTGATAACTTTGTCTGGAATGGCTCCGTGACCTTCCGGAATGTCACGTTATCCACCAGGCTGGTCAGGTCGTCCTCAAAAGCCTTCATCTCGTCAATCCTTGGAGGCGTGGCTTTGCTTTTGAAGCCGTAGAATTCACCACCCTCCTCTGCTTCGCTCTGGGGGTTCAAGAAGAAAAATGCCTTCCATTATACCCTCCAATAAGGAATGTTTACATGATTTGTTGAGGTGTTAGTAGCAGGGAGTGGTTGGTAGTGCTTCGTTGGGTGAAAACTTTAAAACGCAGAAATGAGACCTCCGGATACGGGGGTCGACCTATAACCGGGGTCGACTTACAACCGGTAACATACGGTACATACATACGGTACATACATACATACATACATACATTATTCTTTTTTATTGTTATTATTATGACGGATGACCCAAAGGCAATGGTATCTAAACTCAGGGGGTGGCTCCGGACCAAACACAGAGCAAAGAGCTCAGCCAGCAGAAAACGTCAGAAAACAAACAAACAAAAACATGATAAATAGATGTAATACGCAGGGCTGTCTGAGCATTCCATCCATACACACGTACAGGCAGTATATAATGAAAGGATGTGGCTCATAAACTATGGAGTTTGAATAGAGAAAGAAGGCAAGTCATCTCAAAAGAAGACACATCGTGTCATCAACATGTCCGCGAAGCCGAAGTACACATCTCATCATTTCAAACAGTACACATGTCCTCGATCTACTGCCAGTACTGGTAACCAAAGCAAACAGATACACACATACACGAAGATCAGGGTTGACTACGGAGACTGTACCTTGGATCTCATTGCCAGAAGTTGTTCCTTAAGAGCTACCAGGTCTTCTTTGCTGGTCGGAGGCTTTGTGTCCTTTGTCACTTCTCGCTCAAGGATCTTCTGCGATTGGCGGTAAGTACGATTGAGTTGTTCATAAGGTGCCTAGCAGCAACAAGAGCACAGGGAAATAGAGGCTGTGCATTGCTGTTAGACTAGCTATTGCTTGCATGGATGTTGTCAGCTGAAGTGCAGCCCAGCAGCAAACCAAGCAGCATACCCTAACTGACTAAGCCTAATGACACTGCTATAACTTGCATGTGTCCTAACAGGCATTCTCGTACTGCTAGCACTACATGTATTAACCATGTTGTTGGTTGACAGCATGTAACAAGGTGGAGGAGACCGTGTTCGGAAACAGTGACCTTTCTACAACCATCCACGGTTGGTAGAGCCCCGGTCGGTTGCGACCATCTGAACCGTATGGGTGTTAGACCCGGTTCTGACCCTCTCTATTCCAGGGGAGTTTTTAGACGTCTCGTACCGTCAGTCTTGTATTCTGTGATCGCTCCTGGATGTCTTCTGGATACTCATAAACTTAGTAGCTATTTTTATTCTGAATCGTTTTTCTTTCTTTTTTTCTTTCTTCCAACTTCTGCCCATGGCGTCCCTCTCTCAGCTCGTCAGCTGACAACAGTCACTGTCACCACCATGACACTGTCGTGAGAAGGTGCTCTCTGTAGACGAGGTTGGTGATGTCCCATCGCGGCCATGGGACGTCTAAAACAACTCCCTAGAATAGAGAGGGTCAGAACCGGGTCTAACACCCATACGGTTCAGATGGTCGCAACCGACCGGGGCTCTACCAACCGTGGATGGTTGTAGAAAGGTCACTGTTTCCGAACACGGTGTCCTCCACCTTGTTACATGCTGTTAACCAACAACATGTTTGAACAAAACAATGTATCGGAGGTAGAAAGGAAAAGGACATAATTATGAATACGAGTTGAGAGTAACACTGTCAGTTTTGTGCCTAGTTGTTGCACTTTCTGACTGTCTATAGTATCTAGTTACAGTGGTGCACAGTTACTCTCAACTCGTATCCATATGTCCTTTTCCTTTCTACATTTATTATTGACTCAACAACCGAGTTTCCAACGTATCGGAGGGCTCGCTATTTGTGCAAAGTAAGTAATTAGTTTCTCAGGCTCAGCTTGGAAAATGAAGATGCAAAAGTACAAATTACCTTGAGAAACGAGTGCTCAAGGAAGACAATTTCATCCTGCTTCGTGTCTGTTTTCTTCACAGCAGCCATGTCTCCGACCTCGTAAAGTCAGGTGTTCTTATTTTGGTGAACGAGTGATCTGGTCCACTAGTAAGTTGATTGAAAAGCTACGTCCATTCAGGAAAGAAGTACTCGGCCAAAATACCAGGACGCTCCACACCACAGTATGGCAATGAATGCAAACAAGCTACTACTAGTAGTAGCCCTCGAAATGCCAACTACTGACTGAGTCTGTCACTGGTACACAGGCTGCGCTGCCTTCATGTTCAGTCGACAAGAATCAATAGACAATACAACAAATGGATCACACAATCGAAATCAGTCAGATACTGATTCAGATTATTTTTGATTTTGAACCAGCTCTACACTTGCCTTGCAAAGCTTGCAGGCTTGCACACTTGATCTCTGTGACGTGACTTGATCACGTGATTCACGCCAACCACTGGTATGTCGTCATCAATGACACGGCCCGAGGCTTGGCTGGAGTGATTTTGCAATCAATCTCTCGATCTTTTTTACTTTTTAGGTTTCTGGATGACTTGTAATTGTTGTATGCTGATAGTGCAGTGATAACCTTTACAATGACTATGTACCTGTACTGGTTGAGCATCATGAAGGAGTAGCTTGCGCAACTGTTGCGTCGCCAGTTCAAGAAGTACGTGTGTCCTTCTTCTTCATGGTGTGAGTGTAGTCAAGTGCTATTTTCTGCAGAAAGGAATATAGCCATGTGCCTGTAACATTTTCTCAACGCTGGTGTTGAATTTTGTTTTCAATTTATTTACCTCAAGAAATTTCAAGTTTCCCCAATAAGCAGTATTCTGACACTATGTTCAGGGCTGCTTTTCGCCCAAGGACGGGGCCATTATGCTACCGATCTTGGAATTTCCAGCAGCAGCAGCAACAGCAGTTACCTTTGATCAACTGCTATCGCAGGCATATGAATAGTGAAGGCAACAAATGGCGTCGGAAGATCAAGATATCTGATCAAATTCGTGTGGTGACGGATCGGTTGAGAATATCAGCTGCGCGTACCGGAAAACGTATCCGAAAGTCGAATTCAAATTTGCAAGAAATTTGCCATGTCAGATTTGCGTCCTTGACCAAGCGACCCGCAGGTGTGTTTCGCAGATTTCGAGGAGGACTCATAGCGGAGGTGAGGCTATTCCATCCGATAGAAATACAACTGTGTCTTTTTCCATAGTGAGGTCAATAGGGCTTGAGAGTGCTAAGTCACAGCCAGCCCAGTCACGACAATACTGACTTTTGGATGCACATGAATCCTGGTTTTGTATGTATAAATGATACAAACTAACCTTAGCCTAAGGTTTATACGTGGAATATAAACGTGAACACAAGCCGAGGTTTATGTGATCGTATATACTCTACGTACATGTATAAGCATAAGAGTAGTCTGCAGTATATTTATACCCGTATCTATACAACTCCATTCAACTCCTAAAAAACTTCAATGTTCGTGTGAGACTCAGCTAGAGGCCGAGTTATTCGCATTCGTAGGAACGCCACCACTTCACACTCAAGGATCAAGGCGCAGATGCAGGTCCTAAAGCGATGGGAGGCGAGTAGATCAGACCCACCACCAAAGTGGTCAAAGACCGAAAATCCCGTTCGGCAACTTCACTGCATCCATACTTCCCTCGTGCCCGAGCCACGAGTTCCCAATTACTGGTAACTGTGGGTGGCAGCACAGCAACTCCTAAAGAAGGAATTTTTTTTCAGGTCAGGCTCTCGGTAGAAGTTGAATAGGAGTTTGTACAAAAAGGGTGTTGCAGTATAGGGATCCATACACATTTGCCTGTTTCCCTTCACAGCAGGGTGACACGTCCTCCCATAGTCATTGGCCTGAGCCTTCCCAGTCAGTCAGGGACCCACTCCTGATTTTGAATAATTACATGTGAGTACTTTTTCTAAGACACTCCATATCTTTGTCCAGTCATTTTACCTTGGTGGATATTGAGTACCTTGGTTATAAGGTACCGTAAAAGCCCGTGTATAGGCCCCGGCGTATACGATAGCAGCTTTGATTTCCTGAGCGTATACAAGGGCACGGGCGTTATTTTGGAACCGGGCGTATACTTGGAATATAAATGTTGAAATTCCCCCCTTGCTCAATAGCTGTATCCATTTCATTTTTTAGCTGAACATACGCACTATAAATACAGTATACTCGCTTCAATGGACCAGAAACAGTGTAGTGTTCTGGTTGGGAAAAGCGATCCTGAAACACATCCATCAACATAGCAGTAAGTATTGGGTAACGGTACCTGTACATGTACTGGTATTGCTGGCATGGCTGGGCGTATACATGGGGATGGGCGCTATTTTGAAACAAAAGTGTTGACTTCCCCTGACTGGGCGTGTACACGGAGGATGGGCGTTATTTCGAGTGGGCGTATACAGGGGCTTTTACGGTACTGCTTTTTACATCCCCTGGAGGCATATGTACATGTATGTTGTACTGAAGTTTCATTTATAAGAAGAAAAGAGGACCAAAGAGTTGCAAGTTTAATACGCTATAATATCCACTAACACCACCAGTTACTTCAGTACCGTTGGTCAGTATCGTGCAATGTTATCGCATGAGCTGATTGTAGAGTAACTGGTGGTGTTAGTGGATATTATAGCGTAACTTGTAGCTCTTTGGTCCTCTTTTCTTCTTATAAATTAATCTTTGGCTCTCCACCCGAGTCTGAAGTTTCATTGTTTATTGTTTACAAAACTGTTCATCCGCTCAGGCACGTAGGAGAAGGGACCGGGGTCTTGCCCGTATACGAAGTCAAGTTCTTCTCACACGGCGTGGAGTGCGTAGACGAGTGGACTCGGCGCGGAAAACTGTCGAGCGCAAGACGGACGGCTACATCACTGGCCTGCGTCGCCAGATGAAGCGCTTTGGCCTGCTTGGTATTGGTGTGTATGTGACGCTGGGCACGCTTGACTGGATCACGTTCTACTACCTGCTAAAGTGGTGAGTTGCTCGCTGGACCGTGTCAAACTGTGACCATGTAACGCAGTGTATAATAATTATCATGGCAGCTTTAAAAGCATAGCCCAATGTCTCCGCACCGGTGTGCAGTGTCGAAATCAGCTCCTGCTGCTGCATCGCCTGGCAGAAGTCTCCTAGCCCAGGCTTCTCTGCATGTCGATCGCCGTTCTGACTGTCTGTGTACACATGAGAGCAATGACAGGAAAAATGCGTAGATCCGGGTCAAAGCAACAGCTGCCGTGGTTGGGTCGTGAAATGAACTACACCAGGCTGTTGGCCAATGTACTGTAATTTCACAAATTTTCGGTGTACTTTTATTTTCGATGCGTCTGTTTCGTACCTAAAATTTCAATACACCGAACAAACACTAGCACACATAATCCAATAGGGAACTGCTTCTCTGTACCGACATTTTTCTGTTCACCTAACCTGGCCTGTTGCCCTCATACCGAAAATATTGAGCACCGAAAATTTCTGAAATTAGAGTAGTCGGCATCCTAGGTTGGTCCTCACAAGAGCATTGCTCGCATTATAGTCACAAGGCACGTTAGTTGGGATTGGATCAAATCAAGAGTCCATAAACAAGAGTATGCAACTGTGATCTCTTTTCTATGGGCCAGATGCGCGGCGCACTGCCTTCATTACATCATTCAGCTGCAGTCCGCGCAATGCGGAAAATCAAACACCGCACTTTCCCTCTGGTTTGAAATGAACTTTCGTACGGAACTGGAGTTCACGCGCCAGAATTTAGAGATCGCGTAGGTACTGGAACGAATCGAGCAAAAACGGATGGGCTCGTACGAGAAATTGTGAGTTTGAATGCATGCTTTCAGAGCGTGATGAAGGCAAGTTACGTAATGAAGGCAGCGCGCCGCGCACTGACCCATCACCACAGTTGCATACTCTTGTTTATGCACTCTTGATCAAATCTATTAGAAGCTCTATGAGCCGAGGATGAAACATAATCGAATCATGGCCCGGACAAAAATGATTTAAAAATAACAATCTGTAGCCCTCTGAACGCTGAATTGAATAGTCTTGGTCTGAGGAGGCTATGATGTACGAGTATACCATCATAGAAGTCTGGCAGGACTTTACAACTGGATCAAGGCCTTGATCAAGGATGGAAAATCCTGCCAGACCTCCGTGATAGTATTTCAGGTTTTCATTTTTTTAGGACACTGTCTAGAACATTATTTCGATTTCTGGAACCTGACGTCAGGGTGAAGGTTGAACTGCCGGTCAAAGTTGTTCAGTTGGCGCTGGATTGCAGTTTTCGCTATTTCGCTGCTCTCCAGCGCTAGAGATATGGCGTCCTGGTCATCATGTGTGACCTCAGTCTCTTCTTCTCCCGGAGACCTTTCCAAGAAGCCTACGATTGTCAAGATTGAGTGAGTAGAACTGAAGTTACGATCTAAAGAGCATGAACATATGCAGAATTTTGAAATTTCCAAGCGAAAGGGTTAAACTTTTAACAAAGTGTTCCTTTTGCTGTTGCCATTGCTGTTGCTATGTGCAGGGGAGTGGATGTCAATGTCTTGCTCAACATGCTGGGCATCAACAAGACGTTCAATACTGAAGAAGGTAGTGCCACGTTCTGGACATTGGTGGGTGCAGCGTACGCCTGTCACAAAGCTATCATGCCTGTCCGCCTCATCGTGACACTGGTAGTGACCAGGCCCATTTGGCGCTATCTGGTGCGACTTGGGTGGATCAAGCGGCCGAAAACTATCCCCAAAGTGACAAAGAAGACGTGATCTGACAACTCAACTAGTATTCTGACTAGATTCCGGCCCATTACAAGCACAGTGGATGCTGGCAGTGCTATGCAGTTGTACATGTTTACACTCTACTGGAGAACATGGACCTTAGTCAATGTCTCAATCAGCTATGTTACCTGGTGGAGGAAAGTTCTTCACAGAGCAGTTGAGAATTCTCATGAGGTCGCTTCAAGCAAAAGTCGTTGGGATGTTTGCAGAGCTTTTCGAGTACTGTGTGTGCACGTCGTGGTTTGACTGCAACGTCTTGTGAAGTGATCTGCTAACTTGCCCCGCGTGTGTCCAGTTCAGGTCTGCTGACTTGCACCGTATGTGTGTCCAGTTCAGGTCTGCTGCTGACTTGCACCGTATGTGTGTCCAGTTCAGGTCTGCTGACTTGCACCGTATGTCTGTCCAGTTCAGGTCTGCTGACTTGCACCGTATGTGTGTCCAGTTCAGGTCTGCTGACTTGCACGTATGTGTGTCCAGTTCAGATCTTGGTTTCTGTGCCCAGTCACAGTACTTGCCATGGGTAGTTACTGCCCCCCCCCCCCCCCCCCATCACAGCCTGATCTAGTGCTGCTTGAGAAATGAGTTACCGTCCCACAACTGATTGCTACCTTCTTCTTCATGCCAGTGTGTGCTTCAATGGATGCCGCCGCTGTGACATGTTTTTGCCGGGGTGGCTGCTGCTTCTTTGAGGCGCCGTCACTGCCCTCTCTCCAGGGAAGTCGATTGCCGGCATTGCCTCTCCCCTTCCCAGCCGTTACCGCTGCTTCGGCGCATAGCACCGGTGGCGTATATTTGTATATGCGGTGGCACATGAAGGCTGCAGTTTGCACCTGCATGTTGGCGGCTTCTTGGCCATTTTCCCCCGGCTGTAATTCCACTTATTCGCTTTCATTCTAGACGCTTTGCACCTTTTATTTTATTCAATTGTGACATTTTTAGGATCATATTTTTAGGCCAGTCCAAGCACCCTTTTTGGATAGTATCAAGAGTACATAACTACACTGTGTAGTTATGTACTCTTGATAATATCAGTTCACATTGAATTCTTCAAGCACTCGACAAGCAGGATAAGCGTGTTTGTGTGCACATGCATGCATGCATGCATAACATGGGACCTTCCTATACCATCGTTTTATCGAATTGAGGAGCACAGTCCACAGAAGGGGAGTACATCATGTATGTACTACCAAGAGAAAATGAGCTGATGTACATGTACTCTTGGTACTACTGTACTACATATATCAGCCTAGCTGGGACTACTTGTGTATACATTCATCCATAATTATACCAGTGCATTGTGTTGGAGGATGCACTGTGTTCGGAAACAGTGCCCCTTACTACACCCTTCACGGTTGGCAAGGTTGTAGTGAGGGGCACTGCCGTCCCCCGTGAATTCCGTGGCAGAATATCAGAAATTCCGTGCAGAATTCTGCGGCTGAAACCAGTAGCTTCTGCGCTAATGCTGCAAATCCTTCCAAATTCTGCGGTAATTCTGCAAGGGAAAAGAGCGTAAACATAGATTTCCACAACACCACCGAAGCAACTTAGTTTGTTGTTCCTATAAATTCTGAACCGAAATTATGCGAAATCCTGGTCCAAAAAAATGATAGCTCCAAAATGTACCATGCAAGTTGATTTCGAAAGTCGCAAGCGGTTTTGTTTGGCTGTGAAATACATCAAAAGTCTCCGGAAAAAGCAGTTTTCTCGCTTTTCTGCAATATTCTGCGGGATTTTCTGAATTCTGCGGACACTACTGGATTCTGCGGAAATTCTGCAATCTGCGGAATTGCGGAATTCATGGGGGACAGGGTCACTGTTTCTGAACACAGTGCCGCGGTCCTCCACCTTTTATTACATGCTGTCAACCAACAACATGTTCATAACATTATCTACCGTACTGGCAATATATGTTGCCGCAGTGAGGCCATGAAGCGTTACATTGGCACATGTTTGCCGCACGCAGGGCGTTACATGCAAAGTCGCACAGGAGCCGTTACACAGGTTTCTATATTGCCGCAGTCCTTTTTTTTTGCTATTGCCGTATCACTTTTTTGCTATTGCCGCATCATTTTTTTGCTTTTGCCGCATCATTTTTTCTTTTCATGCACATTGAAGGCACAGAAATTCAGTTGCTATCCAACTGTTACAAACCCGACGGCAAAGGGCGACAACGATATCAATAGAAGACTGTATATTTTAACTATCAGAGTGATCTGTTCACAAAAAGATCATCAAAAGGAAAGTGACATAGGGGAAGAGCGCTTCCTCCAAAATCTACTTTTCACCACGCGGTACACGTGCTTTCACAGTTTTCAGCCTTTTTTTGCAGTGCAAACTGCAATGAAAAGATCGCCGCACACCGCCGGACGCGCGTTACGAACTCAACGAAAATTTGTCGCACTAGCCTGGTCGCGCGTTACGCCGCACCCCCCTGCGTTACGCGTTACGCGGCAACATACAGTGTTGGCCAGAAGTTTGGGCCTACCTATAAATTTTTGGGGTTTGGCACAATACAGTGGTGCTGCCAAGTTGTGTATCTTCAAACCTGCTGCAAGCCCGATGAAAACGCGTGAGATAAGTTTTCTACAGCGCACGTGCGCTTCAAAACAAATTTTCAGGTGAAAATCATGAAAAAGCTAGGCCCAAATTTTTGGCCAAAATATTTGAATTTGTACAGTACCATACGGTACAAAAATGTGTGATGCAAAACCAGCGGGAAATTCAACTGCACAACACGTGGTGGTCCTCACGACACGAACAACAAATTTTAGTTGCTGTTTTTGACATTTTTCCTTCACCATGGGTCGATCCAAGCACCTTTGGCTCTGACGTGAGGGAGTTGACAGTGAAGATGAATAATGATGGCCTCTCTTCGAATGATATCGCCAATTTGACCCGCGTTTGTGCGCGCACGGTGAGAAAACTGTCACCAGGTTCGCAGTGATGCAAAGCTGCAAGAATTAGGCTCGTTCTGGTCATCCAAGGCTGACGTCTGCTCGTGACGACAGGTACCTCAAGGTGATAACTCTGGCTAGCAGAAGGACTTTGTCGTGGGAGCTCAAGACAGACTGGTGCAAAACCGTGGCAAACATGTCCCGAGCCGTACGGAACGTCCCAGACTGCTGAAAGCTGGCCTGAGAGGCTGCAGGACCACAAAAAACCCGTATATCAACCAGAAAATTGAAGAAACAACTGGTCTTTGCCAGGGCCCACCAAGGATGTACTGTGGACCAGTGGAGCAACGTACTGTGGCCCCACGAGTTTAAATTTAATATGAGAGCATCAGATTGTGTGGTGTATTTCAGTTGTTGACCTGGTGAACAACTTACTTGTGCCAGAGTGTACTGTTGGCACAGTCAAGCACAGTGGTGGCTGCATCATGATACGGGACCGCGTCGCCGGCAACGGGGTCGGGCGGCTCTACAACATTAACGGAGCGATGAAAGCAGACCAATACCAAGGAATACTGCAGAACAGTATGCAGCCGTCCATGGTGGATGTGTTGCGCGGTCTGGATGATGTATTTGCGCGCGCACACGCGATAAAGGCGTAATCGGCGGACCGCCCATATCGCGCACTGGGGCGGCCGACGCAGTCGCCGGACCTATATCCGACTGAGGATTTGTGGGAAATGCTGAATTGTCTCTGCCATGATGTTCCCCAAGTCCCATCAACAGAAACACAGCCTGGGGAAGTGTGCAAGACAGCATGGCGGAAGATCAGCAGGGACAAGTACGCGAAACCCGTCTCGACCATCCCGGCGCGCATGGAGGCTGTCGTCAAGGCAAAGAGAGGACCTACTAAGTGGTAAAATTGGGCAAACAGTTCACTGATAGGTTCTTAGCATGGAAACAAATCATTTCGATTAGATTTAGTTGATATCTATTAGCTAGTCACCTGGATTTTGCTGTTTTTTAATTTTGGCCGTAAGTTTGGGCCTACGCTTTTTCGATTAAATTGACTTTATTTTATTTTACAACTATCTAGCCTTCGAAAGATGGATCAGAGTATGATCTCTTCGGTAGATAGCCAACTTCAGTAGTTTTGTTCGTTCATTATACAAAGATTCTCTCTAGAAACCTGTTTTCTCTTGGGTAGGCCCAAACATTTGGCCAACACTGTATATTGCCAGTACGGTAGTAGCAAGAGTTCAAAACCCCCAGGGCTATATTTTTTTTTGTAGGGATTATGAACTCTTGCTAATATCATACCGGTACATGTAGCAGACAGTGTTATTATTATTATTTATTCATATTTTGATAGGGCAATCCCCACAGACTCAAGGTCTTCTTAGTGTATGATCAAGATGGTAAACGTGTGTTCATGGACTCTAGTCTAGCTCTATGATGATGAGCGAGCCGTGCAGTAAAAATATTGTTTACATGTACATGTATATAATAAATGTAGAGCCGAAGGATTTATTGCAATTACATACCAGTATAAAAACCGAGGTCCCCCGAGGTTTTTATGACTGGTATGTAATTGCAATAAATCCTGTGGCTACTACATTTATTATGCATACATGTATGTTGACCTTCGCTTTCCCTAAAAAGGAGTATTTTATAAACAGTATTTATTGGCCTTAAGCGGGATTCACAGAAGCTTTTTTGCGATGCGACACGCGATGCGACGCGATCTGCGACGGACGCGTGCGATGCGAACTCGCGAAATACCATTCACAGAAGAAGTCAACGATGCGACAAAGTTTTGCTGATTTGGGTACGCCACCATGATATTCGCGCGGTTTGACACAACTTGAAAAAATTTATAGGCAACTCTTGCACCTTTGTACAACTTTGCTGTAGGAAAGGTCAAAATCGTACACCAAATCGCTTGTCGCATCGCATCGCATCGCAAAAGTTGAGCCAAGCTCAACTTCTGCGATGGCCTGCGATGGCCCAGTTGCGGCAGTTGCGTGGGGTGCGACATGGCTGCGATTTGGGGTTTTCCCGGTTTCGCGTCTGTCGCATCGCGTGTCGCATCGCAAAAAAGCTTCTGTGAATCCCGCTTTAGTGGTATTTTATAAACAGTACTAGCAGCACCCCCGCCAGCGTTGCCTGGCCGAATGTGGCATGCGGGTGAAGCAAGTACATGAACAGCACACGTGCTCAGCACGTGGTGGTGGCCAGACCGCTGAAGTCCTGGTGAGGGAGGTTCTTCATCGTTGGAAGGAGAAGGAGGGACGTCTGTTACCTTGGTTACGCCTTCGGGAGGCTGGTCAGGGTTGTCCATCACCTAGCACCTGGTGGCGGATGAAGCGGCTCAAAAAATTCATAAACTTACGACCAAAAGTGCGATGCGCTCTTCACCGCAGATCAGATGCAGAGTGCAGTCAGTGCAGATCTTTTGTATCCTTTTGTTGCAGATATCAGATGTTTCTATTTGCAGAGAACGGTTCACGTGGTCCGCAGCGCTTGTGCGGCTGCTAGTAGTGCTACCTATGGCCTAGGCATAGGCTAGGTGGCTACATGATTCGCACGCTTCGCGTGCTCAGTGCTTCTGCGCGCGGCTGCTACTGCTACTCGTACTGATCGTGTCTGCTATGTATAAGTATAAGCGCTACCACCGGCCGTACCCCGGGGGCCGTACCTACACTGTCCGCACGCTTCGCGTGCTCAGCACGTGGTGGTGGCTACACGATTCGAACGCTTCGCGTGCTCAGTGCTTCTGTACTGTGCCTGTGGCTGCTTCCGCTAGCTACACGATTCGCACGCTTCGCGTGCTCAGTGCTTCTGCGGCCGCTAGCTACACTGTGCTACACTGTTCGCACGCTTCGCGTGCTCAGGGCAGCGCTGCTCCGCAGCGCTTCAGCGTGACACAAAAACACACGTCACAGGTGCCTCTTCTTTATAAGGAGCGTGACACACACACACACACACACACAGACACACGTCACAGGTGCCTCTCTTTTATAAGTAAAGATTTATTGGCCCAAAAGCCAATAAATACTGTTTATAAAATACCACTATTA